CTGTCAGTCACCCTCGGTCTGGTGCTCCATGCAAGATCTCACCTCGTGTAGTTTCAATGATCATTAGAACATTGAGGAATCAGGCCAGAACTACACAGGAGGATCTAGTTAATGATCTCAAGGCAACTGGGACCATAGTCACCAAGATAACAATTGGTAACACACTACGCCGTGAAGGACTGATATCCTGCAGCACCAACAAGGTCCCCCTGCTCAAGAAAGCACATGTACAGGCCAATAAACATCTGATTGATTCAGAGGATAACTGGGTGAAAGTGTTGTGGTCAGATGAGACCAACATCGACTCAACTCGCCGTGTTTGGAGGAGGAGGAATGCTGTCTATGACCGCATCAAAGTGACGAAGGACGGGGCCATGTATCGTCAAAGCTTGGATGAGGTCCTCCTTCCCTCAGCCAGGGCACTGAAAATGGGTCAATCTTTACACTGGCTGCCTTTATCATATAAGTGTCAATTCAAAATACTAACCCTTACCTATAAAGCTCTAACCAACTCTAGCCCCTGTTACATGTCTTCCTTGATTCATAGATATGCCCCTTCTTGGTCTCTACGCTCTGCCAGTGACCTTCTCCTGTCTGCTGCTGTTTGCACACTTACTGCTAACTCGCGCTTGCAGGACTTCTCGAGGACGGCTCCCTTCTTTTGGAACAGCCTATCTATCCCCATCAGACTCTCCCCTAGTCTCAATTGTTTAAGAAGTCCCTCAAAACAAATCTATTCAGAAATGCTTACGAACTCCCAGAGTAACTTATCTATACTTATCCAAATCTGTCTCTTGCTCTCCTAAAGAGCCATACTCCACTCTCACCTCAAGTTCTGCTACTTTTCCACCTTATTTGGTGGCTGTAACCCTTGCTACCCTGTTGTGTATTTGTAACCCACCTCATCTAGACTGTAAACTTGTTTGAGCAGGGTCCTCATTTACCTATTGTTCCTGTGTCACTGTGTAGTTGTCTCATATATTGTAGACCCCCCCCCCCCCCTTTCATAATGTTGTAAAGCGCTGTGGAATTAGTTGGGGCTATATAAATACCAATAATAATAATATTAATAATAATATTCCAGCATGACAAAGACCCAAAACACACAGCCAATGCAACAAAGGAGTGGCTCAAGAAAAAGCACATTAAGGTCCTGGAGTGGCCTAGCCAGTCTCCAGACCTTAATGTCATAGAAAATCTGCGGAGGGAGCTGAAGGTTCGAGTTGCCAAATGACAGCGTTAATGATTTGGAGAAGATCTGCAAAGAGGAGTGGGACAAAATCACTCCTGAGATGTCTGCAAACCTAGTGGCCTCTGTGATTTCGGTTTTGCTGCCAATTACTACGTCGAAGGGGTCAAATACTTATATCACTAATTGACATGCAAATCAATTTATAACATTTTTGACATGGGTGTTTCTGGATATTTTTTTGTTGTTGTTGTTCTGTCTCTCACTGTTAAAATACACTTACCATTAAAATTATAGAATGATAATTTCTTTTTTAGTGGGCAAACGTTCAAAATCAGCAAGGGATTAAAGCAGCACTGTCATGCCGAATCCTGTTTTTTTTTTTTAACCCCCCTATATCTAACTGACACCCTAGTCACCCCCAAATGCCCCTAAGCCCCCCACATTACCTATTTTATATTCCTTATTTCCTGCCCCGATCTATATTCAGGGCGCCGCAATCTTTGTGTGGGTAGATGAAGTCCCTGTGGGACATGTCATCTGCCCACACTAGACAGACTGTGAGATTCCCACACATGCCCAGTGAAACACCTGGACATGCGAACGGGAATTTCATCTATTCATTCATTCATCAGACAGATGAATGAATGAATGAATAGAAATGTCAGCCGAACAAACAAACACTGAGTATCAGTGTTAAAGATAATGAGGGGGGGACCTACTGTCCTCCCCCCCCTGGCCCCCACCCCTGAGCGGCGAGTGGGGGCCATAATGATAATGAGGGGGGGACCTACTGCCCCCCCCCCTCACCCCTGGGCGGCGGGTGGGGGCCATAAAGATAATGAGGGGGGGGGACCTACTGATCCCCCCCCCAGCCCCCACCCCTGTACTGCGGGTGAGAGCCATAAAGATAATGAGGGGGGGACCTACTGTCCTCCACCCCGGCCCCCACCCCTGGGCGGCGGGTGGGGGCCCTAAGTCATTTCCCCCCCTCAAGGTGACTAGGGGTCTAGTCACCCACCCCCCCACCCAAATAAAAATTCCCTACCTACCCCCCTCACCCTAAAAAATAGTGAGGGGGGAATAAAATAACTAACCTGTAAAATAAAATTAAACTTACCATTCAACGTCTTCTTTTTTCTCAAATCTTCATTTTTCAGCCCCAAAAAAGGCCAAATAAAAAACCATCATAACCGTCGAATTTCAAATAAAATAAAAATCCCGAGCGCAAAAGAAAAACCCCACGCTGTGTAAAATGACACAGAGCACTGTGATTGGATGGCTTGAAATCCATCCAATCACAGTGCCCTGTGTCATTTTACACAGTGGGAGAGTTCTTTGGAATTTTCCCACGGTGTGTAAAATGACACAGAGCACTGTGATTGGATGGATTTCAAGCCATCCAATCACAGTGCCCTGTGTCATTTTACACAGCGTGGGAAAGTTCTTTAGAATTTTCCCACGCTGTGTAAAATGACACAGAGCACTGTGATTGGATGTATTTCAAGCCATCCAATCACGGTGCTCTGTGTCATTTTACACAGTGTGGGAAAGTTCTTTTGAATTTTCCCACGCTGTGTAAAATGACACAGAGCACTGTGATTGGATGGCTTGAAATCCATCCTATCACAGTACTCTGTGTCATTTTACACAGCGTGGGAAAGTTCTTAGAGTGTTCTTAGCCTAATTGCAGGGCGGGGCAAGGCTTTATAAGCCTTCCCCCGCCCTGCGGAGCTCAGTAGGTCCCCCCCCCATTATCTTTATGGACCCCACCCGCCCCCCAGGGGTGGGGGCCGGAAGGGGGGTGGACAGTAGGTCCCCCTCTCTCATTATCATTATGGCCCCCACCCGCCGCCCAGGGGTGGGGGCCGGGGAGGGGGAGGACAGTAGATCCCCCCCTCATTATCATTATGGCCCCCACCCGCCGCTCAGAGGTGGGGGCCGGGGGGGGAGGACAGTAGGTCCCCCTCCTCATTATCATTATGGCCCCCACCCTCCGCCCAGGGGTGGGCGCCGGGGGGGAGGACAGTAGATCCCCCCCCTCATTATCATTATGGCCCCCACCCGCCGCTCAGGGGTGGGGGCCGGGGGGGGCAGTAGGTTCCCTCCCATTATCATTATGGCCCCCACCCGCTGCTCAGAAGTGGGGGCCGGGGGGGGGACAGTAGGTCCCCCTCCTCATTATCATTATGGCCCCCACCCGCCGCCCAGGGGTGGGGGCGGAGGGGGCAGTAGGTCGCCCCATTATCATTATGACCCCCACCCGCCGCTCAGAGGTGGGGGCCGGGGGGGAGGACAGTAGGTCCCCCTCCTCATTATCATTATGGCCCCCACCCGCCGCTCAGGGGTGGGGGCCGGGGGGGCAGTAGGTCCCCCCCCCCATTATCATTATAGCCCCCACCCGCCGCTCAGAGGTGGGGGTCGGGGGGGGAGGACAGTAGGTCCCCCTCCTCATTATCATTATGGCCCCCACCCGCCGCCCAGGGGTGGGGGCGGAGGGGGCAGTAGGTCCCCCCCATTATCAATATGACCCCCACCCACGCGCAGGGGTGGGGGCCGGGGGGGGACATTAGGTCTCCCCCCTTATTTTACTTTAGGGCCCCCACCCGCCGCTCAGAGGTGGGGGCCGGGGGCGAGGACAGTAGGTCCCCCTCCTCATTATCATTATGGCCCCCACCTGCCGCCCAGGGGTGGGCGCCGGGGGGGCAGTAGGTCCCCCCCCATTATCATTATGGCCCCCACCCGCCGCCCAGGGGTGGGGGCCGGGGGGGTAGGACAGTAGGTCCCCCCCCTCATTATCATTATGGCCCCCACCCGCCGCTCAGGGGTGGGGGCCGGGGGGGCAGTAGGTCCCCCCCCATTATCATTATGGCCCCCACCCGCCACTCAGAGGTGGGGGCCAGGGGGGAGGACAGTAGGTCCCCCTCCTCATTATCATTATGGCCCCCACCCGCCGCCCAGGGATGGGGGTGGAGGGGGCAGTAGGTCCCCCCCACCCCCCACCCACGCGCAGGGTGGAGGCCAATAGCCCCTACTTGCGGTATAGTGAGTAGGGGCATATTATTTACTAATACTAAGTAACCTTTTACTTAGTATTAGTAAAGGGCTGAAATCTTTAGCCTTTTAGTAGATAACTCCCTGATACCGTGGGAATTAGGGAGTTATCTACTAAGCGGCTGCAAGATGCAGCTGCGGCAATGAATAGGATCGGAGTTTCATTCATTTTAATGAAATTGCGATCTGAACAAAGTGCCGAATTGAGTTCTAAAACAAACGAACATACTGTTCTCATTCAGTTAGAAAGCAATTCGGCAGTTTCGAGTAAAATGACAGGAAGCATCGCGGGAACACAGAGGGAAGGTAAAGATCATGGGAAAATTGAGCTGGCTAAGTGGAGGAATCCTCCATAAGGCAAAGAGTCCCTACTGTGTCTTATGATTTTAAAGAAAACTAAAGAAGACAGGAAGAAAAGAAGAACAGATCCTGAGAGAGGGGGAGAAGAGGAAGAGATTGAGGAAAGGTAAGTTCGGCATGACAGTGCCGCTTTAAATACTTTTTTCCCTCACTGTAGCTATAATTTGTGGTTTTATTTTTTTTCTTTGTCATTTTTTTTTAATATTTACATGACATGGCTACTTGTCTGGATGTCACATTGTTTAGGATGTTATTTTTCCTTTATTCTCATTGAAAGTCTATTAAAAAGTCTATTAATTTTTTCAGAATAGTTCAAACACAATGCTGTCACTTTAAACAATAGGCAGTTTGGTGGAGGGGTGGGAGGAGGGGAGGGAGAAGTTTAACAAAACACTAGCAACTCCTTACAGGAAAATAATATGATAACAGAAGGAGGGAGATGCACAGCCAGTTAGCCCAGGGAGGACTTGATAAAAGGAGGGGCACAGTGACAGTGACAGAGAGAAAGGAGGAAAGTGACAGAGAGAGAGAGAAAAGAGGAGCAGGATAGTGACATAGAAAGAAGGAGAGTGACAGAGAGAGAAAGGAGGATAAGAGTAACAGTGAGAGAGAGGGAAGGAGGTGAGTGACAGAGTGAGGGAGAAGAGTGAAAGAGAGGAGGAGGAAAGTAACTGTCAGGGAGGAGGAAAGTGACAGTCAGAGAGGAGGAAGATAAGATAGGGAGGAGGAGAGAGTGACAGTCTGGGAAGAGGAGGAGACAGGGAGGAGGAGAGTGACAGACATGGAGGGAGGAGGGGAGTGACAGAGAGAGAGAAGGAGAGTGACAGAGAGAGAGGAGGAGAGTGACAGAAAAGGGGTGGCGAGTGACAGAGAGAGTGACAGAGAGAAAGGGAGGAGGAGAGTGACAGACATGGAGGGAGGAGGGGAGTGACAGAGAGAAAGGGAGGAGGAGAGTGACATAGAGGAGAGTGACAAAAGAGAGAGGGAGGAGAGTGACAGGCAGAGAGGGAGGAGGAGAGTGACAGACAGAGAGGGAGGAGGAGAGTGACAGACAGGGAGGAGAGTGACAGACAGAGAGGGAGGAGAGTGACAGAGAGAGAGAGAGGGAGGAGGAGAGTGACAGAGAGAGAGGGAGGAGAGTGACAGAGAGAGAGGGAGGAGAGTGACAGAGAGAGAGGGAGGAGGAGAGTGACAGAGAGAGAGGGAGGAGAGTGACAGAGAGAGAGGGAGGAGGAGAGTGACAGAGAGAGAGGGAAGAGGAGAGTGACAGAGAGAGAGGGAGGAGGAGAGTGACAGAGAGAGAGAGGGAGGAGAGTGACAGAGAGAGGGAGGAGGAGAGTGACAGACAGACAGAGAGAGAGAGAGAGAGAGAGAGAGAGAGGAGGAGGCGGTGATGTACTGCTCCTGCTGCCTCCCCGCTGGGGGAGCGGCTGTAGATCTCGTCACCTCGTCCAGGGATCTTTGCACCGGGAGGAGGGAGAGGGGGCAAATCCTCCTTCCCGGGCTGGCTCCATGGCTGCTGCAATGTCAGAGGGAGCCATAGCGGGCGGAGGGCGAGCTGGCGGCGGCGGGAGCGCGGTGGGGAGTGCGGCCGGTGCCCCCCAGGGATCCCCGGGTGTCACGGTCTCAGCCGGCGGGGGAGCGGCAGCCCGAGGAGCGGATAGCCCGGCCGGGGGAGGGGGAGCTGCTGCTGTACCGCTCAGGATCGCCGCCAAGAAGGGACAGCTCCGCTCCGCTCCCCGGGCTAAGAAACTGGAGAAACTCGGAGTGTACTCAGCGTGCAAGGTAAGGGGGAGTCACTATAACCACTGACAGTCACTGTATACTATAACCACTGACAGTCACTGTGCACTATAACCACTGACAGTCACTGTGCACTATAACCACTGCACTGACACTCACTGTGCACTATAACCACTGACAGTCATTGTGCACTATAACCACTGCACTGACACTCACTGTGCACTATAACCACTGACAGTCACTGTACACTATAACCACTGCACTGACACTCACTATACACTATAACCACTGCACTGACACTCACTGTGCACTATAACCACTGACAGTCAGTGTACACTATAACCACTGCACTGACACTCACTATACACTATAACCACTACACTGACACTCACTGTGCACTATAACCACTGACAGTCAGTGTACACTATAACCACTGCACTGACACTCACTATACACTATAACCACTGACAGTCACTGTACACTATAACCACTGCACTGACACTCACTGTACACTATAACCACTGCACTGACACTTACTGTGCACTATAACCACTGACAGTCACTGTACACTATAACCACTGCACTGACACTCACTGTGCACTATAACCACTGACAGTCACTGTACACTATAACCACTGCACTGACACTCATTGTGCACTATAACCACTGCACTGACACTCACTGGCACTATAACCACTGCACTGACACTCACTGTGCCTTATAACCACTGACAGTCACTGTACACTATAACCACTGCACTGACACTCACTGTGCACTATAATCACTGATCACTGTACACTATAACCACTGCACTGACACTCATTGTGCACTATAACCACTGACACTCACTATACACTATAACCACTGCACTGACACTCACTGTACACTATAACCACTGGCAGTCACTATACACTATAACTACTGCACTTACTGTACACTATACACTATAACCACTGACAGTCACTGTACACTATAACCACTGCACTTACTGTACACTATATACTATAACCACTGACAGTCACTGTACACTATAACCACTGCACTCACTGTACACTATAACCACTGCACTGACACTCACTATACACTATAACCACTGACACTCACTGTTCACTATAACCACTGCACTCACTGTACACTATAACCACTGCACTGACACTCACTATACACTATAACCACTGACACTCACTGTTCACTATAACCACTGCACTGGCACTCACAATACACTATAACCACTGACACTCCCTGTACACTATAACCACTGCACTTACACTCACTATATACTATAACCACTGCACTGACACTCACAATACACTATACCCCCTGAGACTCACTATACATACACTATACCCCCTGCCCTGACACTCTCCATACACAGATACCCCCTGTGACTCACACTATACAGAGATACCTATTAAGACTAGGTTACACACTATACCGAGATAACACTGGGTTGCAGCCACCCAGGAATGAAAACAAACCAACATACTGGCATCGTGTCCCCACGCCCATCGTGTGCCAGGACTGGCACTGTATTAGTTCACTATGTGGTGCCAGCTGATACTGTTTTGCACAGTCTGTATACTAGTGTAACATTTTTGCTGACAGAATTCACATGCGTGAAGGATAACAACAACAAGAGACTAATAATAATACTGAAACAGCAACAACAACATTCTGTGCAGCAACACTGACTCAGCAACACCACACAGGGACACGGTGCTGCCAGGCTGGAGAGCTGCTGGGGACAAAACTTTTAGCTCTCGATTTGTTGTGGGCTATAATTTCTGACTTCACATCTGTAAAATGTTGTCCATAGCCTTTGTAGTTCCAAAGGTAAGCTCTCATTGATCCCTGAGTGATACAAATGACAGTATCCTCTGGTAATAGGTCATACTACAGATACAATGTTACACACCTATGATGTCACTGTTAAAGATCTGAACTAACTCTGCTCTCTTGGTTACTCTATGATGTCATGATGAAATGATCCTTTGTGATATTGCATCTTTAGCATAACTGCCACTGTTAGTAGTGGGGAAGTGGGATAAGTGTGAAAGAAACCATTACCTGCAAAGAAGATTGTGCAAGCTGTGTGAAAATGGAAAAGTTATATCAATTAATAGTTTTTTTTATTATGTTTATTGCCCTGAGTGTGAAACAAACAAAAAAGTTAGAAACCACAGAATTATTTTTAGACACTCACACCTCACCCACTGTAATACTGCAACCTGGGAGTGCAGTTAATTAATACTGCTTCTGTAGCAGTATTTTAAAGTTATATCACTCCCCAAGCTCACACTGAGTGTTTCCCTTGCAATAATAATAACATTGCAATGGCATCAATGCATGCTGTGGATAAACAATGTTTTGACACTTGACACATCCTCACTACAACCCTTCACTGACAGAACAAGTTAATATTGCAATCTGACACTGTGGTAATATGATACCATGGATAAAGCAAACTACTGCACCAGTTTGTACTTGTCAGTGAGACTTGAAAGTACTTTTTTGTACTACATCTCGAATTTATATCTAGCCGATACAGACAGCATTTCTATTACAGGAAGCTCCTACCTGTTGACAACACTGCTCTCATAACATTATCGTGATACTAAAAAGATTTTGGGTTACCAAAGCATCATAAACAAATTATGACGATACCGCAATAATTATGCTGATATGGCATCGTGGTTAAAAGAACACATTAAAGTGTTAGGAAGACAAACCTGTATTGCTAACACTGTAGTGCTGAAGTACATGTTCAGGTGACTGCCCCCCGTCGGAATGGAGTAAAAAGGTTTTAAACATAACTTTTCTCCACCGCCATGTCTCTATGAGGACATGCTGGTTGGCGCGGCACTGCCTTCATGGCGGAGGTCTTGACGATCTCAGTCATGTGCGGCAAAATGTTGTGCTGCGCCAATCAGCATGTCCTCATAGAGACACGTTGAATCAATGCATCTCTACGGGGAGTGAACGTAGGTGCTGCACTGTCTAAGTGACTGCCACAATAGGCATCACTAGGCAGCATTGCTCAGCCTGCAGGGGAAAGTTATAAACACCAGAACCACTAAATTAAGCTGTAATGGTGCTGGTGACTATAGTGTCCTGTTAAGTTTGTGGTTGAATAATGCTAACACTGTAAGTGAATAAAACATTCTAATTTAAAGGATCACTATAGGGTCAGGAACACAAACATTTATTCCTGACCCTATAGTGCTAAACCCACCAAATAGGTGGCTTGCCCCTCCTTCCCCCCCCCAATAAAAGTTTAAAAATCACCTTATTTCCCGCGCCGTAAGGGTCTGCCGGCTCTTTCTCTGCCTTTTGTGACATTATCAAAAGGGCCGATTTTTAGCCAATCTAATGCATTCCCATGGGGAAAGCATTAGATTGGCAAAAATTGGCACAGGGCGGGGCCAAATGCCATTTTGGCCAATCAGGACACCTCCTCATAGAGATGCACTGGATCAGTGCATCTCTATAGGGAAAATTCAGCGTCTTCATGCAGAGCATGGGGACGCTGAACGGCAGGGCTGCCTACTGTGCAGCACTAAGCCAGGAAGCCCCTCCAGTGGGCGTCTGAGATGTGGCCACTTGGAGGTGTCCCTAGGGGCAATGTAAACACTGCCCTTTTTCTGAAAAGACAGTGTTTACATGAAAATGCCTGAAGGGAGCTATTATACTCACCAGAACAACTACATTAAGCTGTAGTTCTGGTGACTATAGTGTCCCTTTAAGTACGTCATTTCTGACAAATACACAACAAAGAACAGATACAGAATACTACTGTCTACAGAATTCAGTGATACAATATGGACATCAGAGAAACAATGCCAGTTAAAGTGGATATAATATTATCTAATAAAAAAAAAGCACAGCAGTTCTAACAAAGAGTAAGAAATTAACACATTCGTTTAATGAAAGACAACTCTATGGTAATCTGAAAATCTGTTTGCAGCAGTTGTTACTTCTTCTGAAATGTAGGATGTATTGTAATAATAATATCTGGTGTTTTATGCATTGAATAGTGAATTATGGCATATTGAAAACTACATTTGCAAAGTTTAGGCAGAAACTGCTGGATAAAAACTCCAAGTGGCTATAAGACCATCTTGACTATTTTGGACTAAACTTAAATTTGTTTTTTTGTTTCCACGCAGTCCGCTATGGAAGTTGCACCAATAATGTGGAAATTTCACACCTCATGAACATGCACTACTGATACATTTGTCTACTCTGCATTAATATGTAATACCCTACTGTTATCACGCTATCACACATTGGAGCAAGGTTCTCCTCCTTTAGCCCTTCTGATGGTCTATCGAGAGTTGTGATATTGGGAAGCTAGAAGATGGGAAAGTCACATTGTATGTCTATTTTGACAATATTCTAGATTGAACTGGATTACCCTCTATTGCAAAAAGTTTGACTTTGAGGCAGTAAACCCTCAGTGTGCCAATTAAGCTTATACTGCTGTCACACAACAGTCATACAGCCCTCATTCAGCCATAAAACCCATAGTTTGTATTGTATTCCAACATCGATATAACATATGTGGTCTGTGATTTCAGAAAAGGCATGACTGCATGGCTTTCTAGTAATGCTGATAATATTGCATACATTCCACATGTCCCTATTTAAGAGGGACAGTCCATATTTTAGGCCCAAATCTCAATTTCCCCCTTTTCTAGTTACCTAAAACTTATCAGAACGGCTCCAATTGTGGCCACACCCGCACTAACACCACTAAAATGAAAATTTTTTTTTTAATGTTCAATTTAGGGGGGCCGTGATTCTAAATAGGGAAAAAAAAGTAAAGCCTTAGGCACTTCTCATTCCCAATGCTTCCCTACAAGAATCACTGGATTGGACAAGAAGACAAAGCAGATTCAGCCTTAAGGAAGAAGTCATAGTTGGCTGCAAGTTGCGTGTCTCGGAGCTGAAAAAGGGTTATCAAAAAACTTTTTTTTTTTTAATTCAATTTAGGGCGCCCTGAATCTTAATAGGAAGTAGAACAGCGTAGCATCATGAATACATTTAATGCATTTAAAAAATGGAAACAAAGAAAATACAACGTTCTCCTCCCTTTGGTGTCCTCCCTACGGTTAGATTTAGTTACATTACATCCCATAATGCACTGGTCTCTGTTCTGCTCCCTCCCTACCCCCAAGCTGAGATCATCCGTCTCGATGCTCTCAGCCAATCTAAAGCTTCCGCATAGTCAAGTATTGGGAGGCTACCGTGCATTAGTGGCAAAACACCATGCTGCGACAATAAAATTCTCTCTAAGAAATATATGGCTAGAAAATTTAATTTACCCAGGGTTCATAGCAGCAACTTGTTGGTCCTAAAGCAAAACATTTTCAAGCAAGTTAGGGATGAAATGCTGCAAAGCAACCAAGGGAAAGTAAAGTATCCAAGCCATGTACTTCCTGTCTTTCCAGTCAATCCATACTTTGTATGCTGTGGAGTTGGCTGCTCAGAATGTGAAGCACCAGGGTCCTGTGTGTGCTAGGCCAACTTTTTCTTTTTCTGCCAATACCTGCTATGATGCTGTGTACCCCAATACACATGTGTATACTCTGCTGAGGTTATTAATTGAAAGACACTCTATATAGGCAATTTTTGTTGAAAATACCCATTTTTTTCTAGAAATGCAAATTCTTGTTACAGAAAAAGCCACATTCGGAAAATAAAATAGTTTGGCTTTTTGTATGCAAAACCATAGAAATCTGCAATATTTGGCCACGGTCAGGTCTGCACAGAGTGAGAAAACTTTTATATAAAAGAAATGTAATAAATACAATGCAATAAATGAGTATTCCTGAAGCCCTTCTAACGTGAGAATTTCAAGTTTAAGTATCATTTTTTTTCCTGGCTGTAAATCTCAAATTCAGTTTGAATTCCCGTCAATTTTTACTTTAGTGATAAACCCTGCTAGTATCCAAGAAGGGTTTGGAGAAGTTGTCCACTAATCCATCACACCATATAGGTGTGCAGGTATGAGGATTATTAATATAGTAAGTGGGTCATCACTCTTTTATTTATTCTAACACTGCCGTTTTTAATATGGTAAGTGGGTGATCACCATTTTATTTACTCTAACACTGCTGTTTGTTTCTCTGCATATCAATCTGTCCATTGCCTGAACAAGGCTATTCAGTCAGGGAAACTCCTGAGCAATTTAGTATTACAGGTGTTTTCAGGCTTAGTTGGACTGATTCACATGAGTTCAAAATTGGAACTCATGTGATCAGAGTGGAGGCAACTTACTCTCTTCCCTCTGCCTCTACCTCTCCCTAACTCTACTTACCTCCAAGTGGTTGTAGCATAGTGGATTCAAGCCAAGTCATAACATTAACGCTTCAGTGGGTATAAACATCTGTCTGCGCAGATTTACCGCTGTTGAGATAGCTCATTTGGTTAATGCATCAGGTGTAGTACATTGGCTGTAGGCGATATTCTTGGTTTGACTTTGGTTTTTATCATTCTGAGGTTCATTAAAGGAGTACTATTGACTTGGATAATACTAACATATTATTCAGTAGCTGATTTGTTTAAAATCAGAGACTGTACACTGAGTGCATTGATTCACGTTAAAAGAAATTCTATATAAAAAACAGATTATCAGATGTAACGTACTTCATATGTAAAACTACTTCGCATAAAGCTGCCCAAGGCTTCATACAGCAGAGCAGCTGTTCCGTTCTTTGAATGATGCTATCTTTAGTAATAATTCTAATCCCTTGGCAACAATTGTAGAATAACTGTGGTAGTAATTTAAAGGCTGCTTCACCCTGGGAAGAATAGTACAAAATTTACTCATCTAAATGCAAATGCTCTAATGCTGCTTCGTGATCGCATAATATATGGTAACTAAATGTATTGCATCTTTGTTACAATGTCTTTCTCTTACCGCATTACATTTTCACCTATTTTAACAATAGTGCAAGGATTACTGCGCTGCTTAAATAGCTGTGATGGATTGGATGCAATTATGACAGTCACTCATTTCCTGTCATGTCATCGGAAAGGAAATAATCGCAGGCAATGCCTGGCTTACATCTCTGGTTAATCTTCATATGTGATTAAAACGGTTGTAGATAAAATCAGGACATTATTAAAACTCACTGACTATAGCGGGATTGAGTAAAAGAAAGCCACCCTCTAGCTATGGTTAGATTACGCTAATCGGAATGCTCAATGAAGGAGATGGTTATGCCAATATACTTATGTCTACAAAGTAGAAAACAGATTGTTATTGTGGTTTTATAATCCTTTGTTTGATTAGTTTATAGTTTTTGATTTTATGGAAATTCAGTAATTTACTAAATAATGGCATATTAATAATGGAACCTAATATTCATCTTTTCTGCGACCACAAAAATATTGCATATGTTAAAACTGCTAGTAAGTCAGTAACTTAAAAGGAAATTACAAAATAGGCTCATTACGTTAAATGATAACTTTCAATTTGCAGGAGTTTTAATATTGTGGTTTATAATGTTTATTATGTGAGTTTACTAGCCTTTCTCCCTTGCTGCAGTGCTCTCTCTGTGGCTAGCCCCGCCTCCTTGGCTGAGCTCATCAATCTTGATGATCTCAGCCAATCCATTGCTTTCCCATTGGTAGGCTAGTGCGCATGCATGGCAAAACGCCACACTGTGCCAATCAGATTGAAATAATGACTATTTCAGCGAAAGCGCTTCTAGTGGCTGTCAATGTGACAGCCACTAAAGGCTTTTTTAACCTTGCAATGTAAACATTGCCGTTCATGGAGAACAAATTTGTTTTTAGATGCAGGATTAAAAATAGGAGGACAGTGCACCGAGATCACTTTATTGAGATGAGGTGGTCTGGGTGTCTATAGAGACCCTTTCATTCATATATAGACATCAATACAATACATCTGGTAACTCTGTAAGCTACCCCAGTTAAAGGGATAGTTTTGTCATAGATAATTTATTAATGTTTAGTTATATTTAAGTGTTTTATTAATGCTGCGTAGTATCAACATAAATTACTTAAAGGAGCACACCACAACACAAACTGTTGTTCTAATCACAATTATACCTATAATATTTGCATTTAAAAAAACATTAAAGGAATACTTTGACCCCTTAAGGACTGAGCCAAATGTACACGTTTTGATCAAAATAAAAAGAAAAAAAAAACTTGGAATTTGACTATATGTCTGTTCAACTGTAATTCACCTATTTCATATTATGCAAGCCCACACTTATTATATATCATTTTATTCAGGAGAAATATGGCTTTCATTTAACATCAAATATTTAGCTATGAAACATAGTTTAATATGAATAAAATATTTAAAAAATGTGAGAAATTGAGAAATGTTATTTTTCTAGTTCTACATGACATTTTAACTGTGAATGTCATAATACTGTTTGCTTTTACTGCAATAAAATACACCTAATTGTATTCAGCAATGTCTCACGTGTAAAAAAATTACCCCCTATGTACAGGTTTTATGGAGTTTTGGGAAGTTACAGGGTCAAATATAGCATTTTACATTTTTTATTTTTTTCACATTGAAATTCGCCAGATTGGTTATGTTGCCTTTGAGACCGTATGGCAGCCCAGGAATGAAAATTACCGCCATGGTGGCATACCATTTGCAATAGTAGACAACCCAAGGTATTGCAAATTGGGTTTGACCAGTCTTTTTTAGTAGACACTTAGTCACAAACACTGGTCAAAGTTAGCGTTAATATTTGTTTGTGTGTGAAAAATGCAGAAAACTAATTTGGACGCCAATTTTGGCCAGTGGGTTATCAGGCAGGTCCCGCAAATTGTAATTAATACAATTACTTAATTAGTTTATATATATTACATGAATATATACATAGAATCAAAATATATATATATATATATATATATATATAATAACTCAAAATAAGTTTGGCACTCTGCCCATTCAATATATATATAGAAAAAATACCAGGGTGCAAACCTGCAATGTATATGTAAAAATAGCAATGATGAGGTGCACTCCTGGGTTGAAAAAAGTGTAAACACTGCAGGACGTAACGTGATGACGTCACACACGGTCTTCTCACACTTCTGGGTCTCGATCTATTGGGGGTGGTTTCACTTCACTGTTATTGTTAAGAGATCACTTTTGTTACCTATAAATATGCATTATTCACTGTATACATTGTTGTGATCTTGAAAAAGACCCTGTATAGGTCGAAACGTCGATCTCTTGAACACTAATTGTTTTTTACACAATAAATTGAATTTTTTTTCAACCCAGGAGTGCACCTCATCATTGATATATATATATATATATATATTTGTTTTATATATATATATATATATATATATATATATATAATTTTAAAAATTATTTTTATTTATATATAGGTGTGTGTATATATATATATTAATATCAAAATACAGTTAGAACGAAATTACACACACATATATATATATATATATATTTAAATTATTTATTTTTAATCATTTTTTATTTTAAATTTTTAACGTATTTATATATTGTATATTATATATAATTATATTTAATTAATATCATTCTTGGTGTATTTTGATATTATATATATACATATATAAATATTAAATATGTATGTATGTAAAAGTGTGTATGTGTATGTGTGTGTATATATATATATATATATATATATATATATATATATATACTTAGCTCATATATATAATATATATATATATGATCTAAGTATATATTATTTTTACTTTATTATAGGCAGCAGGTGGACTACCTGTCATTCCAGGCACTCCCCCTGCTGGCACTGCTATGGACAGCTATTCCATCCATGTGATCGTGAGGTCCTCGCAACGTCATCCTGATCACATGGCCCAGGAGGGCTGGATCAGCAGCAGGGGGACTGCCTGAGATGCCAGGTAAGTCCCCCCATCACGATCGTCGGCAAGCAGGTGAGCAGCCAGGACAGCGTGGACGTGCTATTCTGCCCGCCCGCGTTTAGAGCCGGGATCCTAAGGACGATATAGCACGCCCGCCGTCCTTAAGGGGTTAAGAACCGTAACCACTAGAGATCACTGTAATGGTTATGGTGTCATGAGAACCCAGCCTTCTACATCACTGTAAGTAGTCCAGCCATTTTACCAGAGAAGGCCTTCACTAGCTCAGTGAGAGAGCGAGAAGCTGTCTTTCTGAGCTTGATCTGACGTTGCAGGGCTTAACTCATTGGTTGAGAGCCATCTCCAGGAGAGCTAACAGTAGACCCGGCTTAGGAACTTCTAACTCTCAGGCAGAGGTAGTGGAGGCAGGTGGCGGTGCTAAGTGGACCCCAGGTAAGAATTCAAACTGTTCTAAAACAGTTTGACCCCTTACAAAGGGAGGCGCCAAGGCACTTCTTGCACTATAACCACTACAGAGCACAGGATGTTGGAATTTTCATTTGAAATAATCATTATGAAATCTTCTTATTACTTTACTACCTCTATTTTATTAGCATGTACAACATTCTGCAATACCTAATTTTAATATTTTCTTCATTTTGCACGTGCATAAAATGTTTGAAGTGTCTTTTAATGGATGTGAACTGGTAAAAATACATAACAAACAAAATCCAAGTGTTCTCTAATCATATTAGGCAATCACAGTTCGCTGGAATACACTTGTGAAATTCGATTTGAACGAATTAAACTATCTAGATTTCCGAGTAACTCCCAAATAACAAAATACAAATTTATGCATTTGCTCTATAAAATGCTGTATTTTTGCATGTTCGATTTTTATGTTTTTTGCTAAATAAACATTAAGCAGAATTCTGCATCTTATCTTCTTTTGCCCTACTACCGCCATTCTAAAATAATTCCTGAGGTTCAAATTTGTCTCCAGTAACACAGTTGTACATGTCATCATGTAAAATGAAGAAAACCCTTTGTACTGATTCACATATCTTTTTTTTCCTCCAGTATTTATGTTGAGTTTAACATATTTCATTTTTTTTTTTAGCTTTGTTTACTTTATATTTCGACAGTTATGTGGGAATTGGAGGCATTACCTTTTGCCAGAATAAACCACTCACTTATGAGAAAGTTTATATTTTGAACATTTCATAACCTCTTACAGGATTCACACTGGGAACATATATATTATTTATATTGTAAGATCCATTACTGAGCTGCAAGTTGGGCTATATCTACGGATAGTAGTCATTTCTTTATAGTTAGTCTGGGCAAATGGATACATTAGGAACTATGGAACTATTTACCTTAATTAATGTATTATCGTGTGTGTGTGTGTGTGTGTGTGTGTGTATGTGCATGCGCGATGTTAACTGTTACAGTGTTTTTGTGCACTCTTCTTTACATACTTTCTAAAGTAAAATAGTACTAAAGATCTCCAGTGTCAGTGTAGCAATAATAAAAACCGAGAATTTGCTTTGTTGATATTGTGCACATGATCTCCCTTGAAGGCCAAACCATTTTGTAGAACAATAATCCCACAAGCGATCAGCATATTTTCTCAGGCTTAGTGAATTAAGTGTATGTACATGGGAGCAAACTCGTGTGAGTAATAGAATGTTGCTGCCAAATTTTATAATGTTGCTGCCAGATTTTAATAAAAATAATAAAAAAATGAAATTGTAGCTGTTTAGGACTGGACAAGGCTGGTCTATCTTTTGATTTTGGTGTCAGATTAAATTGCATGTTATTTTTATGGGAATTGTAAAAACATGTAATTTAGGTGGCATCCTGCAGTTAACTCCTTGCTTACCTAAGAAGTGGGCTACACTTTATGAACCTTCCACTGGGTTAATGAACATTTTGATACATAGGTATTTATTATGGTGCTTAGGATCTCCCTGTAAATCACTGTGTGTTTGGTTCATCTATTTTTCCTTTATTATTATTATTATATACGAGGGTGCTCATCATTCTGTCCACTTACATAATATTTCCAGTATGCTCCTTCACACCACTGTATCGTGATTTGAATGCTTCCTTTTCCCCACAAGCTGGGAAAGCTGCCTGCCCCTGAAGCCAAATATAATACGGTTTTACCAACATTAGACTCTTATTCTCATAAAACGATGATATGTTAGTACTATGTAACCCATAATAATATGCAGCTTACGTGTAATAAGCAACATGGGCATGCAAAACACACAATACATAAAATAAAATAAACTATATCAAAAAAGTGGTGTTGCAAAATTGAAGTTGAAATAGATTAGCTGACATTTTTCTTTTAAAGGGACACTATAGTCACCTGAACAACTTTAGCTTAATGAAGCAGTTTTGGTGTATAGAACATGCCCCTGCAGCCTCACTGCTCAATCCTCTGCCATTTAGGAGTTAAATCCCTTTGTTTATGAACCCTAGTCACACCTCCCTGCATGTGACTTGCACAGCCTTCCATAAACACTTCCTGTAAAGAGAGCCCTATTTAGGCTTTCTTTATTGCAAGTTCTGTTTAATTAAGATTTTCTTATCCCCTGCTATGTTAATAGCTTGCTAGACCCTGCAAGAGCCTCCTGTATGTGATTAAAGTTCAATTTAGAGATTGAGATACAATTATTTAAGGTAAATTACATCTGTTTGAAAGTGAAACCAGTTTTTTTTTTCATGCAGGCTCTGTCAATCATAGCCAGGGAGGTGTGGCTAGGGCTGCATAAACAGAAACAAAGTGATTTAACTCCTAAATGACAGTGAATTGAGCAGTGAAATTGCAGGGGAATGATCTATACACTAAAACTGCTTTATTTAGCTAAAGTAATTTAGGTGACTATAGTGTTCCTTTAACATTACTATTTTAGCTTAAAGAGAAACTATAGTCACCAAAACAAATCTAACTTTATGGAGCACTTTTGGTGTATGGTTTATGCACCTGCTGTCTCACGGCTTTATTCTCTGCATTTTAGGAGTTAAATCACTTTGTTTATGCAGCAACTCCCCTGAGTCACTGACATAGCCTTCCTAAACACTTTCTGTAAAGTGACACCTAATGTCTAAGCTTTCCTAATTGCACAGTCTGTTTAATTTGGAATTTCTTATCCCCTGCTATGTTAATAGCTTTATAGAGCCTATAAGAGCCTCTTGTTTTTGATTTAAGTTAATTTTACAAAACCGGAGATGAAAAAGGTCTAAAGTAAGTTAACATCTAATGAAACCATATTTTTCATGCAAGCTGTGTTAGTCACAGCCAGGGGAAGTGTGTCTAGTGCAGCATCGACAGAAACAAAAGTGATTTAACTCCCAAGTGGCAGAGAATTGAACAGTACAGGGGCATGATCTACAACAAAACTGCTTCATTAAACTCAAATTCTTTTGATACCTACAGTGTCCTTTTAAATTATGCCACTTGGTTGTTCGCTCTAAACAACTCACTATTCAAGTCAATAAACTTTTTTAATTTAACTTTCTTAAAAATAGATGGGTAGATAGATTGGTAGATCAAAAACAAATATGAGCACAAAAGTCTTGTTATTATATCTAGAAACATGTTACATAAAATCTAATGGTTTTACAATTATTTTTTTGGAATGTTACTATATACACACCCTGCTTTTGCCCATGGAGAGAATCAGATTCCATTGTAGTATTACTGGCCTCTTTCCCAGACCTCATGCTAACAGCATAAGGCACACAACTGAATATTAAAAACAAATTACACCCTTTTAAATCTTTTGCAGTTACATGTTGCTAATAAATCAATACCCTAAATTATTTTCTTGGTATATTGGACTTGGTAGACATTTAGCAAATGTTACTGCCAGGCAAAGCATTGCAGCAAATGCCAACAAAGCTTTATATTTCATCACGTGTTAGTTATTTCACAAGAGAAGTTCCCAGCAGACCATGTATGGACTGTAGCTGAACATGAAATTGTCACTGTGTTTTTCCAGCAGAAAATCTGCAGGTGGTGTTTCTAAATATAAGCTATATCTCATTGATGAGCAGAAGTTGTTAGTGACTAAACATCAGTACAATTTATTTTGAAAAAAATAGAGGAACATGAACTGCCTATATGACTAATTTATTTCTGAATTGTAAAAATAACATACATCTTCTTCCTGGTGTTTTTAAACTCCATTCTCGTAACTGCTTAGGCTACAGTTTTTTTTTTGTTGTTGTTGTGTAAGATGTAGCATTTTTCACATGACTTTGTTTAACTCACATTTAGTTGTATTTTTTTTTTTAAATTAATGTCATGCCTCTAATAAACACGATTTTGTCGGCAGAGTCAAATTGTTGGGTCCTGCCTTGATGTTCCGACTGTTTCCTGGTATCTCGTTTCTGGGGACAGCAGGGAATTGACCACAAAAAGTGTAGCGTGAACACATCATTAGACTTGCAAGTGCTGCACTTAGGGCACTAGGACCCTGCAGACATCCCTGAAACAGTGCTCCCTGCATGGTCTGCCCTCAGAGGCGGACTGACTAGCTAATCCTCAGGGCAGACCTGCACTCTTTCTGGATGTTGTCCTTCACTTGATAAACTAAGGATTTTTTTTCCTTTCCATTTTAGATGCACTTTGTATCTAATACCATATAGATACACTCTGTGTACGTGTATGTATTTTCATGTATTAAACACACTGGCAAAGAGACACACTCATTATCAGATACGGACATACAGTCACAATGTGTGTCTGACCAGGTGTATTTGTCTGTTCATATTTCTAATTGTGTCTGTCTGTGTGTAGATGTCTGACATCGTGTAACTCTGTATGTGCCTGAGAATGTGTGTCTGTGCGCATGTGTATGTCTGTGTGTAGGGTAGCTGATTGCAGTGTGTTGTGTGTATGGAGGGCTGCTTGTGGTCTTTGTGCATTGTGTTTATAATGTGGCTATGTTTTATGTGTGTAGGTGACTGTGTGTAGGAGAATGACTTTCTTCAGTGGGTGACTGTGACAGGGTGAGTACGGAATGACTGTTGTATAATAAATGTGACAAGGAGAGGGGGTGAGTGTGACAGGGTGAGTAGGCTGAGAAAGCATCTCAGAACTGGGCAGGGGAGATCTACCTCTAAAGATCTTTCCACCAATCCATGGTGCTGCAGGGGGTGACAGTAGAGCCAACACTATAAAGGGACAAATTGCAAACTAAATTAATTTGTGTAAAATACATTTTACTTGCAATATTAAGAATCCTGTGTACATGGTTCTGTGGTATGGTTGCATAACCTGGGAATCGTGTATACATGAGTCTCGTAGTGATGGTGTTAAATAACCAATGCAACTTTTTTGCATGTTTTTTACTCTGCAGCATGACACATTGCTGAGGACACATCACTGAGGATGCGTAGGGGCATATGAAACTTGACATACAAAGGGAATATTGACAATATTAAAACAACAACAACAACAACAAAAAAGAAACAATTTTTTTTCAAAGAAATAGCATTCAACAGAGAGTGACAGTAATAGCCAGTATGGAAATGTTAAATATAGCTGTTAGCTGTGTTTTCCCCAAAAAACCCTATGGCTAAGGGAAATTACTGACATTTCCATGGTAGCTGCTCAATCCTAACTCTTGTTAAAACCTTGTTAACCACAAAAACTTTCTATCTTAATTTATTATAGTTGGAGCAACTGTAAGGTAAGGCAGCAACGTAGGACTCGGGAGTTAGACAGGGGCCCCAGGTGCCATAAAGATTATTATCCAAACTTGGCTCCTTTCGGCAAGAGTGAATGGGAGGTCCAACTGGTAGCTTGCCATTTGGGATTCGAATGCTTCCCTTTGCTCCATTAAAGACTAAAGATTTTCTAAACTGCTTGTCATGAGAAAAAAAAACACCCAATACATAGTTAAGACATGCCTAAAATCTCCGTACGGAAGCTCAACTCACCAGTTAACATTGGCATAAACCTTTTAGTGCTGCAGGTAAGATATCACACTGGAATCTAGAGTGGGGTGTCTCTCAATATGCCCCCTATGTAGCAATCTTATTTCCTTTGTTCTCTATGAGGTTTTGCTTGCAACCTATAGTTTTCTGGACTTAGTAAAGTGTTTGTTTTTTTTCAAATATTTTGAGGCCTTCAAGTGTCAAATGCTTTGTTGTATATTCTCTTGGCGTTTAAAATTTAATTAAACAGCTCTCGTTCCTCACTTTTACAATCCTGAAGTGCCAATTATCCTCCTGTTTGCCAAGCAGTTCATGCTCAGTCATGTATCCTGCCTGTAAAAATGTCTTCAAAAACATTACTCTCAGGCTGCAAACCGTGTTTCTAGGCACGGCTGATTATTTGTTTGACTATATTAATTATTAAACAAACAAACAATGCAATGACCATAAACCACTACAGTTCGACTTCTTACCTGGAGTCTATCGGGGGCCATTCTCGCCTCTCACAGTTTTTGCAAAAAGAAATGTAATGTTTACATTTCTCTTCACCATAAGCCTGGCTCGCTAGTTTCCAACTTTCTAAAAAAAATAATCAGCTTGTTATGTCTCTATGATTGCATCCTGCACAGTTCCACTAAACACAGCATTTACATTACCGTGGTATGTGTACAGGGATAAGGAAGTTTTGTTTAATAGACTTGTGCAGAGAGGGATTTATAATCGTACCGGTCATTTCTATTTGTGATCGGTACAAATTGCGAATTGAAATGCTGGTTATTATAGAACGTGACTCATTTTGCCGCTCTCCGTTTGGCCGAGTAGTTTGAGTTAGGTGAGTTAAAGGGATGGAGTGCATGTAAATTATTAATGATAGGCTATCGTCCAAATTACTTTTTTGTAATATACTTCAGAACGGATTTTACTATTGTATCAGTGGTAAAAATCCATGCAACATCTTTAATCTCGGGGCAGTTCAATTTTAGAACTACTGTAACAATCCTAAACTGTTACATGATCCCACTGCACTATGACCTATATACAGTGGCTTAGATTAAAGTTGCTCTGTAAATTATAAATTAGAACCTAGGGATTAAGTGCACAAAATGATGATTCTCAAGGCATGGTAGTCTAGATTGCAATACAGGCTACTTGATATGACTGTAGATGCTATGAGACCTCTGATTGGTTGATTGTGATTTGTATAAATTCATGCACAAAGTAAATTTACAAATTAGGCCAGGGATGCCCGAAAGATAGATCCCCAGATGTTTTAAAATTACAACTTCCAAGATGCTTTGTCATTCTAAAAGCATTCTAAAGGAATGCAAAGCATAATGGGAGTTGTAGGTCTACAACATTACAACATCTGGGGGGACAACGACTATCTTTTGTGCACGTCTGTGTTAGGTTTTCCTTTGGGTAAACCAATTTCCCTATGTGTGTGTGCAATAAATTTTGATGGCTTGGCACTCTCCTTTAAGTAATTCATTCAAAAACGTGCCTTGGTTCAACTCCCAATGCGTCCAAAATATAGAATTAAGTGATCCAGGAGGCACTCATAGGTCTTCAATTAGCAAAATGTGATTTATTGTATTCAAGTTACATACAGTTGATAGATCGACGTTTCGACCCTGCCGGGTCTTTCTCAATATCGTCTTAAGAAAGACCCGGCAGGGTCGAAATGTAGATCTTTCAACTGTATGTAACTTGAATACAATAAATCACATTTTGCTAATTGAACACCTATGAGTGCCTCCTGGATCACTTCATTCTATATATATATATATATATATGAAAGGAGTGTAGATAGTCATCCGTATGTTACACTAGAAGTTGAACCTTTGTGTCTTTGCTAACAAGTGATCTTGATAATTTCTGGCTATGGATTTAGTAGGCCTCACTGTATGCCAAATTGTATTTAATTTCTTTGAGTAAATGCTGTATGTCAGTTAATCTTCGGGTTATAGCAATCCTCTGAGGTCTGTTGGAAATCATATGATTCCAGTTTCCACCTCTTCTGAAAAACTCATTTCAGCATGCACGCTAGATTTATTTTGTCATGCAAAGTAATTTATGAACACTTAAGTAGCAGACATTATCATGTGAGTTATCATGCCATCACTTTATCCTTCCATGGTAAGATTCTTGGCTATAATATTTTGAGCTCAGCATAGATCTGGGTATATGGGGTGTTATTTGATTAAACGCCTCTATGTAAAATCAAAATGACTCCCTAATCTACATTACCTTGGTAGTATAGTTTAGGAAGGAATTCCAGTTACAAATTTCCTTGATCTCCTAATTAAAGAATATTGTGCTGGTTAGGTTACTATCTACCCAATTCCTATCAACTGTGCCCTTTATCTCCCATCTACAGCCACGTGTGTTAAATACACATCCCTCTTATTACACCAGAACTCCTGGAGGCCAGAAATCTTCCTTGTGCATCACACCGGCTTTAACACACATGTAAGGACTCCAATTGCTATGAATACTAGCCAGCATCGGGAGTGTCAAGGCAAGAATACCAAGCTCTGAGGTGAGCAGACCCGCAGGACATGCCTGAACAGCAGAATATTATTTAATAAGGACCCCTTGTGTTTGATAGATCATCAGTGCCATCCATAACTCCATAACACAGAAGTATAATAAGGTCACAGGCAAAATAAATACACTTGCTGTTGTTGTTGGCTTTATTTATTTATTTATTTATTTTTTGTGCAGTTACATAGCCAAATTGGGCAAATCGCAAATTAGTCCATAGCATTAAATTTGGACACATTTCTTGCTAGCCCCACTTCTCAGTTGGAGCAATTTAGTAGTCCACAACTTCTTATTTACACCACAAAAGCACTTTTAACATATTTAAAGGGACACTCCAGTACCAGGAAAACGAGCCCTTCAGGATCCTGCAGTGCTCCCCTCCCTCCCATGTTGCTGAAGGGATTAAAACACCTTCAGTGACTTACCTGAATCCAGCGCCGATGTCCCTTGGCACTGGGCCAGGCTCTGCCCAGACTGACGTCAGCGGGGGAGACCTAATGCACATGCGTGGCAATGGCTGCACACGCGCATTAGACCTCGCCATAGGAAATGCTTTCCTATGGGGATTCCGGTGACGCTAGAGGTCCTCATGCAGAGCGTGAGGACGTCCAGCGCCATTTAACATTTCGTGTTCTAAAAAGCCGGAAGTCCCTCTAGTGACTGTCTGATAGACAGCCACTAGAGGAGGACTTAACCCTGCAACATAATTATTGCAGTTTATAAAAGTGTCCCTTTAAGCCAATGCTTCTGGTAATATATATCTGCATTATAAAAAATTACATTTGACATGGTGTATATTTTATTCAAGGTGTGTGTGTGTGTGTGACCTGTAGAGTGTAAGAGAACTATTTAAAGGGAAACTATTGTGCCAGCACAACAAAGTTGTTTTCCTGGCACTATAGCTACCTATAGTGCTCCCTCCCTCACCTTCCATCCTCGCTCGCTATGCAGAAGGGGTTAAAAAACCCTTGTGTCACTTTTCTGATTTCAGCACTTTTCTGATGTCCCTCTGCGCTGATTCAGGCTGCACCTTCACTCGCATTAGGGATTTCCTATGAGGTTTCGGGTGACGCTGTTTGTCCTCATGCCTAGCGTGAGGATCTTCAGCGTCAGTTAGGTGACCAAAAGTTGCCTAACGACCCAGAAGTCCCTCTAAAGGTGGAGTTAACCCTGGCAGGCAATTATTGCATTTTATTAAAAACTACAATAATTGCCACTGCAGGATTAAGGGACCTGAGACACTGCACCCAGACCTTTTTAATGAGCTGACGTGGTTTGGATGCCTATAGTGTCCCTTTATTAATTTGTATTCAGTAATGTGCTTGGTGTGCTCCTGAAATTGGATTTACTTAGTTTTAAAGTGGATGGTAAATGTAAACGCGTATTGTGAAAATAAAATACATATTAAAATCTACAATAAAATGTGTTAAGATGGACAACTAATGTAAAACAGTATGTACAAAATTAGATACAACTAACACAGCCACAATCTGTTAGCACAGCTTGGGGTAAATAAATAATTATTGGCTCTACAAAGTTTACTTCAGAGCAATTTGGTGTCATTCCCAAAAAATTGAATTCCCAATGTGACATAGTAATCCAGACTTTTACCGTGCATTAAATTGCTGCTGAATTTATTAATTATGGAGCATGCTTCGGATTTCTATTATTTTCCCTACTGATTGTAGATTTACATGTCAGGTTCCTGTAGCCACAGAATTTTGAGGTGCTTTCTGCTCCCCCTTTAAAAAAGTAAGTTTAATGTATTTATCAACTTGACATTGCAGTCATGAAATAAATCTAAAAAACTTAATACGATTTCACAACTTGTATATTGTAATATGTATGCATGTGTGCATGTAGATTTGTATATATGTATGTATGTGCACTTTTCCTCTTGCAATTTGTATTTGAATATGTGACTATAGTGAGTGTGTGCTGCTGTGTAATGCATGTAGGGTTAAAAATAAAGTTGGAAGTGGTTAGGTTAAAGAGGGGGTTCAGATTATACAGTGATTAATGTCAGAGTTAGATTACATACAGTGTGTAGTGTTAAGTGGATTAAAAGCTTAAGAGTGGTTATAGCTGTGGTAGTTTTTTTATTTATAATTATTGAGTTTAAGAGTTAGAGTGGGGTTGAAGTTAGTTTTAAGGGCCACATGACGTGTTATTTTTAAGAGGCTTTTCTTTTCTCCTAGGTTTAGGTTTTGAGTACTTAAATTTGGACTAAGGAAAGAGCCTGTGTTTTACACCCTCTGTAACTGTTCCTACAGTTTGTGCTGTCAAGCAGAGGAGGACAGAGAACATTGGCCAAGGCTCCTGTTGCTAATTGAGGCTCACCAGCCCACCAAAACTCCCAAAAAAATATATCACACTTTTAGTGCTATAGATAGACAGGTGGCTGCTCTGTTTAAAGGGACACTATTGGCATCCAGACCACTTCAGCTCATTGATGTGGTCTGGGTGCAGTGTCCCAGGCCCATTAACCCTACAATTCTAATGATCGCCGTTCTTGATAAACTGCAATAATTACATTAGAGGGTTAACTGCATCTCTAGTGGCTGTTTAGCAGACAGCCATGAGAGGGACTTCCGGGTGGTGTTGCCTAACTAATACTGGACGTCCTCACACTTTGCGTAAAGACATCCAGCGTCACCCAAAAATTATACAATTCTTTCCTATGGGGGAAGTCCTAAGGCGAGCGCTGTGCTCACCGCGCATGAGCATTCGGTCCCCTCCATTGGCTGACCAGGAGCTGAAGAGGAATGTCATGAAGACCATGGTTAACATTGCCCCCTGCGGCGATGGCTCAAAAAAAAAAAAGGTTGATAGGAAAAAAGATGGTTCATGTTTAAGGGACAGCCACTAAATATTGCATTTACAGCTCAAGTGAGAAGTGACCAATAGAGGCAAAAAAGGAGGACCAGTAAAAAAATAAAATATATATTTTATATGTTATATGTTTAATAAATAATATGTGAATATAGATTTTTTTTTTTTTTTTAAACTGCTCCTCCTCTTTTTCTACCAACCTAATATTTATATTCAACAGTATACTGATTGGCCCATGTTTGGTTTGTCCAAATAGTTTTACTAAATTATTTACAAGGACTAAAATTGGCAGAGCCGAACGAACCTATGGACGTATTTTGGACTACTTGAGCATTTTTGTTTTCATATGAATTATTTTGGCCAAACCGAAGTCTACTGTATACACCTATATCTGCCATAATTAAAGTTTTTCGATACGGGATGGTTATATAGAATTCTCCTGGTTATTTTATTACCATAATCTTTTACTTTGTGTCTTTATGAAAAAAAGAGTGGTTATATCAGTCTTGTGACCTCTGTTAGAGCAATCTCACTTCACTCATTAACACAATTCCACATTACTGACTTTGATTTATTTTTTATTTTTTTTGTTGCTTTTTGGATCATTCTCTGTAATTAGACTGTAGAGCGTGAATATCCTAAAAGAGGTTGTCTCTGTTTCTACGTTTCTGGAATGTCTGCCACCAACAGGCATACCATGATCAAAGTCGCTTAAATCACATATCTTCCCCATTGTGATGTTCAAGTGAATAACCACTAAATCTCATAATTATAAATGCATGCTTAATATCAGCGTCACTCTTGTGAATTACAGGTTTTGAAATCATATCTTGCTAATTTAAATAACAGACAGATTATATTGTTTTATATGTATTTTCCTTTGTTTTTGCCCTGTTAAGTGCACAGTTGTTTTTTTTTTTTTTACTAGATTATTAAATACTGCATATCTTCCAACATTTCAAATGAGCAGAGAGGGACACTTTAATTTTAGAGAGTGTGAGTGGGGGTGGGAACTGGGGCCGGACAGTTCTGATACATTTTAGGTGGTTTACTAATAACAGTTTATGAAATTAAAACTTAATTTACCACCAGTTACTATCCGTCACTTCCTCCTAGCCTAGAGTCCGGGAGGGCTGTGAGCACACACAAGGTTCTGAGAGGGAGGAGGGAGCTCTTCAGGCAGTCAGCTGCAGACTCTCATCAGCTGTAGCCAGCCCCAGGAAGTCACCTCTTTGCAACCAAAAGGTATGGAAGCAGGGGGGTGAATAACAATATGTAAATTGTAACTTGTGCTTGCCAGTGTGTGTGTGTAGGTATGTGTTATTTGTGTGTGTACAAGTGTATGTGTCTGTGAAGGTATATGTTTGTATCTTTGTGTATGTGTCTGTGTAGGTATAAATGTGTATCTGTGTGGGTACATGTCTGTATCTGTGTGTTAGTGTGTTTCTGTGTCATTGTGTGTGGCCACATATGTTAAATAACAAAATAGTTACTATATATAAACACGGTATACATATAGATATACAGCCACCAGTGGCGTACACACAACCCATGGGGCCCCGGTGCGAAAACTGATCCGTGGGCCCCTCCCCCCACGCTTACTCTGCGTGGGCCGGGGCCGCAACAAATGGCGGCGGGCAATTGGCTGCAGGAGTCGCAGGGGTCGCAGCCCGCGGTATGTACGCCAGTGCATGCAGATACACATACACTTAAAGGACCACTACAAACACCCAGATCACATCAGCTCAATGAAGTGGTCTGGGTGCCAGGTCCCTCTAGTTTTAACCCTGTAGCTGAAAACATAACAGTTTAAAAAAAAACGTGTGTGTTAGAGTGTGTGTGTGTGTTAGTGTGTGTGTTAGAGTGTGTGTGTTAGTGTTAGAGTGTGTGTGTGTGTGTGTGTTAGAGTGTGTGTGTGTGTGTGTGTGAGTGTGTTAGTTTGTTTGTGTCAGTGAGTGTGTTAGTTTGTGTGCATCTGTGAGTGTGTTATTTTTTGTGTCAGTGAGTGTGTTAGTTTGTGTGTCAGTGAGTGTGTTAGTTTGTGTGTGTCAGTGAGTGTGTGTTTTGTAAGTGAGTGTGTATGTGTCAGTCAGTGAGTGTGTATGTATGTCACTGAGTGTGTGTCTGTCAGTAAATGTGTGTGTCTGTTAGCTAGTGTGTATGCGTCTGTTCCGCGATTCTCACTGTGAAAATCACAGAGAGAAGACGCTGAACGTCCATAGGAAAGCATTGAGTAATGCTTTCCTATGAGCGGTTTGAATGCGTGCTGCGTGAGGGAGCTGAAGAGGAAGCACTCAGGGGAGAGTGCTCCCTCGCGCGCCCGCCTGCCAGGGGACACCAGGGCCAGCCTCGGGGGGCCCTGAGGTGGCCGGCTCCTGGGCCCCCCAGGAGAAGAGGCTGACCACTGTGGCATACATACCGGGTCGCAGGGTGGCCGGACCCCCTGGTGGGTGTACGCCACTGACAGCCACCTTACAAAAGTGTACCTCACGAACACTCCAGTATAAAACCAACACAAACAGATATACACCCCAATAGGGGAAGTATAAAATGGGGGGTTGAGATACGGGAAAATATACAACCTGAAAATCAGGATAATATGGTAGTAATGTAGAATCTAAAAATAGAGAGCTCAATAAGGTGAAATACATTTGGGTGATATATCAAGTGGATTTAATAGAGAATCCTCCAATCCTGGGAGATAGAATGATTTGTTGAGCAATGGTACAAATAAATATTTTCCATAATATTAAAGGGACTCTCCAGTGCCAGGAAAATAATCTGTTTTCCTGGCACTGCTGGTCCCCTCTCCCTCCTACTATCCATCCCTGGTTGCTGAAGGGGTGAAAACCCCTTCAGTCACTTACCTGAGACCCTCGATGATGTCTCTCGGCAGTGGATTCTGCTCGCCGCTGCTCCTCCTCTTCCTTACGTCAGGCGGTGGGCGAGACTGATCCCGTCCGCCGGCTGAGGAGACCTAATGCGAATGCGCGGCAATGCCGCGCACGCACATTAGAGCTCTCCATAGGAAAGCATTGAAAATGCTTTTCAATGCTTTCCTATGGGGAATTGAGCAACGCTGATGGTCCTCACACAGCGTGAGGACGTCCAGTGACGCTATAGCACACGGAAGTGCCCTCTAGTGGCTGTCTAGTAAAGTTTTTTTATAAACTGCTATAATTACCTTGCAGAGTTAACTCCTCCTCTAACTCCTCCTCTAGTGGCTGTCTACTAACAAAGCCAGCCACCAGAGGAGGAGTTAGTAGACAGCCACTAGAGGAGGAGTTAACCCTGCAAGGTAATTATTGCAGTTTATAAAAAACTGCAATAATTACACTTGCAGGGTTAAGGGTAGTGGGAGTTGGGACCAAGACCACTCCAATGGGCAGAAGTGGTCTGGGCGCCTGGAGTGTCCCTTTAAATCATTTCAAAAGTTTATCCAAAAATGTAGAAATAAAATCATGTAGAAAACTTAGCCAACAATATTAATTAAATTGAGGCATTAGACAGACTGACTAAACACATTTAGTTTAAAGACACATTACCATAAGTATTATTGCTGCAGAACTCAGAACTACAGAACTCTTCTTTAGGAGAGACCAGAGTGATAGAGTGATTTGGGCCCCTCCTGAACAGTGAAACTTGGAAGATATGATGCTGAGTCCACTGATCAGCCACAACATCAAAACCACCTGCCTAATATTGTGTAGGTCCCCCTCGTGCTGCCATAACAGATCTGATACACCGAGGTATGGACTCCACAAGACCTCTGAATGTGTGCGGGGGTATTTGGCACTTTGCAGACATTTGCAACAGATCATTTAGGTCCTGCAAGTTGCAAGGTGGGACTTCCATAGATCAGATATGTTGTTCCAACACATCCAACAGATGCTCAATCAGATTGAGATCTGGGGAATTTGGTGGTGTAAAGCAACACCTTGAACTTTTTGTCATGTTCCTCAAACTATTCCTGATCAGGCATAACATTGCCTCCTCCAGCTTGGCTTGTTCCCAACTAGAGGTATTCCTTAATGCATCCTGCTGCCATCTCTTTCCCAGGTAAATAATGATGATGCACCTAGCCATCAATCTGATCTAAAAGAAAACATAATTCATTTTTTCCATGGTCCAGCGGTGGAAAGGGGTCAACATGGGCATTCTGACTGGTTTGCGGCTACACAACCCCATACACAGTAAACTGTGATGCATTGTGTGTTATGACACGTTTCTATCATGTCCAGCATTAGGTTTTTCAGCAATTTTAGCTACAGTAGCACTTCTGTGTAATCAGACGAGACGGGCTAGCCTTCGCTCCCAATGTGTATCAGTTAGTCTTGGGCACTCATGACCCTGACACCAGTTTACTGGTTGTCGTTCTTTGTACCACTTTTGGTAGGTACTAACCACTGCATACAGAGAACACCCCACAAGACTAGCCATTTTGGAGATATTCTGACCTAGTCATCTAGCCATCACTTTTTGGTCCTTGTCAAAGTAATTCAGATCTTTTTGCTTTCCCATTTCTCCTGCTTCAAACACAGAAAATTCAAGAACTGACTGTTCACTTGCTGCCCAATATATCCCACACCTTGACAGATTCCATTGCAACAGTATAATCAATCTTATTCACTTCACTTATCGGTGGCTTTAATGTTGTGTCTCATCAGTGTATATTATTAAAGTTTTATAGTGACAAATTGCAAAAAATTATTTTTTTTTTGCTTGTGTAAACTGGCATCTTGTTTTAATTTTAGGCGGATGAAACCTGCAAGTGCAATGGATGGAAGAACCCAAATCCCCCCACAACACCACCTAGGGTGGATTTACAGCAGACAGTGGTTAGCCTCACTGAACCATGCCGTAGCTGTTCTCATTCACTTGGTAAGAAAAAAAAACAACACCTTTTTCAACACCAATGGAAATAAATGAAGAAAAAGAAAAATTACACTTCTCTTGTACAGTAATTGTAGAAAACTCAATTGTCCATTGAAGAATTCAGAATACAAAAAAAAAACCTGTTAAACATATAAGTAAAACAAATACCATAAATACACTGAACAAAATTATAAACGCAACACTTTTGTTTTTGCCCCATATTTCATGAGCTGAACTCAAAGATCTAAGACTTTTTCTATGTACACAAAAGGCCTATTTCTCTCAAATATTAATCACAAATCTGTCTAAATCTGTGTTAGTGAGCACTTCTCCTTTGCCGAGATAATCCATCCACAATATATACAGTAAATACTGTCCCAACAGTGTGCTTTGATCTATGCGTTTAAATGCATTACAATAGGAAGATTTAAGTATTTTAAGTGGAATACCCCTAGTTGTGAGATATGCCTGTTATTCTCTAAATCATGTGCTTCTTAAAGACACATTTGCTCACTATGGTTACAATATTACTCCATGTTTGTGTTTTCATTCTATTTTTTGCAGATTCACTTTTTATGTACAGGCTGTCCTCACTTACTGACTGGGCTCCGTTCTTACAACCCTGTTGTAAAACGAATCAGTCGGTAAGTGAGAATGCGCTAGTGAGCATGCGCAAGAGAGCAGGTCTACATTCGGGGGAATTCCTCGGAATATAAATCAGTTCCCTAGCGCAGGGAATCCCACAAATCTATGTTCGGAGGAACTTACCTAAACATAGAGTAGCTTACTAGCGCAGTGAATCCCAATAATCTATGTTGGGGGGAAATTCCCCGAACATAGACCAGCTCTCTAATGTGGGGAATCCATTGAATCCCCACACTAGACAGCTAGTCATAAGTGTGAGCCTTTGTAAAACAGGTAGGTCGTTAAGTGAGGACCACCTGTATACAGAAAAAAACATAAATATCTCTTTAGTGAGTGCATGCCACCAAGAATATGGATGGGCAGTGCCCTGTCTATCTGCTCAAAACTATACTAACCTTCTCCTCAATCTCCATAATGTGGCAAATTCAGGCAATAATTTGGGGTGTTAGGGGCTGACGTCCTTGATAAGGGATAGGATACTAGTGTTTTTATAGTGTTTATTGGGCATTGTTAATCAAAGCAGATGCTAATGAGGTATTACAGAGACACTAGGGAGTGAGTGGATATTTAAGACAGAGAAACAGGAATGGGGGGTTCGGGATCAGGAATGCATGTTTTAAGGGATGGCTTTGTGGATTGGTCTTGTACACAGCCTGTTGGGAGAGGTCACCGCATTTTGTTTGGTGCCAACGCCCCGTTGGTTTTAAAACTTAGCAGTCCCTCATGTTACACTGTACGAATAACTCTCAATAAGCACACATGCATTTTTTTCTATTTGTAATATTATAAGCAATTCAAATCAAATGATACTGAGATAGAATCATATGCACCATCTTTAACCAATACTCACCATGATCTCCTCTAACTTTCTAGTGTCAAATGCATTGTATCTTCACTCTAATACCTTTCAGTGTTTATCATCTACAAAGCATCAAATTAAAGTATGTTCTTTGAATTTTTAATGTTTTTCAGCCTCACATGTATCACATTTAGAGAATGTGTCAGAAGAAGAAATGAGCAGGCTTTTGGGAATTGTGTTAGATGTTGAGTATCTGTTCACATGTGTGCACAAAGAAGAAGATGCTGATACCAAACAAGTATATTTCTATCTATTTAAGGTACTACATGATACATTATAGTTAATACTCTTAATTGAATGTTTAACAGAATTTGCAAAGATCCCTTAAAGTGACATTCACAGCAGCCTGGTGTAGGAGCAAAAGTAAGATATACTTGCCTGAAGCACTCTCTCTAAGGCCTCTCCATCTTTCTTATGGGGACTGCCTTTGTTAAGTGTTATATAAAATCTATATACATTTTAGAACAACTTTAAAATGACACTGTCACATGCAGGATCTTTGTTGATTTTGTTTTGCAAATATTCCACAATGTGTCATGTGTGCTTGTGTGGACGCTCCCAAGTAGGGAGCAGATAGAGATAAATACTTACCTCATTCTGTTCCTCTGCAATGCTTCCATCTTTTTCGTCTATACCTGATGACTTTATACACAAGGAGCTGTTGTCACTTTTGTACTCTTACACATGTATGAGAGTACAAAACTGAGTATATGGAGGATATTGCAAGACCACAGGATACTCCATAGATAATTTTTTGTATCTGCAATAAGCGACTGACAGCTGATGGGAAATGGCAAGGTAAAATCTATCTTTTGTCAAAGATTGGCATTACATTAGGTATATCTTTTTATTTTTCAAGAGATTCCAAAACAGTCAAAAAGTGCTTTTCAGAGAGATCCTATGTGTCTGAAAACCTCAAAAATGACAGAGCTACTTTAATATTCCTAATGCTTTTAAAGAGTGCTCTGCAAATTCATTGCTCATCCAGTATTCCAAACAATCTCTCAATATATATGAATCTGTTGATGGTAATTAGTTCTCTAAAGTATCTTGGGGAGAATCCTGCCAGTTCCCAGATTCAGAGAACAGCAACTTGTGTTTGTACAAAATTGTCCCCTTTTGTCAAGTAAATGCTTTATATTGTTTTGCTTTATTTTGAGAATGTGACTTTATTTCTTATTTTTTATTTGTTTTTACTTACAGCTGTTACGAAAGTGTATTCTACAAATGGTAAAACCTGTGGTGGATGGATCATTGCAAAGTCCTCCATTTGAAAAACCAAGTATTGAACAGGTAAAAATAGTGATACTATCGCACCGTGGATGTGTATTTATATAGTTGTATAGTTCTATAAACATTCTGCACATGGTCCAATTCTAAGTAGCATTCATTCAAGAATTAAACATGTTTATCTGTTTTTAACTTACATAGGTTTCTCATCCTGTAGTATGTGTACCCAAGGGGGTACGCGCACCAAAAGCAGTGGGTACGCTAAGAGCTGCTAGACTTACCACCTTTGAGCCCCCTATGACACTGCCAGCTGTGCGTTAAGCCAGAGTAACTGTCTACCTTGACAAAATACCGTGTCTGGCAAAGGAGTTTTAATCTCTGTGCTCTTCCAGCACTGCTCCCTCCTGCGCCCTGTGATGATGTCCAGAGTATGACATTACTCTGGTCCCAGCATTACTAAACAGTGCACGAGAGAGCAGAGCAAGAAGACCTTGAAATGACAGCACACTAGACCCCAGGGAAAGTATCCCCATTGGAACACAGGTATAGGATCCATTCCAGCTCTCCCAAATGTAGGGAGGCTGGGTGGACTTAAATAAAATAGTAAAAATAAATATTTGAGTGTGTGAGAGAATGTGTACGTGTCTGTCAGTGAGTGTGCCTGTCAGTGTGTGTAACATCCATGAGAGTGTCTATCAGGGTGTGTCAAATTGGTGAGTGTGTGTGTGTGCCAGTAAATGTCCCACCCTTTACGTCTACTTCTCCCCCATGCGTCTACTTCTACTCCCACACGTCTACTTCTCCCCTCCTCCTATACGTCTACTTCTCCCCTCCCCCCATATGTCCACCCACTTCCTCACACACACATGCAGACACACACATACAGGCACACATACACATACATACAGAGGCACACATACATACAGGCACACACACACATACATACATACATACATACATAAATATATAGACACATTCATACAGATACACATACAGAGACATACATACAGACACACATACAGAGACACACATACAGTAACACACACCTGCAAAATGTTCAAGTCAACCTCCTGTTTCCCACCTTTTTGGTGCAGGAGGGTGACTTTCCCTGGGGTCCAGTGGTGGCTCAGTCTGATAAGAGTCAAAGTTCCCACTCTGACTCCCTCTCCTTCCTCCCGCGCCTCTCTCTCTCACAGATCCATAGTTATGCCCCTTCTTGGTCTCTTCGCTCTGCTTGTGACCTTCTCCTGTCCGTTGCTCGCACCTGTACGGCCAACTAACGTTTGCAGGACTTCTCGCGGGCAGCTCCCTTCCTATGGAATAGCCTGCCTACCGCCATCAGACTCTCCCCTAGTCTTCAGTCGTTTAAGAAGTGCCTTAAAGCCCATCTCTTTAGGAAAGCTTATGGCCTCCCAAAGTAACCTCTTCCTTGCATATCTGTCTCTTGCTTTCTCCTGAAGGGCAGCACACTACTCTCTCCTGAATCTCTGCTACACATACACACATACTCACACTAATACACACACTCAAACTCATACACACATAAACAAACTCACACACAAGTGATTTTTTTTTTTTTATATATCTCCAGCCACCCTCCTGTTAGCTTACCTTATGTGCCAGGAGGGTGGCTTGGAGTCCTGCTGCTGTGGGAGCGAGAGGTCTGGAGCTCTTCGTGCTCCTGTCCCCTCACGCTGCGGCTGCCTCCTCTCCCTCCTGCACTGCCTCCCTGCAGGATGCTGGGAGGAAATGACAGGCTGTCACTTCCTCACAGCCAGCCGATATTACAGGGGCCCGGTCGCGGTCTTAAAGGACCGCGGCACTCAAACGGGTCCCTGTTGAGCAGTAATGTTTCCAATGGTTCTATAATCATAGCACCAGGGAAATATTCCATGGCACCCCTGTGTACACAGTTTGGGAACCTCTGGTCTATACTATTAAAAGGAACACAACAAGCTCTTGTGCCATTGTAAGTAATCATACTGTTTTAGAATAAGGTGACTTCTTACTTGGAGTCCACTACATGCTGCTTCCCATCTCCTCTCAGAAGCCAGGGGAACTGGAAGCTTCTTCTTAGGAGCTTACTTTAGCTCTCCTGAGCTATGTCCTACAATTCAGGGTCAGCTAAATGGCTGAGAATGTCAGCTGATCGCTCTCATTCAATGAGCTAAACCCTGTACTGCTGGACTGTCCAGCTGGTCTCGAGGCTGCAGTGGAGGCAGAGGCTGGCACCTGGTGAATCCCAGGTAAGAAATCAAACCGTTCTAAAACCAGGTCACTCCCAACACCATAACCACTACAGTGCACTGTAGTGGTTACGGTTCTTAAAATGGTTCTTTAATGGTTAATATTGGCACCCTAGATATTGTTGAACTGCATTCTGTTGTTACACAGCTAGCATAAAGGTGCCACATTTGGACACAGTTGGTTCGTTGTGTTTCAGTATGACTGGAGAGAGTGGTATTATGTGTACTTGGGCAAGGAGACATGAGGAATTTCCTGCTTGCAGCATATTGATGCACTAAGGTTATATATATCATTTATCAAGCTGCAAAAGCAAATGTGCACAGGGCAATGTTTTGTTCCATTTTTTTAAGGCTGCTTATTTTAAAAAATGAGTGCAACATTTTCTGTCTTAATCCATCACAATGTTTTCAGAGTGCTTGTTCCAATTTATATTTCCACTTTGGTAATATTTTTGCTTGACTTGATTTATTCATTTAACATTCCTATTCACATAACTGCACAATTTCAAAACCCAAAATGCTGAATCAAGAGTCTGTCATTGCTAAATTATTACTGCTCCACTGCTGCAACATACAGGTTAGATAACCATTACAAAGGAAAGATTTGGAATTGTAGGGAAAAAAAATCCCTTAGTGTCCCAGCATATTAATCATTCTTAACTGCATTCTCAGTCTCCTCGCAATAAACATGCCAGCGGTAGGTGATTGTATATCTAATAATATGTCATTTGTATCATGATTTCTAGCACAAAAAGTATTTGGGAGCTAGAGAGTAATTTATTTCATAATGAAAATATTTGGTGAAAAGTAAATTTTTTTTGTACTTGAACTTGTACTAATATTAAGTAAAATGCAGTCAGGACCAGGCAAACAATGCTCCTTAGACAGCTGTTAATTGAAATTAGAATGGGGACTCTTTTAAATATATATATATATATATGTATATATATATATAAATGTATGTATATATATATATATATATACATACATACATACATATATATATATATATATAATTCAATTAGGTTATGGTGGGGAAAAATTGTGATTGAAAACCCCTTCCACCTGAAGTATGTGGATAGTTAATACAATGCTAAACAAAAATCTGCACACCAGTCAAGCCATAAGACTTGCTTTTCCCACAGAAATCCCAAATCAGCAGTGATGTTACAACCGCAAAGGATTCTGGGTGGGCATATGCAAATTAGTTTAACAAAGAATCACATTTTTGCCTCATTCCATTTTAAACATGGATTCCTTTTAATTTGTGTTTGCAGTATACAACTGCTTGGAACACAATTTAGGATAAGATGCAAAACCAGTGAACCACTCATGGACAGCTGTTTCGTTGTTAATGCAACTCTTCAGCATGAGGTTGGTTACTGGTTTGCTTAGTAAGGCTTGGTAGTGCTTGGGAAGCAAAATTCAATTAGGTTATGGTGGGGAAAAATTGTGATTGAAAACCCCTTCCACCTGAAGTATGTGGATAGTTAATACAATGCTAAACAAAAATCTGCACACCAGTCAAGCCATAAGACTTGCTTTTCCCACAGAAATCCCAAATCAGCAGTGATGTTACAACCGCAAAGGATTCTGGGTGGGCATATGCAAATTAGTTTAACAAAGAATCACATTTTTGCCTCATTCCATTTTAAACATGGATTCCTTTTAATTTGTGTTTGCAGTATACAACTGCTTGGAACACAATTTAGGATAAGATGCAAAACCAGTGAACCACTCATGGACAGCTGTTTCGTTGTTAATGCAACTCTTCAGCATGAGGTTGGTTACTGGTTTGCTTAGTAAGGCTTGGTAGTGCTTGGGAAGCAAAATTCAATTAGGTTATGGTGGGGAAAAATTGTGATTGAAAACCCCTTCCACCTGAAGTATGTGGATAGTTAATACAATGCTAAACAAAAATCTGCACACCAGTCAAGCCATAAGACTTGCTTTTCCCACAGAAATCCCAAATCAGCAGTGATGTTACAACCGCAAAGGATTCTGGGTGGGCATATGCAAATTAGTTTAACAAAGAATCACATTTTTGCCTCATTCCATTTTAAACATGGATTCCTTTTAATTTGTGTTTGCAGTATACAACTGCTTGGAACACAATTTAGGATAAGATGCAAAACCAGTGAACCACTCATGGACAGCTGTTTCGTTGTTAATGCAACTCTTCAGCATGAGGTTGGTTACTGGTTTGCTTAGTAAGGCTTGGTAGTGCTTGGGAAGCAAAATTCAATTAGGTTATGGTGGGGAAAAATTGTGATTGAAAACCCCTTCCACCTGAAGTATGTGGATAGTTAATACAATGCTAAACAAAAATCTGCACACCAATCTTATCCGAAATTGTGTTCCAAGCAGTTGTATACTGCAAACACAAATTAAAAGGAATCCATGTTTAAAATGGAATGAGGCAAAAATTTGATTCTTTGTTAAACTAATTTGCATATGCCCACCCAGAATCCTTTGCGGTTGTAACATCACTGCAGATCTGGGATTTCTGTGGGAAAAGCAAGTCTTATGGCTTGACTGGTGTGCAGATTTTTGTTTAACATTGTATTAACTATATATATATATATATATATATATATATATATATATATATATATATATATATATATTATCAACAGCAAAACACATTTCTGCTTCCTAGCCAAAGATTCTTAGAGAGGCATTCTAAGTACTATAACCACTTCAACTCAGTGTAGTGGTTATGGCGCAAAGAGCCATCCCACATTTTTTGTCAAAAAATTTAGAGGGATTTAACAAAAACAATGGCACCTAGAGCTCGTCCAACTTTTCAACCATGTTGGTAATATGGACCTTACACATCCGCTTTATTGGTATCAATACCATCTACATAGATGGCAACAATTTGTTGTGAGTGCCATGCTTTCGTTATTCTATTTCTCAAAGTGATTCGTATGAATGCAATGTGTGTTTAACCCTTATACAGCATAAGGCGCAGCACATGCACTAATTAAACAGATGTTCTAATAGTGGTAAAATGGACATGAATCAATAGGAGGGGAGGTTCTTATCCCATAAAGCTTATAATCTATGCCATTTTTATTTTTTCTCCTTAGGGTGTAAATAATTTTGTGCAGTATAAGTTCAGCCACCTTCCAACAAAAGAAAGACAAACTATTATTGAGCTGGCTAAAATGTTTTTGAACCGCATTAACTACTGGCATCTAGAAACTCCCTCCCACAGAAGGCTGAGATCACCCAATGAGGATAACGCAGATTACAAAGTAAACTACACAAGGTAATAGAGATATATTTATTTACTGAGGCACTGTAAGCAGCACAACCACCACAGTGTGTTTTTTCCCCAAGAGAGCCTTGTCTGAGAGACATGGTGTGAAATGAATTGGGAGTCTGGGCTTGCAAAATATTATATTATTCCTCTCCCTTTACCCCTTTCCTCTTATAACTTCCCTCATCTACCTCTACTGCTTCTCCTTAATTTCATCCAGATTCCTTAATTCAGAAGTGTCTGTCAGAACACCATCTGGGAACATTTGAAGTTAGAGTTTTGATATGTTGTTATTATTATTATTATGTTATTATTTATATATTGCCAACAAATTCCGCAGCGCTTTACAATGGGTGGACGAACAGACATGTACAGGGAATGCAGAATTATTAGGCAAGTTGTATTTTTGAGGATTAATTTTATTATTGAACAACAACCATGTTCTCAATGAACCCAAAAAACTCATTAATATCAAAGCTGAATATTTTTGGAAGTAGTTTTTAGTTTGTTTTTAGTTATAGCTATGTTAGGGGGATATCTGTGTGTGCAGGTGACTATTACTGTGCATAATTATTAGGCAACTTAACAAAAAACAAATATATACCCATTTCAATTATTTATTATTACCAGTGAAACCAATATAACATCTCAACATTCACAAATATACATTTCTGACATTCAAAAACAAAACAAAAACAAATCAGTGACCAATATAGCCACCTTTCTTTGCAAGGACACTCAAAAGCCTGCCATCCATGGATTCTGTCAGTGTTTTGATCTGTTCACCATCAACATTGCGTGCAGCAGCAACCACAGCCTCCCAGACACTGTTCAGAGAGGTGTACTGTTTTCCCTCCTTGTAAATCTCACATTTGATGATGGACCACAGGTTCTCAATGGGGTTCAGATCAGGTGAACAAGGAGGCCATGTCATTAGATTTTCTTCTTTTATACCCTTTCTTGCCAGCCACGCTGTGGAGTACTTGGACGCGTGTGATGGAGCATTGTCCTGCATGAAAATCATGTTTTTCTTGAAGGATGCAGACTTCTTCCTGTACCACTGCTTGAAGAAGGTGTCTTCCAGGAACTGGCAGTAGGACTGGGAGTTGAGCTTGACTCCATCCTCAACCCGAAAAGGCCCCACAAGCTCATCTTTGATGATACCAGCCCAAACCAGTACTCCACCTCCACCTTGCTGGCGTCTGAGTCGGACTGGAGCTCTCTGCCCTTTACCAATCCAGCCACGGGCCCATCCATCTGGCCCATCAAGACTCACTCATTTCATCAGTCCATAAAACCTTAGAAAAATCAGTCTTGAGATATTTCTTGGCCCAGTCTTGACGTTTCAGCTTGTGTTTCTTGTTCAGTGGTGGTCGTCTTTCAGCCTTTCTTACCTTGGCCATGTCTCTGAGTATTGCACACCTTGTGCTTTTGGGCACTCCAGTGATGTTGCAGCTCTGAAATATGGCCAAACTGGTGGCAAGTGGCATCGTGGCAGCTGCACGCTTGACTTTTCTCAGTTCATGGGCAGTTATTTTGCGCCTTGGTTTTTCCACACGCTTCTTGCGACCCTGTTGACTATTTTGAATGAAACGCTTGATTGTTCGATGATCACGCTTCAGAAGCTTTGCAATTTTAAGAGTGCTGCATCCCTCTGCAAGATATCTCACTATTTCTGACTTTTCTGAGCCTGTCAAGTCCTTCTTTTGATCCATTTTGCCAAAGGAAAGGAAGTTGCCTAATAATTATGCACACCTGATATAGGGTGTTGATGTCATTAGACCACACCCCTTCTCATTACAGAGATGCACATCACCTAATATGCTTAATTGGTAGTAGGCTTTCGAGCCTATACAGCTTGGAGTAAGACAACATGCATAAAGAGGATGATGTGGTCAAAATACTCATTTGCCTAATAATTCTGCACTCCCTGTAGTTGTAGCCAGACAAGTTGGACACACAGGAATAGAGGGGTCGAGGGCCTTGCTTAATGACATGCTATTACATGCTAGAGGGAGTGGGGTAAAATGACAAAAAAGGTAAGGATAGTATTAGACTAATGACAGTTGCAAGAGAGGAATCAGTCGGGAGCTATTAACAGTTTAATTGATACGCTTTTATGAAGAAGTGGGTTTTTAATGATTTTTTGAAGGAGTGGAGACTGGGTGAGTATCTAACGGAGGAGGGAAGTGAGTACCACAGAACGGTGCAGCCCTCGAGAAGTGTTGAAGGTGAACATCAGAGGTGGAAGTACGGACAGAAGATAAACGTAAGTCTTCAGCAGACCAAAAGGGACTAGACAGGACATACTTGTGTATTAGCTAGGATAGATAGGTGAGAGCAGCATTATGTAGAGATTTGAAAGCAAGAACCAGAATTTTAAATTGAACCCTATATCTTACAGGAAGCCAATGTAGGGACTGACAGAAGGGTGAGGCATGGGCGGTGCGGGTAGACAAGAAGATGAGCTTGCCGCCGCGTTCATTATGGACTGTAACGATGCAAGATTGGAGCACATAAAACCACTGAGAAGTAGATTACAGTACTCAAGACGAGAAAGGACAGTGGGATGGACCAGCACCTTAGTTGCATCTGACGTTAAGTAGGGCAGGATTTGGCGATAGACTGAACATGAGGTGTGAAGGAGAGGTCGGAGTCAAAGAGAACACCTAGGCAGCGAGCCTGCGTGGTGGAGCTGATGGTAGCACCGTTGACTTGGAGGGTGAAAAACACAAGAGTAGCAACACTTGAGGGAGGAAAGACCAGAATTTCAGTTTTGGTCAAGTTGAGTTTAAGGAAGTGGGCAGCCATCCAGTTAGAAATAGCAGGGAGGCAGTCAGAGACACTAGTCAGGAGGGACGTGGAGATATCAGGAGAGGACAGGTAGAGTTGTATGTTATCCGCATAGAAATGATATTGGAAGCCAAAGGAGCTAATGAGTTTACTAAGGGAGGCAGTATAGATAGAGAACAGTAGGGGACCAAGGACTGAACCTTGGGGGACACCAACAGAGAGGAGTTGGGGAGAAGAAGCAGAGCCAGAGAAAGAAATATTGAAAGAGCGCTGGGAGAGGTAGGAGGAGCACCAGGAGAGAGCAATATCTTGTAGACCGATATTACAGAGGATCAGAAGAAGCTGTTGATGATCAACAGTGTCAAAAGCCTCAGACAGGTCAAGGATAGAGTAGTGACTACGAGATTTTGCAGCAAGTAGATCATTGGATACTTTGGTCAGTGCAGTTTCCACAGGGTGCTTAGCACAGAAACCAGACTAAAGCGGGTCTAGCAGAGAGTTGGACTCGAGGAAGTCTGGCAATCTCGCATACACAACTCTTTCAAGGATCTTGGATGCAAAAGGCAGTAGCGAGATAGGATGGTAGTTGGATGGGGAGTTAGGGTCAAGGTTGGGATTCACCAGTATATATACTGTCGCTGTCTTTTAAAATGTTTCTGCAAACATTTTCTCCCCCCTCCCCCCCCCAAAAAAAAGGTCATGAAGCAATACAGCATATTACAGAGGTCAAAACTTCCAAAAATAATTTGCCCTAAAATTAGCTCTAAAATAGCTGGACTGGACACAGCTGAAATGCAGAATTTGCTAAATGTAGGTATTTTTTGCCAACAATTTGTAATTCCTTGGTAAATTACTGATGATTCATATGTACTTTATTCTATTGTAGGATTATATAAATTATGTAACAAGGGTCTTATCTTTTCATTTTCCTTTTTTCTTACTGCAGGTGGCTTTGCTACTGTAATGTCCCGCAATTCTGTGACAGTTTGCAGAGGTACGAAACTACCCAAGTTTTCGGGAGAACCCTGCTGCGTTCTGTTTTCACGGTCATGAGACGTCAGTTACTGGAGCAGGCCAGACAGGAGAAAGACAAACTGCCACCGGAAAAGCGAACACTAATACTGACTCATTTCCCAAAGTAAGAAAATAGTCTAACCTGATAGGGAGTAATGTCATTTAACATTGTCTTGTCTTCCACAAAAGGTGTGGATAACACGGTCAGAATCAGGTAGGTGTACAAATGCCATCTTTGTAACTTCCTTGTGAAGTCATCGGCACATGGCTAAATTAAGAGATATATGTGCTTGAAGTTTCTTCTTTTAAGATGACTGTCATGGTGGATGTGAGGCTATGTGCACTCATCTGGACCACAAAGTTGCTATACATTTGGCTGCATCAATGCTTCACGATTGCCATTATGAGAAGCTGAGTGTAGAATTTACATGAGTACATGCACCCACATACACTTATTGCAGTTGAAATGTTTCTTGCTTTTAACAGTTCTACAGTTTCAAATAAGAATTTATCACTTAACTGTAATATACAAAGTTGCTATACAGTTTTTATAAAGTGATTACATGTCTACAATTGTTGTATATTGCAATAATGCTAAAGGTAAGCTTTTAGATATGAAAGTACTTGTATTCATGATATTAATGCATTTATAAGGAGATGTGGAAGCTTCATATGTAACTGAAATAATTCTCAGGAGTCGGTTGGTGTATGACAGCACTCCTGTTTATCGTGTGCGGTGCAAATAAGAGATTGTCCTACCTACCTTTGAAGACCAAGCATTTCAAGCCCAAAGACTTACTCCAAACTGACTGAAAAAGAGGGTGAGAATGCCATTAGCGTTAAGCACAAATAATGGCATGTTGCGGGGAAGAAGGAAGAAAGTCTTAGCAGTTGACAGTTGAAAAATCTGTTGAAAGTTAAAACTCATTTTGATGACACCAAAAAAACAAAAAACCCTTAAAAATATTTTGCCATGCAAAATCTTTATACATATAAAGTTAATTTTATACATACAAAGTTATTTTTAAACATATGACTATATCTATGAACGATATAAAGTTACTTTTATACATATGACTCACACATCAATGAAAAGTGGCATCGGCAACCAACTACCTGCTGGGTCAACTTACGGATTATGATCTGCTGGTTATTTTGTCTTCACTATTCCTGCTCCAAACTAGAGTGGAGGTCCAGTTAAAATACCCAAAACTGAGAAAACCAGAGTTAAAACTAGTATTCGCCTGTTTTAGCAGTGAAAAGGTGATGTCTAAACGCCTTTTAAAAGCAAATAGGGCCAATAGGGACAACAGTAACTAACCAAGTACTTAGTTAAAAAAATGTTTTAATATCAAATAAAGTATTTACTGAAAGACATTTACATTCATTGCATATTCCCTTAAAATAAAATCTGTACATCACATTGTGCATACTGAGGTGCCTCTTACACATGATAAAAAAATAATGTAATTGCATATTTATCCCTCTGCCAGGTGATTTGAAGTTGCAAAATATATAGCACTTCCTATATACATATATAAATAAAACACATTGGCATTTTTTCTTATCACCCCTCCCCTCCCCCTCCTAAGTGCACAATGTGTATATTTTTAATGCAATTTTGATGGAATAAAGTCATAATTATTTTTTTTTAACTGTAACAATTGAGTCTGCACTGAAGCACAGGACCCAGTCTTCACAGTTAAATATGATTTTGGTAGGAGGAGAATCTACTCAGCGGGACTCTTGTGGTAAACACCAATTGTTCCTCCATTTTACTTTATTGATGCTGTCAGTCTCTGAACTGCAACTAATTTATATTATTAAATATATAGATCTGCCTGGCTGGACAGGGGAAGGCTTTAGTACCTGCTGTCTCGAACGCACCCTATTCCAGGAGTGTGCGTGACGTAGTTGTGGTGGTGAAAGGGTTAAAGTTCACTATTCATCTGCACTAGACCGGAAGTAATGACAAAATCCCCCTTAACTCCACCCACACTTAAACATAATAATACAACTTTTACTATTTTAACGCTGCCACCACCAAGACAATTTATAAATGGGATGCCTTGGTCCCCCAGGTAAATCAATAATAAAACCCTACCAAATATAGCACAATATCTATGTAATTGCAAAATACTAATTAGTCTCTTCAGGTAATGGGATTCTTTTACCAGACAAAGGCAGAACTTAATAAAGGGATCTTTATTATGAGCATAAAATAGTCACAGTGCATACAAAAATATAGATGATAAAAAATTATTTACACCCACAACAGATAAAAACAAAAGGGATAAAGTACCAGAAGTGCTAAACACTCACTTAGGTTTTCAAAGTAAAACTTCTGCGCTCCGGCAAGGAAGATGGTGACTTACTCAAAATTAGATTTTGTCCCCAAGCAAGTTAAATACACACTTCAGTCTCATTAGAGATATACCCTCTGGATTACCACGCCTCACCCAGAGGTGGAGTTAAGGCGAATCTATAGAGACCCCAAGTGACCACCCCCTTGTGTCCAGATCCACATCAATCCAAATGGAAACATTTGGCTCTATCTTCTTTTATGTACCCGCCACAGAAATAATAGTTGCATCTATGAATTTGTTATTATTTTCCCATTATATACATATGTTGCATGCCGGACTTGCGATCCAATAGGACGGACATCACAATTCCTTCCCCTATGGTCAAGTTAGGCCACTCATGTTTGGGCTTGTTTAGAAGATGGGGCTTGTCACATTCCAAATATAATAAAAATGAGGCTTAATTATTATTCTGTGAATGTTTTTTCCTTCCTTTGCAAATGATACTGGATCAAGACTAATGGCTATTAACATATCACAGAGATTGGCTCATTGATCACAAGGTACAGCCAAATGGCTGAAGCCAGCTAGACATTCAGGCTTTTAAAAGTGTAGAATCTCACACCCTGCAGAGCCTCGATTAATTCACATCCATATGGTAAAATCCTTTTCACATTCCTATGCAATTCACAGTACCCCTTCTGTCATCTGACCTCTGTGGGGGTTCCAGCTTTAAAAGATGTAACCCCTTTTGACCTCCATACAATCAAATTAACCCCTTTTGACATTGACAATACCATCTTTGCCAGGCTGGCAGGTCCTTAATGCACTACACAAATTACATTAAAGGACCACTATAGTGCCAGGAAAACATACTCGTTTTCCTTGCACTATAGTGCCCTGAGGGTGCCCCCACCCTCAGGGTCCCCCTCCTGCCGGGCTCTAGGGTGAGGAAGGGGTTAAACTTACCTCTTTCTCCAGCGCCGGGCAGGGAGCACTCCTCCTCCTCTCCGCCTCCTCTCCTCCTCCTCGGCTGAATGCGCATGCGCGGCAAGAGCCGCACGTGCATTCAGCCAGTCTCATAGGAAAGCATTCACAATGCTTTCCTATGGACGCTGGCATCTTCTCACTGTGAAAATCACAGTGAGAAGCACGCAAGCGCCTCTAGTGGCTGTCAATGAGACAGCCACTAGAGGCTGGATTAACCCTATTATAAACATAGAAGTTTCTCTGAAACTGCTATGTTTATAGAAAAAAGGGTTAACCCTAGCTGGACCTGGCACCCAGACCACTTCATTAAGCTAAAGTGGTCTGGGTGCCTATAGTGGTCCTTTAAAGGACAATATTCCATAGTGTAATAATAAATTATGCATCCTTGCTGTGACACCTGCTTCTGATTAATAAGCTTGGTATGATGTTACCATATAATCTAAAAATAAAATCAATGATCCTTACATGCCCAGTCATGAGCAGGTTAACTGTAAACCTGGTATCTAGTACACCAAACATTGTCAAGGTGATACATGTTATACCTCACAACACCTACCTTTTATGTACCTACAAATGTACTTTCTTTAACTACTCAAGGATAAGAAATTGTGACATAGCATGCTGATCAGACATGTATAGCAAATGGTTAGAGGCATGTACATAAACAAACACAATAACCATTACAGCTGCAAAGATTCTTTTTCTCAGGATAACTCTCAAACAAAGAAATTCTTCCATGCACAGCTGTTACTTTTTTTCAAGAAAAATATGAAATCGAACAGATTCTATTATATTTGCGAGCCGACTCATTCAAGTTTGTCATGATTACTATAAGCCAGATCTATAGTGCGTTTGCACAGCATAAGCCCAATCCTGTAAAGACTTAATTGAATCTATAGTTCTGTTGTCCCATTGTAGATGCCTGGTTATATATATCAGTTAATTTTAGCAAACTGCATATGAACTATACAACTGAATGAAGAATTTACAAAAATAACCTTTTTCTTATTAAATTTAAAGCAGGACTCATGGGGTAGCCATTTGTGGCTTTATCAAAAGTGATATATTTCTAAAACATTTTTATTAAAAATCTTTATTTATTTGTTTTCTGTGCAGGTTCTTATCTATGCTGGAAGAAGAGGTGTACAGTTTAAATTCTCCAATATGGGATGAAGATTTTATGTCTTCATCGTCTCGAAATAATGAGCTTGGAATTCAAACAGGTAATTTGCTGTGAGAGATAGGGCTATTAATATATCTCACACTTCTCTAGTCTTATATGGGACCCACACTTATAAGACTCATAGATATAGGTTGTTATCATAAAATATGGTCCCTAAGTAGTGCAACACGTCATGAATTGAATGTTTGTGTTAAAATGTCTAAATTCTATTTTTGTCTTTCTTGGCTTGACTTTGTGAACTAAGATTTAGTTGTCCACATTGGCTGCAGACTTGCTGGTGGCTGACGAGGCCAATGCAAGACAGGCAGATGAATATTGTAGCCATATAAATATTTTATGGACTTTGTGCAATTTTATTTATTTATTTTCAGTTTAACAATTTTTATTGTTTTGGGGTACAGAAAATAGAAAAGGTGGGGGGGGGAGGCGTAAAGTGCATAAAATATATACGACACTTACATCTCACCAGCTCGATTTACATTACAGCCACAACATTGTATCTTATGCTCATAAACAGCAATATGCAAACATTATACATTAATCTCCTTGTTTCAATCGTTCCCCCATGTTAACCCAGCAACCAACCTATTGTCTTCCCTTGTGTGTCAGTGTGTTTCAACTACTATTTGGGTCTATGATGGTAGACTTACGCAATGTGTAAGGTATTCAGGTGCTCAGGTTATCCCCCTATTGCGTCTACCACATATGCTGTTGGTTAGGCCATGGGAAGTGTTTAGTTCACATAGCTGAGTTCCACGGGTGTCCCGTGTTTCGTCCTAGGGTGGTGATTGGAAAGGGTTGCTGTCAGTTTATGCCCCCTGTCAGAAGGTGCTGTCCCTTCCTCGTCTTGTAGGTATACGCTACGGTGTGGTTTGATCTCCCTGGGGTCCTGTGGGTGCAGGGTGACTGGTGATGCATTGCATTAGAGGTTCAAGGCTGTCACTGTAGGGAATCATATAGGTAGAGTTTCTGGCCCCTTGAACAATATCATGTCTAGGTCAAATTAAAACAGTAATAACAAATAACTCCTAATAAACAGAAAACTTTCATGGGTGTGAACATGCTCCAAGCCTAAACGAAATCCAGAGTCGTTCTGAACTCAATCTAAAGCCATGTCTTGCGGAAATGTAGTTCTATTTAATCTCTTGCGCCATGGTACCGTGTGGATTGGTCTCACTTGTTAATGTCATCACCGACATATGATTGGACCACTGGTTGTCCCAATGATAGCTCCCCCGGTTGTTTTTGATACAGCTAAGTATGCTTTTCCACAAATGCATCCCATCTTTGTTTGGCCTCAAGATACACTGTTCTGGTGTCAGCTTGTATGGTTGTCCTAGTAGGTTAGCAATCACTTCTTCCACCATTTCCCAATAAGGAGCGATAGCAGGGCATGACTACCAAATGTGGTACATTGTCCCCAGGTCTGCACACCCTCTCCAGCACTCCCCCGGAGTCACTGGATATATTCTGGATAGTCTGTCTGGGACCATGTTCCAGCTATATAAGAGTTTTCTTATAGTCTCCAAATGTGAGGCACAGGTAGTGTGACCCTTATGTGCCATAAAGGCTTTTTTCCATGTCTGTTCTTCTGTAGTGTGACCTAAGTCCTTCTGCCAGGCCTCTCTAAATTCTTTGGGGGTGTCAGAACTTGGTGTCATCAGGAGGGCATTGTTCTGTCTGAGAGGCACATTTGTTCTAGGGAGCTAATATGTGATTGAATAGGGATAGTTTTTAATAAATACTGAAGTTTGGGGAACAGCGTCATTTGTCCCGCTGCTAGTCTACCCAACCATGAGAGATACTTGCTCTACCATGTCTGGAGTGTGTCCATGAATGTCTCAATTAGTTTAACAACATTTTATTTAAACAGGAAGGGCAGCTGGGGAGGTATGTGCATGCCTAGAAATGTAATGTGTTCTTGTCTCCAATCAAACGTAAATGTTTCGCTTAGGTGCTTGAAGCGGTCTTTCCGGACTTGTATGCCCTTTGCTTGGGATTTGGTGACGTTAAATTTATAATAAGAGTTAAGTCTGTATTCTTTGAATCTGCTGACGCTATATAAATGACGATAATAATAATAATAATAATGTCCATGAGGTTTGGAAGTGATACATGGGGTTGAGGTAGTGTTAGTAAGACATTGTCTGCAAATAAATTTATTTTGAATTCCCTGTCCCCAATAACTACTTCATGGATGGACCTATGTTTCCTAATGATCTCTGTGAGCAGCTCTAGAGCCATTACATGTAGTAGGGGGTTAACAGGCATCCCTGACGTGTCCCATTTATTATGTTGAAAGGTGAAGCCCGCCGTCACTACTTGTGCGGACGATTTGCAATATAAGGTATTCATTTGCCACAGGCTCCTGTGGGTAGGATCATAGAGGTCTTTAAGTGTTAGAACAACTGGGGCATGGTTGGAACAAGTGATCTGTCCTATCTTGCATTGATTTATTTGGTTCATGCCCGATCCTGAGACAAGAAAGCCATAGGTATTATAGGTATAGGTATTATGAACTGAGGAGAAGAAAGCGTGACCCCTCTGCCCCACATGGGTGGCCCTCCACACATCATACAGGTGGTAATTGTGATTGAGCTTTCTTAGTGTTTTGCCTTGTTTTTTAAGTAGGCCGACATGAGCTCTAGCTGAGGCCAGAGTTGTGTCTATTGTGGGGTAAAACACATAATTAAAGTCTCCACATATAATTGTGGTGCCTTGTTGGATATATTGTAATTTTAATATGGTTTTGTGTAGAAAATTCAGCTGATTGGTGTAATATAGTGCATATCGTTAAGCATGCCCACTATAATAGTGTATCTGCCATCTGGGTCTATGTGTTGAGAGTGTAGAAGAAAAGCCACATTCTTAATGGTCAATATTGAAGTGCCCCTAGTTTTCTTGGGGGAAGTTGCGTGGAATTGGAACAGATAGTCTTGTACTTGTTGCAGTATGTTTGGGTGGGTCCCTGTCATAAAGTGCATCTCTTGCAAGCACACTACATCCATTCTCTTATTTTTGAATTCTCTATGCAAGAGGTGTCTTTTCATTGGAAAGTTGAGTCCTCTAATGTTGTGTGAGTATATCCACATGGTGATTGGTGATCATGGAACTGTGTGTACCAACATGTGTGCAATTTTATTTTAAATAGAAAAGTAGAGAAGAGCTCAGTGAAAAGGCATTTAAAATCAGTACAAATAAATTGCATTTCAGTAGGAGTATAACCAATATGTGTATTGGTAGTAGACAGAGTAGGGAAGAATACGTTTCTCTTATCTATATCTAGCAGAAATGTGATAGGCAGCATCCATTACACCAAGAGTGGCCAATTTCAGCTATTAATATTTTGTTTTTCCCTTTCAGTTATAAGTACTCAGATTATTTCGAGGTCATGTGCCACGACGGCCAGTCCCGCATCTTTAGAACAGTCTAGCACTGGAAGCTTGAGTCCGTCAGGTAAACCAACGAGCGGCCTTGAAGCTAACTTAGGTGAGTGTTAAAAAAACGACTATTTATTGAAACTGAATGAGATGCCCTGGTGTCCTCTTTAAACATGGAGAACATGATCTCAGCTATTCATTGTATCTCATATATTATAAATGACTGGCATCACGTTCCAAGGTAGTGTGAATCTTCATTATTAGGACATCAAAGGCCCAATTAAAAAAAACAATATGTGACATTTTGACCTTAATCATGTATGTAAGAATTCCCTTTTTGTCTTTTCAGAGACTGCTATATTTAGTGTACCACTTTAATTATTATACTGTATTGCATATCAAAGGAATGTCCTGGCTCACAGGATATGTGGTTAGAGCAGTATCAATATGTGAGCATGCTTTTTGCCTTTCCAGATTGTTGGAATATAATGTGCTCTCAGGGGCAACTCTATTAACCCCTTAAGGGCCAAACTTCTGGAATAAAAGGGAATCCTGACATGTCACACATGTCATGTGTCCTTAACGGGTTAAAGAGATTATTTCTAATACAAACAGTGCATTTGGTTATAGCCAAGAAATAATGAATAGCAAACTAAAGAATACAGTGCCTGCGTTTGCATTCGTATTATTTGAAATCCATGATAGTAATGTAGAATTAAAAGAAATCTGCCCTGTTGAGGGCTAAACCTGTTAATGTGATAGCTTCCCCAGCTTGCAATGAAAGTTTTATTGGATCAAGGGCAGTTCAATGTGATTTAGTCAGCAATATACAGAGTTAAAGAGTGCAGTCAAAGAAAGAAAAGGAAAAACCCCAGAAAAATATGAACAATGACTTTTTGAGTTTTTATCTGTGTGTGCATGTAAATGCCATTGCATGCATATTCTATATCAACAAGTATGTATAGATATATGGGATGTTTTTATACCAGTTGTGACAAGTCTAGATTCTAAAAACGAACTCATTTTCTGAGAGCATCTTCGTAAATTCTTTCTAATTAAGTACCACAATATCTAAATCTCCTTAAAACCTTTACTACTTGGTTCAGTTGCTCTGTACAAAATGGTAGCCTTTCCAAAACACCCCTTCAGGCTCTTTCCACCCTACTATTCAAATCTGATAAAAGGAAACATACCACCCATCTCCACACTACTATGGAAGGTGTACAGATTCACATTAACCTTACCAGACTCCAACTTCCCAAAAGTGATGATGGTCTCAGTCTGAACAATCTGCACATGTACAATATGCACAAACTATAATGATTGCACTGATGGTTCATTGGAAAACGCTGTGGTCCATTCCCTCTTCAGCTATTACAGCACGTTTGCATGTGCCTAAATGCACTGTTCCTAATAACATTTTCTCCAACCCCTTTTTTTCTCTCATACTCAGAAGCTCGAAAATTGGCTGCAAAATCTTAGGCCTGTAATGCATAATATCAACAATTCTCTAATTCTTCCAAAACCCAAGCTTTCAGTATTACAAAACAAACTATCTTTTCATGACATGGGGGCAGCAAGGTCCTCATATGGTCAATGCACTGATTGCTCTTATGGCAAAGTCTCTCAGCAACCACACCTCTCTCCATGAAACTTTGAGCAACCAGCTTATTTCCCTCTTTTCCTAGCTATAAGCAAGAACCTATGTGCTTTATATACTGGTGAAGATTCATGTAGGTGGTGGTATCCATTTAATGTTTCTAGCCATAGCTCCGCCCGCTCCTCTTACTAAATCTCCTCAGTATATGGCCCCATGCACTCCTACACTTTTCCCCTATGAATATTATTACAAAATTACATTTTTATGTACCAATTCTAGACTATGGATTTATCTAAACATATTATCTTATAAGGAAATATTTGTAAAATGCTCCACTATGTAAATGTCTCCCTCTTATTGTCCTCTTTTCCAAACAAAGTTAAACTATGTTTTCTGTATGGCTTTGCTTGAAACAGGTGGTTCTAAAGAAAGGTACACCTTGTCTCCCAATGAAAATGATAAAACTCATCAACTGGTTGTCGGTAACTGTCCATTCTCATGACCACTCTCTTTCTGCAAGGTTCTTTCTGGCGCCCTCCCATTTTTCCTACTACTCCAGATAAACACTTCTTCTTTATGTTTGGTTTTCTTTGTTTCTTTTGTCTATATAACTTAATACTTTATAGTATTTATTGAATATCACATTATTCACTGTTTATTTCCTGTATGTTCGTGACAGTCTAAAACCTGCTAAAACCTCTTTGAAAAAATAATCACCACTTGTAAATGATGTTAGTCTTACAATTGTTTGAGCCTGCAGGTCTGGATCTGAGTTCCAGAGCTCTATAGATTAAAGTACTGTCAGACGCAATATTATTCAGCTTCTATAGAGATATGAGAACCAGCTATTGCATTTCAAAAGCTAAAATAAGCTTTAAGAACCATGTATTGAGAATAGAAGAAATTCAAATGCAGCCACTGGGAAAACTGGTTTAGAGCATCTTTTTTTTTTTTATATGAATATTGCTCTTTAATTGTTACCGTAGTAGAATTTTGGATGTGTTCCAACCATAGCAAATGTGTTTTACTATTATATTTGTGATGTAACTTTATCTAGTGCATAAGTAATTAAATGTGTATAATGGAAATCCACCATATAAGCCAAGTGACTACATGAGCGAAGGAAGTTTATATTTAAAGGAATATATCAACCTTTTTTGCAGTATGGAGGTAATGCATTGCAAGCAATCCTCCTTTTCTCCTGTTATTTACACAGCCACTGTGGAAACAATCTCATAGAAAGCTTAAAGGGATACTATAGTGCCAGGAATACAAAGCTGTATTCCTGGCACTATCGCTCCCTCTGCATTCCATCCTCTCTCGCACCCCCCCCCCAAAGGTAAATAAAGGGTTGCAAATGCTTCATTGGCTTACCTGATACCAGCACTGTTGTCTCTCAGCGCTGGGTTGCGGCTTTTCCTCTTCCGAGGAGCGGGCAATAATGTGCAATCGCAGCGAGTGCCACGTGCTTATTAGGCCTCTCCATAGCAAAGTATTAAATCAATGCTTTCCTAAGGGGAAATAGCTGACGCTGGATGTCATCACGCAGCTCGTGAGCATGTCCAGCATAAATTACCAGACCAAAAGTTCGTTAGGATTCAGACTTAGTGCTGCAATGTAAACATTGCAATTCTCTTGAACTGCAGTATTTTACATTGCAGCACTAAGTGCAGTAGGGATACTGTACCTAGACCATTTCAATGAGCTGAAGTGGTCTGGGTGCCTACAGTGTCCCTTTAACTGCAATTAGTATGGTGTGTGCACTATATCCTTGCACACTCTACACAAGAACTTGCACAACAAAGAGAATGCGTAGGTTCCTCCTATGACATCACATAGCAGAGGTGGATGTATGACTGTAGCGTTTATTTTAAAATACCCGAGACTGTAAAGAACAGAATAAAGGGAGACATTAAACAAGGACGTTTTTTTTCATGATAATCGGTGCATGGTGTTTTGTTAGTTGTGATACTTGGAATGTTCCTTTAATTACCATCTGTTTGTGCTTATGCCCATTTTTTTTTTTTTTTTTTGTTTTGAGGTGGATAAGTCTTTCAATTATTTAAGCATACATTATTTAAGACCATACTTTTTTAACAGGTGACAAAAGGAAACTCAATGAACCTATTGCCGGGGAAGAATATAAGAAGCCAAGGGTTGTAGGTGATATTCCTCTGGAACTGATTAATGAAGTTATGTCCACGATAACGGACCCGGCTGCCATGTTGGGTCCAGAGGTAAATCTCAATGTACATGGTTCAAAATAAAATAGCCCATATATGAACAGTATCAGATTGCTTAGGGAATGCACAGTGTAATGATAAAACACTCATGATTCAAGTGCTTTATTATTTTTACTTTACGATCAGAATTTCCTTCGATTTTTTTTTCTATGTGTAAAAGTACCACATGGTGGTAAATAATAAACAGTAATGGTAGTGGCAATAAAGGTTTGTTTCATGGTACACGAAGAACATTTTTGTGTTCTGAATTACTAATACTTTTACAGTGCTTCTCTGAGCACATAAATCAACTATAAACATTTTAAGCCACAACTATTCGTTTCCTATGTATATGGGAAGTGAGTTTACACATGCCAACTAAAAGAAATATTACACTTTACAAAACAAGCCATCTGAAAATATAATCAAGTTTTTTGGCATAAATTTTGGCATAAAACTTGCAATTCCTTTTGGTTTAGTGAATAAAAATTATTATTATTTCTATTTAAATGCATAGAAATGTGGAAATATTTGTATTGCTCACAACTTTGGTATGGATAAAGTTAAACCCTATTTTTTTCCCGTTGGCTTTTAAGACCAGCTTTTTGTCTGCAATTTCGGCAAGGGACGAGGCAGCCAGACTGGAGGAACGAAGAGGAGTAATAGAGTTCCATGTGGTTGGCAATTCTCTAAACCAGAAACCAAACAAGAAGATCATGATCTGGCTTGTTGGCTTGCAAAATGTTTTCTCTCATCAACTGCCTAGGATGCCTAAAGAGTACATTACACGACTCGTCTTTGATCCGTGAGTTGATTAGCTATCTATTGAAGAAAATGTGTATGTTTTTACATAATGAATAATACATTTCATTCTGTGTCTATTTTAAGATAAAAGCTGCAGGTGCCAGTACACTCCCACTTCATGCACGAATAAATCTACATTTATTTAATTTAAAGGTACACTATAGTCCCCAAACAACTACAGCTTATTGTAGTTGTTCTGGTGAGTATAATCATTGCCTTCAGGCATTTTAATGCAAACATAGAAAATGCAGTGTTTACATTACCCCCTAGGGACACCTATAAGTGGCACTCCTCAGATGGCCACTGGAGGTGCTTCCTGGAGCAGTGCTGCACAGTAGGCAGCACTGCCGTTCAGTGTCTCCACATTCTGCATGGGAATGCTGAATTTTCCTCATAGAGCTGCATTGATTCCGTACATCTCTATGAGGAGGTTCTGATTGTATAAAACAGTGTTTGACCCCACCCCCATTCCGCCTAGTTGCCGATTTCGGCTAAAAATTGGCAATTATGATGATGTCACCAAGGAGGCGGATCGTGGGTGGGACCAGAGCCGGCGGACTTGCGCAGCGCTGGAAATATGGTGAATTTTCAACTTTTCTAAGGGGGTTAAAGGGAGGGCAAGCCACCTAAATGGTGGATTAAAAACTATAGGATCAGGAACACATGTTTGTGTTCTTGACCCTGTAGTGTTGCTTTAAAGGGCAAAGCTAAGCTCCAAAAGCATTAAGTGATTTGAAGGTATAAATGTTGCCCGTGTAGCCCTTTGAATAAAAACAGTACCATTTTTGAGAAATGGCTCTATTTATATATTGCAATTTACACACTTCTTGTGGCGATCCCAGGGAACCAACCAGGAACCAAAATTGGGATGGTCCCACAAGATCTGGGACCTGTTCTTATGAATTTCACTGCATCAGTGCCATCAATGACGATCCAGCACTTGACCACAGAGTAACAGAATTAAGTTGATGACGTTCCACGTGAGTGTTTACCTGCCATCTGCAGGGGACTCAGGCTGTCAGTGTGAACAGTGAGAAAATCAGACCCAGTGTTTTCAGGAGCCCTCTAATAATGCCCCCGATGAACAATAAGATACCATAAACAATATGACACCCAAAATATATTCTGGCACAGAATGATGTGGGGCCCTACTATTGCAAGGTTACACTTAACATTTAGAGGTAATTAAGAAAGAAAAGTATGCTGCATACAAAACAGATTGCTCTGCCATATCTTTTGGAGGTATACAGTGGCTAAGCCAGAAGCTAGGTGAAGGAGTTGGACAGTCTGACAGATCTGTACAGCAGCTGAATAAAGGGTAAATGGTAATCCTTTTTCAGAATGGGCAGATTTTCAGAGAGAGTTTATAGCTGACAGTGCATGGTAAATGTATATAAACAATATGAAAACAGAGCACGGTATCAAAAGTATGAGCTGATTTAAAAATAGTGTGGAGACCGAACATTGTAAAGCAAGCATGTCAAACTAAACTCAAAGTCTAGCATGGGCCAAATAAACAAGGTTTAAGTTTATGTGAGCAGCAAACAAAACTTAAATTGATATAGAAACGTAGGTTTAAGTACAGAATATAAAAAAAACAGCATCCCCATCTAATAAACCACAGCAGCCCCCCCACCCCCTACTAAATACCAGCACCCTCCTCTAGCCAACAAGCAGACTCCACTCACATTGCCGCTGCCAGTATGCGACTCCGGAGTCCGGTCTCTGGTATAACCCAAATGGCGCCATCCACACCCCAAAGCAGATACTCCTGCTACTTCTTGAAACCCTGTGAAGGTGGAGCACGTTGGAATGTGACGTGGCGTTGCGTGCCTCCGTGCACCTCCAGGTCCTCCACTGTCCAGCCGTGACCATTGCAACACTGACCGACACACACTCACTAACACACATACACACACACTGACAGACTCACTGACACACACACTCACTGACACACACACAGACAGACACAGTCACTGACACACACATACTCATTGACACACACACTCACTGACAGACAGACACACACACACTCACTGACACACAGACAGACACACACCACACTCACTGACAGACAGACACACACTCACTCACTCACTTACTTACAGACACACACTCACTGACAGACACACACACATTTACACATTCTAGCACACACTCACACCATTGTATTTATCCATGGGGATCTTCTATCTGGAAATCTCCTTCCTGCTACTAACTGCTCCCTTGCACGCAGTTTACTGATGCCGGGTGCCCGAATATGCTGTCATATTCCTGCACCCGGCATCACTACAGACGGTGATAAGTAAGACTGAGCTCCTCCAGTGATCTCTCCTCCCGGCCACTCAAATTTTAGAAGAGTAGGCACCTGCAATGTGGAGAAAGCAGGTGTCTACTCTGCTTTAACACTAAGCATGTACTTGTTGTAAAACAAGTATAGAGACAGGCTCAAGTATGAGATTTCAGAGGATAAATGCAGCATGGGTAAAAGTTGAAGTAGAAGACAGTGATTTTCTCTCCTCTTTTCTAGAAACCCCTTAGCTCCCATATAACAGATGTTTTGAGTGTAAAGAGCTTTGGCTTATAGTAAGTATTCACCTAGTTTTATAATTTTAATGACTGTACCCCATATATAAACAAATAATATGCAAATTGATTACAATTTCCTACCAGTCACGTAATTTTAAAACTGCAGTATTTTGCTGAAAAATTTCATTTCCATTTATAGGAAACACAAAACCCTTGCTTTAATCAAAGATGGTCGAGTAATTGGTGGAATCTGTTTTCGGATGTTTCCAAGTCAAGGTTTTACAGAAATAGTATTTTGTGCAGTTACTTCCAATGAGCAAGTTAAGGTAAGGTCTTTTAACCAATCAAAGACTAGAAACCATGCGTGACCTGTGCATGTATACATACACACATACATACATATATATATATAAATATATATAATAGTAACATACATATATATGTATTTAATATGTTTAATCTCTGTACTTATTCATTATTCCATTCATATGCTGCTTGGTTTCACATGTAATAATCTGGTTCCTATTTTGTACCGTGGATCATGTGTGCAACATTGTTAGATGTGCAGGAATACTATCCTTTAATGTTTAATGTTTTGTTGTTATAAGTGACTCTGGGTTCAATTTAATAACAATTAACCCCTTAAGGACACATGATGGAAATATTCCGTCATGATTCCCTTTTATTCCAAAAGTTGTGTCCTTAAAGGACCACTATAGTGCCAGGAAAACATGCTTGTTTTCCTGGCACTATAGTGCCCTGAGGGTGCCCCCACCCTCAGGGTCCCCCTCCCGCCCGGCTCTGGGGAGAGGAAAGGGTTAAAACTTACCTTTTTCCAGCGCTGGGCGGGGAGCTCTCCTCCTCCGATCCTCCTCTTCTCCTCCCATGTGGCTGAATCCGCACGCGCAGCAAGAGCTTCACGCGCATTCAGCCGGTCACATAGGAAAGCATTCATAATGCTTTCCTATGGACGCTGGCGTCTTCTCACTGTGAAAATCACAGTGAGAAGCACGCAAGCGCCTCTAGCGGCTGTCAATGACACAGCCACTAGAGGAAATAGGGGAAGGCTTAACCCATTCATAAACTTAGCAGTTTCTCTGAAACTGCTATGTTTATGAAAAAATGGGTTAACCCTAGCTGGACCTGGCACCCAGACCACTTCATTAAGTGGAAGTGGTCTGGGTGCCTAGAGTGGTCCTTTAAGGGGTTAAAGTCGATCAATTATTGTAGATAATTTGGAATGTTTTTTAACTGTATTAAATCACTTGGAAAGCTTATTAAATTGAGGCCTCTGTTAGTTGTTTAGTATGCTGGCAGAGCTTGAAGAATGCTTTGTTTTTGTTTTTGTTTTTTTCAGCATGATGTGGCCCCTCTGTACCTGCACTCACCACAAGACAAATGAAATTATATAACAAAATATAATTTTAAATGTTAGTTCATCCACACAGATATCAACAGATGGATTCTGATACAGGCCTTGATTTAATATTTTTGGATATGTTTTTTTTTTTTTAAAGGATTTTAAATTAAAAAATATATATATTTTTATATTTTCATATTTTTCATATAATGCAAACATTTTTTAAACATGATATATTTTAGATTTTTACGATTTTGAAAAAAATATTTTAAAAGTTTATTTAAAAATATTAAATAATTTGAAAAGCAAATAAAACATATTAAAGAAAGGCTGAAATTCTACTTGACCATTTGTTTATTGTAAAGTTCATCATAGCATTAAATACATACTGCACATTTATACCTTTTTTTTCTTTCTACAAATTGATTGATTGTGATGTTTTCCTGCAGGGCTATGGAACTCATCTGATGAATCATTTAAAGGAATACCACATCAAACATAATATTCTCAATTTTCTGACTTATGCAGATGAATATGCAATAGGTTATTTCAAAAAACAGGTAAATATGTTTTTAGTTGCTTAATTCAGCACATTTCTAGAACAGACATTCTTGTAAATAATCTGTATAACCCAAATAAGTCTATATGTTGCCTCCAAATAACTATAGATGGAGATGTTAAAAGCATTATAATAGTCATTCAACACTTTTATTTATATAGAGCATGGATGTCCAAAAGTGGCTTGTGGCTGGCAAAGTACCATGGGAGTTGTGGTTCTTGTGGTATCCATCCTGACATTTCCAGTTATCGTCTATTTCTGAATTCACGATTTCAGAACGATTATTTTATTATTATTATTATTATTATTCACGATTATTTCTCAACTTGGCTTTATTTGAACCTTGTGCTGGAACCAAATATGTACAGACTGCTTCAAATATAGAACTGTAAATAAGATCAGTTCAGGTTAGAACATCAAAAATTTAGACCGAAAATCTTGAAAATGTGTCCATTTACACAATTTTATTCTATAATTTGCAAGCACTGTTTTCAGTCTCCTACAAATCATGGTTTATACACAACCCCCCAGCATTTTGCATCAGAATTGTTCATTGAACATATAGACTATGTTGTAAAAATATATGTACTTTAAAATATCAATAATCAAAAATGTTTACATTTCATATCATATAACATTTATGTTTTTTTTTTTAAAATATATATATATATGTGTGTATATATATATATATATATATATATATATATATATAGTATGAATTTAAAAGTATCTGCCACTAGCTGGAGTTAATTGTGGAAGGCAGTTTATTATACATGGCAGCGCTTTCATTTCTATGCCAATTACACATTAATATACAAAAGATAAAGTAAATACAAAAGGGGCAAAAAAAGACCTGCATAACTTAACCTGAAATTTGTATGAATTTCTTTACTAGTTAAAGGAACACTCCAAATATCATAACCACATAACAGCATACTGTGGTGGTTATGGTGCCAGGAGTGCCCTGGTGCACTTGTGACATTTGCTAATGATTTGACTTCTTACCTGGGGATAAAACACTCCCTTTTCTCTCAAGTGCAAGAGCATTTTGTTGTTGTTGTTACTGTGCAAATTATAACTGTTGGAATATACAGAGAGATACGATGCCAACTCAAGATAGATATAAGGCTTCTCGAGATTGACTTATATTATTACATATATATACACATTCCTACGGTGGAATCTTTTTCAGTCCGAGGAACGCACACAAAGGATGTCTGAACTTGACAGATATGATTGATAAGAATCTTAAAACTGCTGAAGACGAGTGTTTTCATGTCATTTGACTTGGAGATGGGAGGTTTCCACTCAGAGACACTGATTGCTTCCTGCTAACTTTAGTAGCTAAAAAAGATATTTACTTCAAATAAAACTCTTTAAATAAAACAAGGCACAAAATACATGTTTTGATTCTAATGATAGTCAGATGTAATCTATTGAATTTATTATTATTTTTTAGCAATTACAATCCGCCTGCAGCCTTTAGCTAAGCCAGGACTATCATCACCCAACCTTTTTTAAAGAGGGTAGAGTTCCTAGGAGTTAAAGGCATGCTTAAGTGACTTTAACCATTTAATCTCGTTGAATTGGTTACAGTTCCTGAAGTTCTGTGGCTCTGTTCCTCCATTCAGTGTTAAACCATTTTACATCAAATGAGGGTCCCTGACCATCCACAGCCTGCCCCCACCCCCTTCTGAAGGCATGGCTGAGGCAGAGGTTACATACTTTCTTCTAGCCTTACCAATTAACAAAGCTGTGATTAGGCTAAAGTGCTCAGCTGACACTCCTAGACAATCACAACCACCCATTGTTGCTCAGGCTAATACTTATACTTGCATCCATAGATGGGTTAGGATTCTGGGGACTCTTGTTTACTATTAAAACATTAAAAATGGTTTAATGCTGAATGGAAAAACTGCACCAAGGGATTCTAGATACTGTAACCACTTCAATAAGATTAAACAGTTACAGTGCCTAAAGTGTCCCTTTAATGCTCAGTTCATCGATGACAAAGTGTCAGGTCTGTTTACACTGAGCTACCTCTATAGGTTGATGCTACATGTATTTCATAGACATATATTTTGTTTTGTAGGGTTTTTCAAAAGACATAAAAGTACCTAAAGCACGATATGTTGGATATATTAAGGATTATGAAGGCGCTACTCTAATGGGTTGTGAATTAAATCCCAGGATCCCTTATACAGAGTTTTCAGTCATCATCAAGAAACAGAAAGAGGTAGAGTATTTTATGATGAAATTTAACTGTACATGTTATCAATTAATCATTACTTGTGGTCATCACAGGGAATCAATGCCAAATATTACTATTTTGTGTAATAGTGTTGTTAATATTTATATATATTTATCAGTATGTATATATATATATATCTCAATATACTGTATCGCCTCAAATTTTACACCATAGAATCAAATTAATTTTTGAAACCTGGAAGCAGAAAAAATGTTTTAACTAGCGAGTGTAATGTGCATTTGTACAAGAACATACTTCTATACCAAATTATGCATTATTATTATTTTTGTAATTTTTTTTTTTTTTTTTTATAACCGCTCCTTGTAGCTCAAATTGCTCCTCACTCAACAACCGAGTTTAGTTCCTACAAAATTGAAAAATCACTGGCGAGTTTTGAAATTCACTGGCGAGTTTCAAATTTTACCGGGTAATTTATTGGAATCTAATGCACATTCACATTTTGGAAACGTTATTTTGCCAATAAAGATGCACATGAAAGTTGAGTAAATACCTGTATAAGTAAACACATATATTGGTGCCAAAAAAGACCATGGTGAGACCAAACACAATAAAACTACCGTTGTGCATAATCTTGCTTCATTTGAATGATTTAACCCCTTAAGGACCGAGGACGGTTAAGGACCGTCATCGGCATTTTTGCCTTGCCGACCGATGACGGTCCTGAACCGTCCTAACGGTCTGGGGGTACTTACCTGATCGCCGTCGTTCCCCCGGCGGCGACCAGTGTTCCTCCGGTTGTGGGGAGACTGCCTGCAGCCCAGACAGTCTCCCCACGGCAGATTAGGACCCCTGTGGCCATGTGATCGCTTAACACAGCGATCACATGGTCACAATAGGTGTCCATGTGTCTGCCTGCAGGGGACTGTCTGTGCTGACAGGCAGTCTCCCTGCTTGTGTAAAATCAGAAAAAAAAAATAAAGTTAGTGTTAATTAAAAAAAAATTAATAATTATATATGTGTATATATGATATATAGACATATATTATATCTATATAATATATGTCTATATATCATATATATATAATGTCATACTAAGTGTATTTTTATATTAATATGTACTTATATTAATATAAAAATACACTTATAATTAAATTACACACTTATATATATAATAACTATATATATTGTATATATATATTATTATAAAATATAAATAATAAGTAATTTAAATTAAATAAAACATTTTTAAATAATAATAAAAAATTTAAAAAAAATTATATAGCTATATGAAATTTTATTCTAACTGTATTTTAAAATTAATATATATATATTTATATCAAAATATATATATATATATTTATATCAAAATACACTTAGAATGAATTTGTATATATATCTATGTATATAAAAATAATAAGAAATATACATATGTCCATATACAAATTACATAAATAATTATATAAATATACACGTAGACTTCAAATATATAAATATGCATATATATTTAAATTCTACGTGCGTATTTATGTAATATTTTTACATAATTCAGTAATTTTATTGATTGTAATTTGAGGGACCTGCCTGCCAACCCAGGCCGAAATTCCAGAGAATTTAATTTGCTAGCACTGTATTTTACCCTGTAACGTTCTACGACACCCTAAAACCTGTACTGTTTTACTCGGGAGACTTCGCTGAACACAAATATTAGTGATTCAAAACAGTAAAACATATCACAGCGATGATATTGTCAGTGAAAGTTACTTTTTTGCATTTTTCACACACAAACAGCACTTTTACTGATGATATAATTGTTGTGATACGTTTTCCAGTTTTTAAACACTAATATTTGTGTTCAGCGATGTCTCCCGAGTAAAACAGTACCCCCCATGTACAGGTTTTATAGCATTTTTGAAAGTTACAAGGTCAAATATATGGGTCAAATATTTTACATTGAAAATGGCCAGGTTGGTTACGTTGCCTTTGAGAGCGTATGGTAGCCCAGGAATGAGAATTACCCCATGATGGCATACCATTTGCAAAAGAAGACAACCCAAGCTATTGCAAATGGGGTATGTCCAGTCTTTTTTAGTAACCACTTAGTCACAAACACTGGCCAAAATTAGCGTTCAATTTAGTTTTTTTACTTTTTTCACACACAAACAAATATGAATGCTTACTTTGGCCAGTGTTTTCGACTAAGTGGCTACTAAAAAAGACTGGACATAACCCATATTGAATACCCTGGGTTGTCTACTTTAAAAAAAATATGTACATGTTGGGTGTTATTCAGAGATTTATGACAGATAATAGTGTTACAATGTCACTATTGATAAATTTTAAAAATGTATGTTTTGAAACCGCAATATCCTACTTGTATCTATAGCCCTATAACATGCAAAAAAAAGCAAAAAAGCATGTAAACACTAGGTATTTTTAAACTCAGGACAAAATTTTGAATCTATTTAGCAGTTTTTTTCATTCGCTTTTGTAGATGAGTAAAAGATTTTTCAAGTAAAAGTCAAAAACATGTATTTTTTTCAATTTTTCATCAGATTTTTGTATTTTTTTTAAATTAAAATACATGAGATTATATAAATAATGGTATGTAAAGAAAGCCCATTTTGTCCTGAAAAAAACAATATATAATTTGTATGGGAACAGTAAATGAGAAAGCTGAAAATTACAGCCAAACACAAACACCACAAAAGTGTAAAAATATTCCTGGTCGCAAATGTACAACATCGCAAAAACAGTCCAGTCCTTAAGGGGTTAAGGTTGATTGAATGGCTGTTCCCTTCACCAAAGGCCAAGCTATTTGACTTGTTCTCTGCTCTACTTTCTCTGCTCTTTGTTGCTAGTCATAGTTTAGAGAGATCTAGTTTAAAAAAAAAATAAAAAAAAAAAATTAGGATTGAGATTGAAATATTAATAAAACTCTCATGCAAATACCAGTACAGAAAGTCATAATTAAAGGAACACAAACTGAAACACAACATTGGTATTAATTGTTAATGCTTACAATTTTTTTTCTTAAAATCTAGAATTGAAGGTATCATAAAAATTGTGTAATAGTTTCCTTTTCAATTTGATTAGTGGTGTTTAAATCATTAATCAGAATTTGGCAGATTAAGTGATTTAGCAGACTCTCCTTTAAATAAATCATGCATTGGAGTCCATTGATAAGCTTTATCATTAGACCCACTGGGAATCTTAATTAACTCTGTCTAAAGGAAATTGAGTCAGCAAACCCATAGCTGTGCCAACCTGTGTCGGACAAATACTAATTAAATGTTAATAGTCTCATAAATGGACTCGCTTGTCAGCATTTTTTATGTTCTTTCTTTCCTGTTTTTTTTTTTTTTCAACAAGACAGTAAAGGTGAAAATTATGTTGATATTAGTTTGTAATAGTCGGTAAAAGTTAACAGAACAGCATCTCTTCTATATGAGATTTCCAGTTATATTTATCCATGAAAAACACATGGTTGTATCCACTAAACTGTGACCTTTATAAAACTGACGTGGGAAATGTAGATTTAGAATGAAATAGACATTCTGTTATTTTTCCATTTCTGTATCTTTTCATTTGTGCTTTTGACCTAAAGCTTGTGATTCCCTTTTTAGTTGTTCATAATTTCCAGTTTAGTGAATAAACTCGGCAATGTACAATCTCTTTTGTCTCCGCCGTGAGACATTACGGGTGTACAACAACACCGCAACCACAAACCACACTACAGGCTTCATACAACATAATAATGATTATGAACGTGGTAACGCGTTTTCATGAATCTTGATGACTTATCAACACAATAAATTTCACTCTAGTTAATTAAAGAAATAATAGAATGTTAGTTTGGAAATAAGTGAAATTTAAAAAATCAGTATCCTCTTTTTAGTAATTGAGTATTCCAATATCCCTACATAAAAAAAATAAATTAAAAAAACAAACAAAAACGTTATGATCAACTTTAGCATTTAAAAGCACTGTAAAAATATGATTGGTACAGAAGAAAAATATTAAATGAACAATTCTTGATAGTTTTAGATATTATCAAGATGGAAAGGTCAGATGTTTAAACAAAACCTAAAAAGAGCATGAAAACAACCTGTGCTACTTGCTACTCGGATTTCTGTTCAATTTTTTATAGAAGGGTAATAAGGCAAAAAATAGTAGTTTTACTATTCAATGTGATCTTACTTCAACGTGCGCCTCCTTGCAGCAGAATGCAGAAAAATGTGCAAACGCAATTTACAAAAACACATTTACAAAACACCTTGCAGCCAGCAAATTAATATATCAAAATTTCAAAAGGGTGTCCCTGGATCTCCTGTTAGTTTAGGAAACTTGACCAGTAATATTTGTAGAGGTGCAGCATCTGGGCGATAAGGCAAATGTAGGCAGATTACATTCTATGCCTTAATAAAAATCTAATCTTTAATGAAGAGCCCATTAATTTCTCAAATGCAGGTTGAGCCCATCACTGCTGCCTCAGGGACCCCTGTTTTTTGGCAAACTGCTTGAAAATGGTTTGACACGGAACTTGATGGGACAGTATCTGCAGCCTACTGGCACCATAACCACCATAATAGACTGTATGTTTATGGAGCATAGACTGCCCCTTTGCAAGATCACTCTGTGTTTCAAACAATACTTTACTCTGTTATTGCATTAAAACATGTATGTGCTAAAGAATGTTCAGATCTAATGGAATATTACTGTTTGTTATTACAGATTATCAAAAAAATGATTGAACGAAAACAGGCACAAATTAGAAAAGTGTACCCAGGACTATCCTGCTTTAAAGAGGGAGTGCGGCAAATACCAATTGAAAGCATTCCGGGAATTAGTAAGTATTATTTTGTATTTTCTTTATTACTCAATTGAAAAAACAAACACTGAAACTACAGTACATTTTTGAAATGTCAAAATTTAACAAAATGAAGTATTCAGATTTCTTGTCTAAGATTGTGTTTAAACAAATCATTGCTGATTTTATTTATGCTTATTTATAGTCTGTTTTGCAAATATAAGCAAAGTCAATGAATTCACATTCAGTAGGTCTTTTTTTAATACAAAGAACATAGGTCACATTGGCAGGAGGCTTTGTATGAAGCTAAACATGGTCCACTGATATCATTATTTTGCATTTATTCATAAAGCGTCAAAGTATGTGCGCTACGTGCTGTGGTCGATGACGGAAAAGTAATTGTGACAAAATAAGTTAGGTGTATAGGTAATGAAAACTAAAAAAAAGATTGTATTCCAATAATAAAGCCTTGTAGCCATTTGAATAAAGCCATTTTATCTCCTAATAATTAGTAGGAGCACCATAGTACATACACCTTGATCACATTTATCTCTTGTATAGGTTACCTAGCAAGAAGCACTCTGTCTTTGTTTAATTTCATCCTACTCATTTTAAAGGACCACTATAGTGCCAGGAAAACATACTCGTTTTCCTGGCACTATAGTGCCCTGATGGTACCCCCACCCTCAGAGTCCCACTCCTGTGGCGCTAAAGGGGGAGGAAGGGGTTAATCCCTTACCTTTTTTCCAGCGCCAGGCTCCCTCGGCCCTGGGACTTTCCTCCCTCTTCTTCCGTCATCGGCTGTATGCGCATGCACGGCAAGAATCCGCGCGCGCATTCAGCCAGTCTCATAGGAAAGCATTATCAATTATCAATGCTTTCCTATGGACGCTGGCGTCAATGAGACAGCCACTAGAGGCTGGATTAACCCAATGGTAAACATAGCAGTTTCTCTGCAGTTTCTCTGAAACTGCTATGTTTACTGCAAAAAGGGTTAAACCTAGCTGGACCTGGCACCCAGACCACTTCATTAAGCTGAAGTGGTCTGGGTGCCTATAGTGGTCCTTTAACTGCAGATATTTGAACTATTGAGTGTGTGTGTGTGTGTGTGTGTGTACAACACTTGGCAAACTAACACATCTATAAGCTTCTAGAATGGACAGCAGAGGTTCTTGCACCATAAACTAGGCAAGAAGTCTAGGGTGGTGTTATTCTTGGATTGTTCTATCTAGCTGGCTTCATTTCATAGGTCTGTAGTTTGCCACCATTTAGCATGTTAATATCAAACTAGATTACTATATTTGTATGTATCAGATTGAATTCGTGATGTCTTCTGGAAAGCCAGATTACCAAGATTACACTTAGCACCTTGCTCATTGATAAATGGAATTACTATTTGTTGTTTAAATAAACTGAAAAATGTTTTAGATGATGCTTTTTAGGGTTCAGTTCACAACTCTTGTTATTTAGATTTGCGTTGTGTTTCTGGTGCGCAAATTCAAATTGTTACATTTGGTTTTATTGCTTTACAGGGGAGACGGGTTGGAAGCCAAGTATAAAAGAAAGAAGGTACGTTTTATGTATGTAAAGTCTGTGTATCTGAATTATGTTTTAAGTCTACACCAAAATAACTTTTCTTTAGTAGTTTTGGTGTATAAATCATGCCACTGAAGTCTCACTGCTCAATTCTCTGTTGTTTTGGTGACTACAGTGTCCATTTAAAGGAACAGTCACTCTAAACATTTAAATCCCTTCATCTCAAAGCAGCTCTGCCACCTTTGGGGGTCATTGCATATATACAGTGGAGGGTAGTTATACTTACCTGCATGCGTTAGAGTGCAACACTGATGTCTATGAAGAAAAAGCTGTCTCTCAATCTGGACTTGGCCTGATTCTCAAAGCTGCTCCTAGTGGCGGCTGGGGGAATAGACAGAACTTGACCACATGAAAGAAGTAGTCCTTGCTTTTCTTATGCTATCTTTTGACTGGATTTCATTGAAATGTCAACACATTCCATATGAATATTTCATAAAGATTCTATCTTTTAAAAAACAAACACAAATTTATAGTAGCTTTTGTTTAAGATTAAAGGGACACTCCAGGCACCCAGACCACTTGTGCCCATTGGAGTGGTCTGGGTGCCAACTCTCACTACCCTTAACCCTGCAGCTGTAATTATTGCAGTTTTCATAAACTGCAATAATTACATTGCAGGGTTAACTCCTCCTCTAGTGGATGTCTATTAGACAGCCACTAGAGGGCACTTCCTGGTTTCTAGCACAGGTTTTCTGTGCTAGAGCATCGCTGGACGTCCTCACGCTGTGTGAGGACCTCCAGCGTCGCTCAATTCCACATAGGAAAGCATTGAAAGCATTTTCAATGCTTGCCTATGGAGAGGTCTGATGCGTGCGCGGCAGTGCGCATGCGCATTAGGTCTCCCCCCACCGGCAGCCGCACACGCGCAACCGGTCTCCCCCGCCGGAACCGAAACCACCGTCAAGGGACATCGGCGGGGGTCTCAGGTAAGTCACTGAAGGGGTTTTCACCCCTTCAGCAACATGGGATGGGGTTGGGAGGGAGAGGGGACCTGCAGTGGGAAACAATTTGTTTTCCTGGCACTGGAGTGTCCCTTTAATGTAACAGTTACTGTAGTTTATGTATTTGAAGTATTACTTTATGTAATGCAAGTCAAACTGATGCAAATAGTAAAGTGCAGGACAAATTGTATTACTGTTCCCAGGAACTTGCATAGTTTCCAGTCATTTGTAGTTCATGTTCATAGCTGTTTGGTATCTTGAGTTTACTTGTCTACATTACCCATTTAACAGTTATCATAACATATATTGCACAGCACATTCATTTAACTGATTGGCAAAAGACCTCACAGGTCATTTTCTAATTACAGGTGAAATGTTGCACCACAAGCCGAATGATTATAAGATGAATAAGATAAATTATTCTTTCCACTTTATTCCTAACTGTATAACAGTTTAAGTTTGTACTTATGAATTACGTATGATGGAATGCATTGATTTTTTGGGATCAGGACTCTGTATTTTATACATTATTCATTTTAATTATAGCAATCCCCTAAAAAAAACACTGCCTTTCTGGCACATTGAAAAATGATTAGATAAATCACCTACATATACAAAATAGACACGTTTTAATAAAAGACCTTTGAAATCTGGAGAAAAAAAAAGAAGAAAATGATTTGGTGTAAAAGAGAAATAATGTTCATTGACAGTGAAAACATGAACAGGAAAATAAACTCCTTGGTAGCCATGAATAAATGAAATAGTGGAAACAGGAGCTTCCAGCTCTCCTTCGGACTGAGAGGAGGCAGGTAGTGACTCCAAGGACGACCAACTAAAACCTTTGTAAAATTGTCTGACTTCTCTCATTGGGTGGCGTCAAGGCACTCCTGACACCAAAACCACTGCAGAGTACTGAAGTGCGTATAGTGCTTGGAGTGGCCATGTTAAAAAAAATGTATTTACATTGAACTAATAGGTCTGTTAAAGCCACTGTCTTTAAATATATACCAGTGATTTATGTAATGTGCTCTTCCATGTACAAAATAAATGTTTATAAAAGGTTTACACATTTTCCCTGACTTCATGATAGAATCCCCTGTCATTCCTTGCCATCATGATATAATCCGCTGTCCTACCCTTTCTTTATGCTGGAATCCCCTGTCTTTCCTTTCCTCCAACTCAGAACCCCCTGTCCTTACTTGCCTCTATACTGAAATCCCATCCTTCCTTGACCCCATACTTGAATCTTTCCTTGCCCCCATCCCCCATGCTGAAATTCCCCTGTCCTTTTCTGCTTCCTCCATGACATAATACCCGTCATTCCCTGACCCATACTGAAATCCTCATCCTTCCCTGCTCCCCCATGCCAGAACCTCCTACGCTTCCATGTCTCTCTGCTGGATTGGTATTGTGTATCCTGATATCTTGTCTACTGTATACTGACTTACTGTCAGTGTATACTTTACAAACGGGGTGCCAAAAAGGTAGATGTCTGGATGTTGTAGAACTACAACTCCCAAGATGCTTTGCATGCCTTTAGAATGACAAAGCATCATAGAAGCTGTAGTTTTAAAACATCTTGGGATATACCTTTTGGGCACCCCGTGCTTTACACTATGTGAAATGGTTGTAAAAACTACAAATTTAACAAACAGTTATTTAAGAACACAATCTGTGCACGTGTTTTTCGTAATCTATGTGACACTGAACACAGAATTTAAATTCAAAACATGTAGTCACATATAAACATGGGATTATATCATACATATATAGATAGGTCCAGGTTAGTTGAAAAATATCTTCCTGTTTTTCTGGAACAGCAGACACAAAAGTATTTTAACCCAGAAAATAAGGCACATGATGGAGTTACTCCGCCATGAGTTCTCAAGCTCTGGTCAACCATGATGTAATAATTCCATAAAGTGGCAGGAAGGGTAGCATTCTGTACTCATTAGGGTACTTTGCTCACGTGTGCAGCGTATGGGCAAGCTAGAAATAAAATGTGCAAGCATTGGACCATGTCCTTAATTCTAACATTATCTGGGTGCGTCTCAATAAGATTGTGTTGGGCACTCACCCATTTATAATACATTCACACAATTTGAATTTAATATGGCAGGATAATTTGTTTTGTTAATACTTTTTTTGAAATCTATATTTTCACATATGCATTATACAATTATTGGGTGTAAATTATTTATTTTTATTTTATTTAATTTTTTTCAAGTAAAGAGCCAAAAGATCCGGAACAGCTATACAACACACTAAAAAACATTCTTCAGCAGGTGAAGGTATGTCGGCATTTCATTAAAGATTTTCTTTTTTCCCTTTACACAAATTTATATCCCTGGATCCCTAGCAGTGCTTTAAATTGAATTTTACTGGCTATTACAGCCGGTGGTCTTTTTGCGATCGAAGGTGATTCAATAAATTACTTTTCTTGGAAGTGTCTGATCGTAATTTCAACTCCAGACCCTGGAAGATAATACTGGGGCAATCACGTTACCTATCATTTATTTTAAACACCAATTCTGCGGTCTGACATCTACTATTTAAAGCTGAAGGTTAGCAAGTGGGTAAAGTGGGACTAGATAATTTTAACAATTCATAAAATGTCACGCATGTTTAAATAATTGTGGGCATATAAATAATGGTTCTGGTCATAACGTAAGACTCATTTATATTTGTGCTCTAGGAGGTATATTAAATTACATTTAGTCGTTACCCGAACGGTTTTCTATAAATTAGCAAATTAAATTCCTAATAGAATCATGTCTCCCTTTAATGTTCCCTTGCTCTCCCACTCATTTTAAAAAGAAAGGCCGTAGGATCATGAAAGGGGTTAATATAAATTCAATAATTCCACGCCACATCTCAGTAGTGAAAAAAAAAAGGTGCAAACTAAGTGTCTCAAAGGGTTTTAAAGATACAATAATGTTCTGGTGCAGTTCTAGGCAACCTTCGGCACTCCAGATGTTGAGCACTATATCTCCCCTAATGCTTAGCAAGCATTATGACTGCAAGAGTCTCATGAGAGATGTAGTCCACAACTTTTGGAGTGCCAAAATTTGCCTATCCCTGTTCAGGTGGGATGTGTGACATTTAGATTTGGAAGCTGAGCAGGTCTATTTCCTTCTCTGGAAACATTAAATTAAAATTAAACAAAAATACTTATCTTCCACGTTCTTTCATTTGAGAGGGGCTGACTGCAACTCCAGAAAACTTCTACAAGATCAAGTATAGGCTCTACCAACCAGCAGCCTCTCATTCTATTCTATGGCATCGGATTTTCTCATATAAACCCCTGGCCAACAGTGATTTATGACATAAGTTTATTTTCATCAAGCAGTTCTGTGCACCATGTAATATGCATGTAACTGCTCAGTAAACTGATATAACGCAGCCAGTGATTTCACCAGAAATTTTTGGACCCATTTTAGGCATGTGGTCCCAGGGACTTATTTCAAAAGTTCATCTACAAGGATAAATAAAGTTTATTCAGTGTGTGTTTACCTGCATAGTGGGTGCAGAATGTGTGAATAGTGGGTGCAGTATGCGTAGTGAATGATGTGTGTGTACTAAGTGTAATATTTGTTTAGTGGATGCAGTGTGTGTAGTGGATGCATTGTCTATAGGGAATGCTGTGTTTATGTTGGTGGATGCAATGTATGTTTGTATTTGTGGTGTTGGATTGGGGCTCTGGGGGGGTGAACAGTTTTTTAAATTGATAATAAAGCTTATTCTGCCGTTCCCGCCTCTTACCTGTGGCCCGGGAGGAGGGACACTACACTGATTAACCACAACATTTAAACCACTTGCCTAATATTACTCCTGCCCCTCGTGTTGCAAAACAGCTCTGATGCCTCGAGACATGGACTCCACAAGACCTCTGAATATGTCCCGTGGTATCTGGCACGCATTTAAACCAAGTCTTTTGAGGTGGGACCTCCAGGGATTGGATTTATTGCTCCAGCACATCCGACAGATGCTCAATCGTATTGAGATCTGAGGAATTTGGAAGCCAATGCAACACCTTGAACTCTTTATCATGTTCCTCAAATGTTCCTCAATTTGTGTAGTGTGGCATGGTGCATTATCCTGCTGAAAGAGACCAGAGCCATCAAGGAACACCATTACGGTGAAGGGTTGTACATGGTCTGCAACAAACTCTAGGTAGGTGTTATGTGTCAAAGTAACATCTACATGAATGTCAGGACCCAAGATTTCCCAGTAGAACTTTGCCCAGAGCTTGCCTTTTTTCACACACCCGGCCAGCTACCTGATCTGAAAGAAAACGTGATTCATCAGACCTATTAAACTTCGTCCAGTTCTGAGACTCACGTCCCCATTGAAGGCGCTTTTGTGAGTGGATGGGGATCATCATGGGCTCTTAAAAAGAATAAAAACTCACCTTTATTACAGCGCCATGCATGGACAGGCAGTACACATTAGAACAACTACATTGAGCTGTAATTGTTCTGGTGACTATAGTGTCTCTTTAAGTTTTTCAGCAATTTGAGCTACTGTAGCTCCTCTGTGGGATTGGATCAGCCAGACTAGCTTTTGCTCTCCATGTCCACCAATGAGCCTTGACCGCCCATGACTCTGATGCCGGTTCACCTGTTGTCCTTCCATGAACCACTTTTGGTAGGTACTAACCACTGAATACTGAGAAGATCCCACAAGATTTCCCATTTTGGAGATGTTTTAGCCATCACTATTTGGCTCTTGTCAAAGTCAATTGGATCTTTTCATTTGCCCATTTTCCTGATGCCAACACATGAAATGGCTATCCACTTGCTGCATAATATATCCCACCCTTGACAGGTGCCATTGTAACCATATAATCAATGTTATTTACTTCACCTATCAGTGGTTTTAATGTTGTGGCTGATCAGTGTAGATTCCCTGGTGGTCCAATGGTACAGCAACTTGTATAGTGAAGAGAAAGCTCAGGAGTCTCCTTCTTCCGCTAGGAAGCAGGTCCTCTCCTTGTCTTGCGAGCCTAGCATGCAACACTCGGACAGCTGCACGCGAGGACACTGCCGGAGGTGGAATTTGGAGTGTTCTGGCCGCCTTCTTCATTATAGAAGACAGCAGGAGCCTGCAAGTGCATATATATACACAGTGAGGGAAAAAAGTATTTGATCCCCTGCTGATTTTGAACGTTTGTCCACTAACAAAGAAACGATCAGTCTATAATTTTAATGGTAGGTGTATTTTAACCGTGAGAGACAGAATAACGAATAAAAAAATCCAGAAAAACGCATGTCAAAAAAGGTATAAATTGATTTGCATGTCATTGAGGGAAATAAGTATTTGACCCCTTCGAGTTAGTACTTGGTGGCAAAACCCTTGTTGGCAATCACAGAGGTCAGACATTTCTTGTAGTTGGCCACAAGGTTTGCACACATCTCAGGAGGGATTTTGTCCCACTCCTCTTTGCAGATCCTCTCCGAGTCATTAAGGTTTCGAGACTGACCTTTGTCAACTCAAACCTTCGTCAACTCAAACCTTCAGCTCCCTCTACAGATTTTCTATGGGATTAAGGTCTGGAGACTGGATATGCCACTCCAGGACCTTAATCTGCTTCTTCTTTGTTGCCTTGGCAGTGTGTTTTGGGTCATTGTCATGCTGGAATACCCATCCACGACCCATTTCCAACGCCCTGGCTGAGGGAAGGAGGTTCTCACCCAAGATTTGACGGTACATGGCCCCATCCATCGTCCCTTTGATGCGGTGCAGTTGCCCTGTCCTCTTAGCAGAAAAACACCCTCAAAGCATAATGTTTCCATCTCCATGTTTGATAGTGGGGATGGTGTTCTTGGGGTCATAGGCAGCATTCCTCCTCCTCCAAACACAGCGAGTTGTGCTGATGCCAAAGAGCTAGATTTTGGTCTCCTCTGACCACAACACTTTCACCCAGTTCTCCTTTGAATCATTCAGATGTTCATTGCTAAACTTCAGACAGGCTTGTACATGTGCTTTCTTGAGCAGGGGGACCTTGTGGGTGCTGTAGGATTTCAGTCCTTCACGGCGTAATGTGGTACCAATTCTTTTCTTGGTGACTATGGTCCCAGCTGCCTTGAGATCATTAACAAGATCCTCCCGTGTAGTTCTGGGCTGATTCCTCACCATTCTCATGATCATTGAAACTCCACGATTTGAGATCTTGCCTGGAGTACCAGACTGAGGGAGACTGACAGTTAATTTGTGTTTCTTCCATTTGCGAATAATCGCACCAACTGTTTTCACCTTTTCACCAAGCTGTTTGGCGATGGTCTTGTAGCCCATTCCAGCCTTGTGTAGGTCTACAATCTTGTCCCTGACATCCTAGGACAGTTTGGAATCTGATTGTTTCTGTGGACAGGTGTCTTTTAAACAGGTAACGAGCTGAGGCTAGGAGCACTCCCTTTAAAGAGTGCTCCTAATCTCAGCTCGTTACCCATATAAAAGACACGTGGGAGCCAGAACTCTTTCTGATTGATAGGGGATATAATACTTATTTCACTCATTGACATGCAAATCAATTTATAACTTTTTTGATATGCGTTATTCTGGATTTTTTTTTTATTTTTTTTAATCTGTCTCCAACTGTTAAAATACACCTATCATTAAAATTATAGATTGATCATTTCTCTGTCAGGGGATCAAATACTTTTTTCCCCTCACTGTATATAGCGAGTACCGGGAACTCTGCAACGTTGATAAGGTACTTATAAGGTTTTCTTTTAAATGAGGACTATGAACAATATATAGCGGGGACATAGTTTAGTGGTTAAAGAAGCCAACTGCGGTTACTGAATTTGATTCCCAGCAGCATCCACTCAGTCTTACAACCTTATGTAGTCAATCAAATACTTTGAAGGTAATATTATTTTTAACATAATCCACTACCGCTGAGTTCTATGGAAGCAGTACTACATTTTATTGTCAAACAGTGATAAATGTAATCTTTACAGGATAGATTTTCAAATGTACATCCTTGAAAAATGACATAGAATGGAATAAGAACATTTGTGACCCAGTCTGAACACAAGCTGAACAAGCAATACATTTTAAGCTTTACAAAGCTGGAGTTTATGAAAACTGCTTTAATTCATGACCTTTGCACGCATAACATGGCATATGGATCATAAAATATATCACCTTTCAGCAATGTCTAATGACTATGCTATACAGTCATGTAATGTGTAAGAAACATGATGCTGCTTATTAAAGGACCAGATCCTACTGTACAATCATTAGTCGCTCAAGATATTTTAAGATTTGAGTATCACAAAATCACTCGAGTTTGTCAGTATTTATGAGGGCTTTACGAACACAGGAGTAAGTCATATCTAGAGGCCATTACCTGCATGACCTCTAGATGTAAACAACACTGAATCTTTATGGGAAGTCCTAGAGCACAATGGGGGAGATTTAGCAAGGCAAAAAAACATGCTATTCTAAGTGCAAAGTGCTAATTGTTGAGTGAGTGATAAGCTAATTACCCCCTAACGGTGATTGCTTATTTTGGACTTTTCCTCAGAAAAAGCACTTGTTTTTGCCTTGATAAACATCCCATTATGTGTGATGCCAATATCATCAGAACTGGTTGTTTTTCTTCTTAAAATATAGCACAATACCCCACTCCATACTGTATATGGAGTAAATCAAGAAGAATTAATGTTTTTCAGAAGGCATAGTGTGTTCTGTCTCATTTAATAGATTATTTTGTAATTTGAGGTGTTTTTACTACTTTTTTCTCCCAAAGCAGAACCCCACTATGGTGGTTTTAGATTCATTATTATTATATTGTATTTTTCGTAGGTGACCATTTATAATTCTATTTTGAGTATTTTTAAAATAGTTATTTGACACTCGTTTTAACTTTTTATTACATCAAAGAGCCATCAAAGTGCCTGGCCCTTTATGGAACCTGTGAAAAAGACTGAAGCGCCTGGATATTACGAAGTGATACGATTTCCGATGGGTAAGATCACTTTCTAATTGATGAAGATAACATGTTCATCAAACTAATGCATTTTCTTCCTACGTTTTCAATCTGACCTTACAGAGAATATTTTAAATTGTTTGTTATGTAAAATGAATGGTATTTTTAATTTTTAAAAAGCAAAGATGTTTGAGACCGATATCTGTAGCCCCATTTTTACCAGATACCTATGGTCTTGGATTAGAATAATCAAGTCTTTTAAAATGTTGAGCCTCACAAGAGCCAGAGCTTCCACTTAACGTGAAACATTAGGACACCTTTTTAATTCATCACAAAACAATTATTATACTCACTAATAGGGTTATTTACTAAAGAGAGAATTCAATGTGAATTTCAAATTTAAGGTCAAAATAGCCAAACTTGAAAAATTCTCAAAGTCAGCTATACTATCAGTTCGGTTACTCATGCCTTAAATTCCAAATTCACTTTGAATTCTCAGTTTAATGAATAATCCTGTTTCTCGAGGGACCCATTTCACTGACAATTATCTCACTGAAATAATGATTACTTTACTCTGAACAACCAGAGGCACAGACAATATGACACATCTCATTTGTGTCATATAAACAAACAAACAAAAAATATGCAGATTTTACTACAGTAAAGTATTCACTGACTGTAACTGAGTCATATCTTATGTCTGTCACTCTGATGTTTGAATAATTAATAGAGCAACTCTGAAGTATTTAAATACAACGGGCTCTAAATAGATTCTGAGAACAGGCTGTTGAACTGTTTGCAGTGGATCTTGGACTTAAGAAGGAAAGGACATCCGTTGCTTGATTCACTGCACATACAGAGATATTGTTAATTGTGTGCTGGAGGGGCTAGTTGCACTCCCAGCACACGTGACAGATAGGAACGCTGTTGCAGCTTCCTAATGTCAATTCTGTGCATAAATTACGTCTGCTGACAACAGATGTGAAAAACTCATTCTCCCCGCCCTCTGTCCCTATCTTACGCTCCTTTCATCCGCATTGTTCTTTAAAAAATAAAATAAAAACAACTCTCTCCCCTCGCTTTCTCAGAGTTAATGCATGTGCTCTGAGCCGGCAAAATAGTGCAGTCACATACTTCTGTCTAAGACTACGCGGAGCCCCAGTGATGTTGCAGCGGGGTGTGGAAGATCAGCACCAAGAGCTTTGCCCAGCGCTGGTTTCACTTTAAGTAAAACATTTTTACAAATTGACGGGAAGGGACACATTCCTCTTAGTTCCCAGTAAAGAATATCACGCCAGAAAGGTCCCCTTTCTCAAAAGGGTTATAGTAACCCTTTAACCCCTTAAAGACACTTGACATGTGTGACATGTCATGATTCCCTTTTATTCCAGAAGTTTGGTCCTTAAGGGGTTAAAGTTAAATCCTCCTATTCAAGTTAGTTGTAAAACCAATTTCACTATATATAGTGAAACGATTTCTTGACCCTTATAAGATTAACAAAAGATATCTATTATATTTGCATTTTCTATTGGATTTATAATGCAAATTACACAGGCAGCTATCTCCAATTCTGATTTAAATGCCCGTTCCTGCTTATTACATTCAGTAACATCTCTAATGAAATCTAGAGAGAATGATATTTGGCACAGTGGGATATACATACATATAAAAATATCCATTTAATGTAATAGAATTGTGAAACTTTATTATTTTGAAGATATTTTTCCCATTACAATTAGCAATGACTGTATTTTATTATTGTTTTCACTGGATCCACAGTAGGGGAGATATAAAATAATTTGGTGTGTCTCTTATTTTTTCATTTTATATTCCTTTCAAATTAAGGGTATAGACTAGGCATCACACTACGAAAGCTCATTGCAGTGATTATGGTGCTTAAAGAGTCTGTGGATGCATTCCCCTAGTTTGTATCAGTTTTCAAACCTGAAGCTCAGCCCCTATTCTGCAACTTTGCTAATGCTGAAGTGGATGTGTCCCACAGTCCTATTTTCTGGACAATCTGATGCCTCCACTTCAGTATGGTCACCTTGGCTAGACCGAAGGTCCAGGTGCAAGGTTCCTTGATAGTTCAATGTAAACTCGAGCTGGCCTGGTGTTTTGTGGGTTAGAAACATAGAATGTGACGGCAGATAAGAACCATTCGGCCCATCTAGTCTGCCCAATTTTCTAAATACTTTCATTAGTCCCTAGTCTTATCTTATAGTTAGGATAGCCTTATGCCTATCCCACGCATGCTTAAACTCCTTTACTGTGTTAACCTCTACCACTTCAGCTGGAAGGCTATTCCATGCATCCACTACCCTCTCAGTAAAGTAATACTTCCTGATATTATTTTTAAACCTTTGTCCCTCTAATTTAAGACTATGTCCTCTTGTTGTGGTAGTTTTTCTTCTTTTAAATATAGTCTCCTCCTTTACTGTGTTGATTCCCTTTATATATTTAAATGTTTCTATCATATCCCCCCTGTCTCGTCTTTCCTCCAAGCTATACATGTTAAGATCCTTTAACCTTTCCTGGTAAGTTTTATCCCGCAATCCATGAACCAGTTTAGTAGCCCTTCTCTGAACCCTCTCTAAGGTATCAATATCCTTCTGAAGATACGGTCTCCAGTACTGTGTACAATACTCCAAGTGAGGTCTCACCAGTGTTCTGTACAATGGCATGAGCACTTCCCTCTTTCTACTGCTAATACCTCTCCCTATCCAACCAAGTATTCTGCTAGCATTTCCTGCTGCTCTATTAATTGTCTGCCTACCTTTAAGTCATCAGAAATAATCACCCCTAAATCCCTTTCCTCATATGTTGAGGTTAGAACTCTATCAAATATTCTGTACTCTGCCCTTGGGTTTTTACGTCCAAGATGCATTATCTTGCACTTATCCACATTAAATGTCAGTTGCCACAATTCTGACCATTTTTCTAGTTTACCTAAATCATTTGCCATTTGGCTTATCCCTCCTGGAACATCAACCCTGTTACATATCTTAGTATCATCAGCAAAAAGACATACCTTACCATCAAGACCTTCTGCAATATCACTAATAAAAATATTAAAGAGAATGGGTCCAAGTACAGATCCCTGAGGTACCCCACTGGTGACAAGTCCAAGCTTCGAATATATTCCATTAACTACAACCCTCTGTTGCCTGTCACTCAGCCACTGCCTTACCCATTCAACAATATTGGAATCCAAACTTAAAGATTGCAGTTTATTGATAAGCCTTCTATGTGCAACAGTGTCAAAAGCCTTACTGAAATCTAGGTAAGCAATGTCTACTGCACCACCCTGATCTATAATTTTAGTTACCCAATCAAAAAAATCAATAAGATTAGTTTGGCATGATCTCCCTGAAGTAAACCCATGTTGTCTCTGATCTTGAAATCCATGTGTTTTTAGATGTTCATCAATCCTATCCTTTAACATGGTTTCCATCACTTTCCCCACTACTGAAGTAAGGCTTACTGGCCTATAGTTGCCCGACTCCTCCCTATTACCTTTCTTGTAAATGGGCACAACATTCGCTAACTTCCAATCTTCTGGCACTACTCCTGTTAACAATGATTGGTTAAATAAATCTGTTAATGGTTTTGCTAGTACACCACTAAGCTCTTTTAATAGCTTTTTCCTCCACAGTATCCTTATTCCTAACCATGTTCTTGGTTGATAGCCAGGATGTGTTCTTCTCTGTTAACAAAGAACAAAATCCTGTATATTGGATAGAGGTCAGTGACCCGATCTCTACCCAATATACAGCATATTTTTTTTCTGTGTAACTAGGTTTGGTTTACTATTTTAACATAGGTTTCCATAAAATATTTGCTTTATGGTGTTTCGTATATAGAACATGTTTAAATACAAATTGTTAAAAAAACAACTATATTTTAAGAGATTCTGTTCAATATTGTTATAATTGGCATGTACGTAATTTATAATATATTCTTTTAAATATCTAGGTATGTTTCTAGACCCCAATCTATCCTTTTGCCCTGTACAGAAACAAACAGATAGTGCAACAAATGCTAATGCCGGTCATTGATTATGGGGATGTAGTGTTTGCACCTGCACCGCAAAACCACCCTAATAAACTTAATACATTATATAATTTGTTCTGTCGCTTTGTACTAGAATGTAATTACTTTACCCACCACTGTGACATGTTAAAAGAGCTAAACTGGCTGTCGCTGGTATCCCGACACACCCTTCATCTTTCCAGCCTTGTGCATAAGAGCATTTCTGGTAGCTCGGACCTTACCTGAGTAGAATGCTCTCCCCGGCTGTTCCCACCTCCTATAACCTCTGATCCAGTACCAGCACGATATTTAGTCTACTTCAATACAAAAAGAAAGCGGCTCGATCCTCCTTTTCCTACAGAGCACCGCAACTATGGAATAACCTCAGGGACACAGTCAAGTCTTCATTCAATCTAAAATCTTTTAAGAGATCTATAGCAATATACCTCAGCACAGAATGCACCTGGCATGGTTGAATATATTTACCTGTTATGTATTAAATTTATATATATATATATATATATATATATATATATATGTGTGTGTGTATATATAGTTTGTATATTGTATTTTTGTAATATTGTAACAATGCAATGTTTTGTGGAAAAAGAACCAGGACATACTTGAAAACAAGAGAAATCTCAATGTATCCATCCTGGTAAAATATTTTATAAATACATTTTCAGTATGCATATTCTATATTTGAAATGTTTGTAAATTTTTTATTTTTTTTTCTTACCACTTTACAGATCTCAAAACAATGAGCGAAAGAGTGAAGAACAGATATTATGTGACGAAAAAATTGTTTATGGCAGATCTGCAAAGGATATTTACAAACTGCAGAGAATATAATCCACCTGAAAGTGAATATTTCAAATGTGCAAACATCATGGAGAAATTTTTCTATACTAAAATTAAAGAAGCTGGACTTATTGATAAATAAGCATCAACTTGATGTGCCTCGTTTTATTGGCTAGCCTACTGTTTATAGGACTTAACATACATACTCTTCAGAAATATATGTTCTTCTTAATATCTTTTGAAGAGATGCTATTTTTTTTGCTATCCAATAGTTTAAGATGCTTGAAACCTGTAGGTTTTTGACTACACTATGTTTGAATCAGATTGTTTGTATATCTTGAATTACAAATTTTGTATATTAATGTATATTAATGTAATAAATGTATATTAAATGTATATTAAAGATTGTGTGTAAACCACCAATCTTACAGCACTGTGCTAGACTGGACAGATAAATAGATTACAGCTCTGCTTATGCCGGACATAAGTTAAATCATAATCTAATTTTAATATTTATACAAAGACACTAATGCTTTGCTTGGGAAGATTTCTAATTTACTAATACTGCATTTGTTTGATATATATTTGCTATTTTAAATATATAAACGACCCATGGCATTGTTCCTGTTGCAATACAAAAAATACTCCCAGTTCTTTTATTTTGTTATAGCAAAAGTTTAGTATACTGTTATATTTATATTTAAATACATACAGATTTAATGTAAAAAATATTTGGTTAATTTGAGAAGCTTTTTTTAGAATTTTGATGCTTTTAATTTTTATGACTTTTAGTTATAATATTGTACAAAGTTGAACATTTTGAGATTTTAAGGAAATACATACAGATTTAATGTAAAAAATATTTGGTTAATTTGAGAAGCTTTTTTTAGAATTTTGATGCTTTTAATTTTTATGACTTTTAGTTATAATATTGTACAAAGTTGAACATTTTGAGATTTTAAGGAATTATCCCCAAAACAAAATTTTATGTAGTGGCACAATTGTTTGTTTTTTTTTTTATACAGTTTTGTACCAGAAGATTTTGACACTTTTTTTTTTTTGTGTGTGTGTAAAAGCTTTATTTGGAGTTCATCTATTGACCATAATAACCACACTCGGGTTACTGTTTGTACTTAAGTTACAAAGTAATTTCACCCACTGACACATTTTTTAGTCAAATTGTTTTTTTTTAACCATTTTGTTTTGTGGCATATGTAAACAAAATAACATGCCTTCTGTCATTTATAATCCAGTCCTTTGCAATACAGAAATTATACTTGTATACTATGAAGGTGGTATACAACATTATGTCCCTTTCCCTGCCCCCTCTCCTCACCTCACCTAAAGTGTTACTTCAAGCACCAACTAGAATAATTTGAAGTGGTCATGGTGCTTGGAGTCAGTTTGGAATGCTGCATGTAGAGATATAGCAGCTTGCTACCAGAGGTGTACCTTCAAAGGTTCTGGGCTGGATAATGTGAATTCTGTGCATATTGGGCATTTGTCATTGTCATGCATAGCATGCTTATGACAAGTGACCAATGGTAGCACGAACCCCCTTCGCCCTGCCAGAGTCCTTCCTGGGACATTGCTACCCCTGCTGTAAGGGGAAATTATTTAACCGGAGAAGGATTAAGCTACAGGGAGAACTTGCCATCAGAGCTGAATGGAAGGTTTTCCCCTTTTTTTAAAAAAAGGGGGAAGGGCATGCCAGCAAAAGTTACCCACACCTTCCAACACTGTTTTGGTTGGAGTAACATTTTAAAAAGCTATGTGAATTGTGCAGGAAAATATATATTGTGCCAATCACGATCACTGCAAGTGTGTTAAATATCCAGTTGGCATGCAATATGTTAAAATTATTTTACATTAATAAAAGTGACCTTTTTTTTTTTTTTTTAAATGATAGATTCTTCTGTGAATGTTCTGAACCCTTAATGTATTGTTTAGTAGCTACACTGTTTGAAAAGACTGCCCCTTTTATATACTGAATGCATTTTTATGTTGTATAAATTTTAAAGAAACATTTTATTATAGATACTGTGCAATAATGCTGGAATAGAATGTGTGGTTTTGCAAATGCTTTATATAGAAAAATAATATACCTTTGTAAATTTAATATATTGTATTGGTTCTAAATAGTTTTAAATTATATAAAGGTATTTTGGCAATGTGTCTTTTTGTATTTAATTTTATTGACATTGTGTACATAAGAAAACATTTCAAGATTTTGTACCAGGTACAGTAGTTTTTAACCCGTGTGTCCCCAGGTACTATTGAACATCCCCTTGCTGTTGCTACCAAGCTGTCTACTGTAATGGCACTGGTTTCCCCAGTGCAATAGAAGCCCCCTTGGAACCTGGGGCGTCTAAGGTGTTTTGCATAACTTTAAGGGTTATTTACTAAAGTGAAGTTCAAATTTAAAGGGACACTATAGTCACAAGAACAACTATAGCTTAATGTAGTTGTTCTGGTTCCTATAGGCTTTTAAATGAAAAGTCACTGTTTACATCTCTCCAGTAAAACCTCTAGTGAGTCACTCAGACGGCCACTATAGGTGCTTCCTGTGTCAGTACTGCCCAATGTGCAGTGTCTCCACGCTCAGACTGTTCCCTATGGAGATGTATTGATTCATGCATGCAGGACCTAGCTTAAGAGAGCGACCATAAGTTCCTACTCAGGAAATTTCACCTCTCCTGAGATGGTGGTGGAGGCAGCTCCCACGTGTTCCAGAGCTGCTGAATGTAAAAAAAACAATTTGGGTGATCTGCACCCACAGGAGGTGCAGTCTATATGCTCCAACCACCATGGATAACAGCCTCCTTGCACGCAAAATACACATCCCACACAGTCTCCTCACCCCCTCCATAAACACACAACATTACAAGCATCAACCCCTATATGCAACCTTCAACACACACACAGGCTCAGACATCTTAATTAGTATCAACATGACAGAGGGATAAGATACTGCCAAAGAAATCATGAAACAGAGAAAGAGGCACACAGTGTGAGGTACATACAAACACAGCAAAGAAGATAGACTTGGGGAGGGGGTTAGGAGGGTAAAGAAAATACTGGCATAGAGAAGCTAGAAAAGTGAAGCCTTCACAAAACACCCATCATTTTTATATGTACAGGAATTTTGTTTTGCCCAATCAGTTAGGTGACTGTGGATCTATTGTATTACATTATTCACGTTCCAGATTTCTTCAAGGCATTTAAACTTGAACATATTCATATGCTATTCTACAGGGAGCTGGTTGAAATACTGGAATTACTGAGAAATTTTAACAATCTACCCAATTAATATTTTCCAAATCATTTAGAGAGCCACCATATTTCCTCTTTCACACTTACTATTGGATCACACCTTCCAGATTTGTCAGAGTTACTACATAATAGAAGTCATTTGTGGAATAGCGTGGAAAACAATCCCTGGTTTATATTTATTCACACACTTGGAGCACTTCCTGTTTAAGATTATGCCAATATCCAACACTTTCAGGTCCTTGGCCCTTCTCCACCAACATACGATGCTCACCTAAACAAAACTAGCACAGCTTTGTTTGGCCAAACGTTCACTGATTGGCAGTGGGTTTCTTGTATTTTTGTTTGCTACACTAAAGTTTTGCATCTTTCCAGAGTATTGCTCCGCAGCAACTTTCCCCATTTCACAAATCATCTTGATTGGATACAAATGATATCAGAGGTCCGTGAATGACTGTACCACAGACTCACTCAAGTCAACAGCTCATCTCTAATTGGTTGAGCTAGACTTAATACACTCTCAGCCAGTCAGTGACTCCACATTCGCAAAACTGGCCTGAAACGAAACATACCGTTTTCAAGTCAGTTTTGTGAATGGAGAGTCACTGATTGGCTAAAAGCATCAGCTGACTGCTCTCGGCACCCCATATTTCCTGAAACAGATTTCAAAAGCAACATTGGGGTTAAGCCATCCTCAAGCAGTGGAACCCATAAAGGAAAGAGTGCTCCCTGGCACCATAACAACTTAAATAACGTTGTTATGGTGGCTAAACTATGATCTCCACACACTACATCCTGTAAATATAAAACACTACATTTCCTTAACAGATACCAGGTAAGCTAAAGTTTATTGTAATTATGGCACAGATTTTAATCGCCCCCCTCCTCCCCCATCTTCTAAAATTGATAGTTAAAATATAGGGGGACGTCTTATGTGCTAGAAAAATACAGCAAATCAAGGATTTATAGATAATGGAACCCTGTCAAATTGTATGTATGCATGCACTACCCTGAGCAGATAGTGTGCTCACTAAAATTAAGTAGATGCAATGGTTTGGAGAAAACTGATCACAGTAACTCATTTATACACCTATTATCCAGACTACATTGCCACTCAGCAGCCCCTGAGGGGAGAAGATGGGCAGCCTTTGCATCTACATTAAAATTTTATTATGAACACAGATATGTTGAGACATCTAAGTGGCAATTTAAACCACTATTCACTACTAAAGATGAATAACAAACATTTTCACATAGATAAAAAGTACAGAAAGATTTGTTGCACAATATGTACATATTTATACAAATTAATTGATCCTGTCCCAAAATAACATGTGATGATGATATGGACAGAAAACTATGGTAATTTAACACACATAACCTGTATGGAAATGGCAAGAACCCTGCTGATCATTAGAACATTTTACCTTTATTTCATGTAAAATTAAAAATTTGAAGAAAAGTTAACTTGTGGTACTTTGAATATATGTACAATGAATGCAGTATTACAATTTGCATTTTTGGTGGCATCACAAACACCTGTTGAACAGGCTTTCATGCGTAATTTAGGAGTCCAATCTGGACCTCTGTGCCCATCCATGTTGTTAGAACTACTACTTCGCATTCTGCAATACGCGTTAAGTGATACAAAAAAGTTTTTTCTTATCAAGCCACATAGATATGTATAGCTGATGGATTATTGTTGTTGTATTCAAGGTAATAGCGTTCACTTGATTTTCACAAACCTGGATTTAAATTACAAGAGACAACAATAACACCACTAATTATGATAAATATAATGATTGCCTTTTTGTGCACACATAACCAGTTAATCTTAATCAATGCAGTGTTATTTCACACAACTTCCAATGTTACCAATCGCCTGGAAAGAGTTATAAGAATAATTTTTTTAGACATTTACACTTCATTTACAAGGTATAGGACTATATATATAAAAAATAAAGCTGTAGCTAAAACATTACCAATTTACAGAACAGATTAGAAAACAACTGGAAGGTGCAGATTCCATAACTAAAATACTCATGAAAACTAGTGATCATAAATTAAAATGTAGGCCCGTGCCAACGTTAATGAAGACAATTGTACACTACTCACAAGAATAGACACCTTACAAAAGTAAGGTACAAAACAGGAGACCACAAATTTGTGCATATACAAAATGAAACCTCGCAACAGTTCTATAGCCACACGGTCTCATCTACTGCAGCCAACAAATGCTTCATTGTATCTCGATAATGAATTCTTTTTAAGGGACTTCCGGGCATCTTTCTGCTTATAAATGGGAGAATTTAAAAATTCTGTGTCTGTGAAGGGATCCCCTCTTCTGAGTTTCCTGTATAAAAAATAAAATAAAATATACAATAGCATTAAATAAAAAAAATAATGTCAAGTAAGAAATAGAATAACCTTAACTTTATAACATTATATATATACACATATATATATATATATATATATATACATACATACACACACACACACATATATACTTACGCGCTCAACTTGGGCTCAGCATAATTAACAGTTACTGTACAACGCCGTTTTCGGATTGGAGTTCCATGTTTTTTCCTTTCATCGCTGTTGTGAAGTGGGCAAGAGCGTTTTTTAACGTCTGAACATCCCGATAAGTTTGTGACATCAGATAGGCTGAAGCGTGGGGTTGGAGGCTCTGCAGCAGCGCAACCTGCGAAATATATGTAATATTTTTGTAAACGGTAAACACATGAGAAAATGGAAATAATGCTTAATGGAAGTGTAACATCACAGGCTAAACTACTTAATTTTGAATTAGTCCGCCAGATCAGACCTGAGAACTATTTCACATTACAGGTACTCTGATGTGGCTGGAATAATTTTATATTATTAAGCACCAAATCTATTCTTTCTTCACCCAAAGCAAATTATAAATTGCTCTGTTGACCAGCAGCTGAATCACTTCATGACCGGCATCACAAACCAGCCGCCTATTCAAATAACAACGGTCACCCCAAAATTACTTTTTAATACAATAATCCTTACATCAAGTTTTGAAAGGAGATATATATATATATATATATATATATATATATGGAAAGAGATGCACTCTCAGGTCTTTGTAAAAAAAACTCGATATTATTTAATAACAGGTAACATACATCTGATCGACGTTTCGACCTCTTCATCTTCAAGATCTTGAGGAAGACCTGAAGAGGTCGAAACGTCGATCAGATGTATGTTACCTGTTATTAAATAATATCGAGTTTTTTTTACAAAGACCTGAGAGTGCATCTCTTTCATTTTTGCTTTACATATCCAGCGTGGGATTGCACCAAGGCAGTCTTTTACTGATTCATTGAAAGGGTGAGTGCCACTATACTTGTATGAATGAATGTATGTATGTATGTATGTATGTATGTATGTATGTATGTATGTATGTATGTATGTATATATATATATATATATATATATATATATATTTTTTATTTTATTTTTCTTCTAATGAAATATATGTAAAACAATGAGAACTAATTACTACCTTATATAACATTATATACTTTAGGGGAAAAAAAAATGATATTTTAAAAACTTGATAAATGGATTATTATATTAAAAAAATTGTTTTGAGGAGACAGTTGACCTTTAAGACTTTGCATGATGGCAGAGGTCAGATTGATTTTTCAACAAAAGTTCTCAAGTATGTGCATAGGTATCAGACAGACATCTGCTGCACAACATAAAAATGATGGCAGTCATCAATGAATACATTGATACAATGAAAACACCTGATGTGAATGCGAGGGCTATTTCTAAAGGTAAATGCACAAAATATACATGCCACATGTAGTGGATGCAGTGTGTTTAGACAGGGGAGCTGTGTGTGTTTGTGTAGTGGATGCAGTGTGTATTTGTGTAGTGTGTATAGTGAATGCAGTGCGTGTGTATGTATATATAGTGAATGCAGAGTGTGTGTTTGTGTAGTGTGTGTGCGTAGTGTGCGTAAAGTGAATGTGTGTTTGTGTAGTGTGTGTATATAATGAATGCAGTGTGTGTGTTTGTGTAGTGGGTGTATAGTGAATGCAGTGTATTTGTGTAGTGTGTGCATATAATGCAGAGTGTGTGTTTCTGTAGGTATGTAATGTGTGTAAAATGAGGGGGTGGGAGGCATTTTTTATTTTAAATATTAAACTTTTTTTAGCCCCCCTCCCCGTTTCTTACTTGGTCAGGGAGGGGGGATATGGCATTCCCTGGTGGTCCGGTGGCTTGGACTGTGCAGTGGGGACCCAGCAGCTCCCTTCAGCTCCCCTGTGTAAATCTTGCGGCCTGTGTGCCGCGCAGAGCGTTGCCATGGCAACGCTCTGACGGCCGTGGGACTCGCGAGATTTACACAAGGGAGCTGAAAGGAAGGTAAGTAAGCGCTTGCTGGGCCCCCAGGACCACGGGCTTGTCATGGGCCCGGCAGGCCTGCTATGTATTATGGGCAATATCAGTATCTCTATTTGCGGATACTGATATTGCAGAAAATACGTTGATCCCTAGTCAATACACACTTCTTTGCTCTCATTGCCTCACTGGAGTAAGCATGCTTCTATTATATTCTATTGAGCAACTGAAATTAGCAATGAGCCACCTTGAGCACACCTTTCTCACATTGGCTGATCAACCTGTCTAGATTGCGGAGGATAGTAGAAAAGAATGGACACCTGGTTTATATACCAGTTTTACCAAAAACATTCTAGAAATCTTGAAATAACAGAAATTGAACATTATCAAAGAATTATTATCGTAACTGTATAGCATAGAATAGATCTCACAATGTTAAAGGGCAATTAAGAAACCATCCCCGCTTAGTTATATTTTGGGGTTGCAGGATTACTGAATAACTTTACACAAATACAAAAAACGCTATACCCAGAATTCTTTCTGTAGGAGTGTTTGTGTCAAGGTGAAGCTTCTCAGTGGAAACTTTAAGCTGGAAAGGATTGCTGATTAAATCCTCTGCATCCTCATATGTTGGTAAAAAGCTTTCTCTAGTTGTTTCCACAGTTTCTGTTAGCACATCTGTGCTAGTCTCCACAGCATGCTCGGTCTTAACCTTTAGACCATTTCTTCCATTTTTCTTTAAATTCACTAAAACATAAAAATGAAACCAATAAATACTCAAAAAAATAAAAGGTCATGAATATTTCAAAAAACTCTAAACAATACCCAGACTATCCCTAAATAACCTAATATAACTACATACAACATTAACACCAAAATGAGGCTAGATCCAATTTAAATAATTGGAAGAAATATTGGATGGTTCTGTAAATGACGATACAGTAAATCATAATTTGCTTCAAATAGAAGCACTTATACTTTGCAAGCACCGGTGCTTCCAGTTGAAGTAAAAGAGCTCTTGGCTTTATTGCCGTTTTAATACCATAGTTTTTCATGGTTCTGTCACTCTCTTTCTCTAGAAAGCAGACAACCAGGAAGCAGTAAGTTGCTGTAGGTTCCTCCACTATAATTGTGAACTTTGCTTTGCATACAAAGTGAAAGATGTCCAGGTGCCTGGTGTACCAATTTCATTTTCTTCTGCATAGTATGAGAAACACCATGAAGAGAAGCTAAAATTCAATTGTTTAATTACCAGAGAATAATGTTTTCATGTCACAGGGACCTCTGCAGGACAATGAGATGCCAACAGGTTCCATATGGAACACAAGCAGTCTCCTGTCAACTTAATTATTTACAAATGTACACAATTATTATCATTGTTCTAGTGCTGCCATATTCCTAGGAGCTTTACAATAATAGATTGGGGATAGGGGAAGTAATGGACTTACTATATAATGACAGAGACAAGAGGTGAAGACCCTGCTCAAACGACCTTACAATACATGAGGCAGGAGTAAATAAAGACAAGAAAAAAAAAAAATAGCAAGTCAGAGGGAAGCAGGCCTTAATGAATAAGATTCCGGTGGCAAAATAAGCTAATAAAAGTGGTGTATGGAAGAACCAAAAACTGGAAGGAGAGTGAGTGAACTAGGCTACAGTAGCAACATGGGAACAAGGAGATGACAGCAGTAAGTTTCTCTTAGAGCAAAATAAATAACAGTTCAGGCACTCCGGGATAACAAAAATAGCAGCTTTATTGGGGCAAAAAAAATAAGAAGAGGGTCAGCGCTAATAAAATTGAAGTAAGGTAGGCAGCGTCCCAACAGAAGGTAACCCTCAAACCCTCTGAGGAGGGTGTGTTATTGGGATAAAAGCAGCAACGTTTTGACCCTACCGGGGCTTTATCAAGCTTAATAAAGACCCGGTAGGGTCGAAATGTTGCTGCTTTTGCCTCAATAAATCGGTTTTTCTTTTTGTTATTCCAGAGTGCCTGAACCGTTATTTATTCTGCATATCTTGGAAAGGTCTGGCCAGCTCTGGCTTCAGAGCACCTGGGTTATTTGGTGAGTGCAGTATCCAGTACACGTCTCTGCTCTTAGAGCAAAGGGAACAAGAAGTCCTAGCCCCAAATAACTGGTACAGGACAAGCCATGAGCCGCGTTCTCTAGTGCTTGTAACTTCTGTGTCGCAGCGCGTTTTCTGGTGGAAGGCAGGCGCTGGGCAATCATGTGATGCGGGAGAGGCCGCTTTGACGACAGACACTGCCCGTGAAGCTGTCCCGGAGAGCATGCAGCCTTGCAGGCCCGATAAATTTGATGGGCTGGGGTACCGGGCAGCCGCCTGCGGTGTGGGCCGAGGGGAGGACTACCAGCTCGGCTTCCCGGCAAGGTCATTCAGCTCCCAAGGGGAGCCGTCCCAGCATTAGGTGACCACCCCACCGGACATCCCCTGCAGCTGCAACTTACGGTGGGGGAAGAAAACACCTGTCTATGGGGGAGACTGCAGCCTGCCCCCTGCTGGCCTGGGGGAGGAGAGCAGCAGCAGTGGGGGTGAGAGGGCCGGACCTGGATAGCACATATAGAACCCACGGCAACAGGTGCTGGAAGAACTACAACTCCCATCATGCTTTCTCCCCCTTTAGACTCACAGAGCATCATGGGAGTTGCAATTTTACAACAGCTACCTCTTTGACCTAGTATTCAAATCAGGGTTATTACTTAGCTGTGAACTGAGGAAGTGAAATTGAAATTAAATTAGATTTTCTTATTTTAGGCCAAATTAGCCAAACTGAATTCTTTTTTCCAGTTTAGTTATTATGGCCTAAAATATGAAATTCACTGTAAGTTGTTGACAATTAAAAAGTCTAATATTAATAAAATGATAGAAAAAAACTATTTTAAAATAATTTTGGGAAAAAAGTATTTTTCAGTTTTGGTTTTCGGCCAAGGGCATCCTGAATTTTCATTTTGGCCCAGAATTTTCATTTCAGTGCATCATAGGTTATAGTTAACAGTTTAAATTGGATCCTGAAGTGTAAAGGAAGCCAATGTAACAATTAGCTAACATCATCTACAGAATAGGAAGCTTCAGTGGGAAGCCAGAACTGTAGCAAACAAGAGAAACTTCAGACTGGTATTCCCTCTTTGTATTGCAAGTGTTATTTTGTTGCAAATTCAAGATTCATCCCAAGCTAGAAGTGATCCTTGATTAAATAATTTTTTTTAATATTGTGGAAGAATGAACAGTTGCATTTTAATTCCCATTGTATTAACTTTCAACCTGTTGCACATAGGGTGGAAGAGCAGCACCTAATCCGAAGACGTCTAGCTACCCTACCGCAAAAGATATGTTGAGAAGTATTCGATTTCCAACACTTAGCAACTTAGCTGCATGAGAATTACTTTCACTAAATGCCCAAGCTGGACCCCCCACCCATTTTGACTCTTTTACACAAATTTAGCATTTTAGGGAAATACATTACTCCCAAAAATTAATGTTCCATAAACACAAACCTTGTTCTTCCTGCACTTCTTTTTTATTTTCTTTCTTCTGAGGTTGAATAGCTTTGCTTCGTTTAGATCTGGGTCTTAATGGAACAGAAATACTGCTCTGTGTGCGATTTTTGTTTTTTGAGTTTTCCTTGTGAGGTACATACAAGCTGTCATCCATGTCATCCTCATTATTGCTTTCAACAGAACTGTTCTCATTAAGGTCTTCTTCCTCTGGTTTATTTTGACGGAAAGGAGTGACATGTACACTTTCCTCAAAGGCAAAGTCATAAGCATCGCCAGAATTTAAAGAAGAATTCATTTTTTCATTGGAGACCAAGTGTTTGCTTGTTCCCCGCTCCCTACTTTTTGATCTGGCTCTGGGTTTGGAATTTTCCCATGGCTTTTTCAAAGGGACGCTACCTGCCTTATCCGTTTTGCCTTTTCGAACTCTTTCTCTACCAGTCCGAGAGTCTTCTTTGCTCTTGGCTGGTATATCTTTTGTCTTTATTTCAGGGGTTGAACTTGCTATTTTGTTAATTTCTGAATCAGGCAGAAACTCTTCTTTAGATGGGCTTGGAAATGTGTCCAAGTTCTCCATTCCTCCATTATTTCTAAAATTACAATCCTCTACAGGAGCAATATTTTCTGTTCCAGAATGGACATAATCTGCATTTAAACAGTCAACTTCTGACCGGTCTTGAAACACAGGTTCCTCTCTGCAGGAGTTCAAGTTAGAACGGGGACGTCTGGTAGACACATTTCTATGCAAGTGAGCTATTCTTTCAGGCTTCTCATTAGGAACCAAATTTACTTCTTCTGATATAAAGCCAGGTTGATAAATATGAGATCTTCTTCCTGATAGAGAAAACAGAGCAGAAAATTAAGTCTTTAGTATGAAAATACACGTAATAAAAAAATCAGAGGAAAAAAAATGAAACAAAGTAATAGTGATTTGTCCTTACAAATATATGACCAAAGGGGAGAACAGATTAGCTACATAAATATACATTTTCAATTTTACAATATCTTGTATAAGATGTAATAAAATTACACGATAATTCCAGACATGCACAAGTTAAACTTCTCAAAAGAAAAAGAGAAAAAACAAAAACACACATTTACATAAAAACTGTGAAAACGAGGGAGCGGGGCCTGCTTGCTGACCAAGATGGATGCATGTTTCTGAAGCTCCTGAGAAAAATCCTTTTGCTACACCTAATCCTGGACAGCAGCATTCTAATTTTGGCACAAACCTGCTTATTATTATCGAGAAGCACATTGGTGAAGGGTTGGCCTCCTTAGGCACCACCCTGGAGGAATAAGCCCATGCAAGGTTCTCTCTGTGACCTGCACGAGTACTCGTGGCGGTGGCCGATCCTCTGCCCTGTACCTGCACCTGCACTCTCCTGTTCTAGAGTCCTATCCCCCTCCCTCTGGACCAGCAGGGGTTATTCTGGTCTTCACAGGTACACTCTCGGGTGTGCTACTACAAGCGGCATAGTGATCCACAACAACAGAAGAAGTTTTGACCTGCTGTTTAAGATGGCCGATGCACCGGGACCTGCAGATTTGCATTCATTCCCAAAGCCATCCACCTATGTTGACCTTCTCCTTCAGGACTGACAGGTTGTGTACCCAATTCTGGGTGAAGCTGAATGCTCACGTACCCACCTCTACTCCTGTCAGCCAAGGCAGAGTCCCCGGAATCCGGCCTATGGGTCAAAGTCGCATGGCAGGACCCATGTGGCCATCGCTAAATATTGTGAAAATGGAGATGCAGAAGGCCACAGCGGCTGGCAATTAACCGCCAAAGCTGGGTGTTGGTGAGAGGAGCGTGGAGGCCACATACTACACAAGCCTGGAGTCTATCTACCACTATGTCCCGCCGGCGTGCCCCTGCACAGCACTCCAGAAGGAGTAAAATCTTCCTGCACAGGCCGCATGGTTCCCGCTCAGCAAGGCATACTGTGTGCATCGTGACGGTCCACACAGGAGGATCGTATCCACTCTTCGGTTGATTCTCAAAGTCCAATATCAGTAGCCTCCCATCCACTGGCATTGGTTAAGTAATCCTAAGAGACGATCGCAGATTTTCTACAGTTCTGATTCTTCTGCTGGTTTATGCTCCGCTTTATTTGATTTATTTACCCATATTTGATAAGCTATTATGCTTAGGTGCCTGGTGATTATTCCTGAAATGTTTCCTAACAGTTCGTGTCAAAAGGGAAAATATTTATTATGGTTGTTGCATGTTTTTTATATGACATGATCTCTTTTTCCTTACACCATAAAAGTGCCATGCTCGCTCTTCTGCAACAGTTAAAACTCCTCCTCCAGTTGTATTACCTCCTGAAACTCTCTAAGGTTCTATTCTGCTACATCTCTTAGTCTTCCTATGCGTGCTCTAACAGAATAGTGCTCATGCTGTATTTTCTCATTTACTATTATTATAAAAATGTGCTGGATGATCGTTTGCCATGCACTTGTTCTACTATGTATTTTGATATACTTGCATCTGTTGTTGTGGCACTGCAAACTCGTCTGTAAATTCTAAACACAGCAAGACTAAAGAATAAAAAAAGTCAGGACTCTAACCTTTGTTTGTGGAAGTTATCTTTTCAGAACTTTCAAAAACATTATCTTCGCAATTAAGGTTCTCATCATTTCGGCCACTTTCCTTAGGATACATAGAAGGTTCACTTGAATTTGAAGCAGGAGCATGTTGTGGAAGTCCCCTACATCTGTAAAATATGGTTGCAGTTACATATATATGCAATGGTGTGAGGTAACACACAAACAGAAGAAAGGACATTTATACGAATGTGTTTGATATTAAAAAAAACATGCTCAACACCATAAACACTAAAGCTCACTGTAGTGGTGATGGTGCCAAGAATGCCCTAGTGTAGCCCCATTGTAAGTAGTTAAATTATTTTAGAATAGTTTGACTTTTAACCTGGGGTTCATCAGGCAGCGACCCCACCTCCACTTCTGGAGAGTGAGAAGCTCCTAAGCAGGAGCTTCTGTTCATTCTATTGTACAAAGTCTTGCAAATGACTTGCATATAGAAGTAAAAAAAGAAATTGAATATCTAAACAAAAGTACATTAAAAATAAAATTACTCACAAGGGTCTGATTGTTTCATACTTCTCCAAAGGTTTTTCACTAACAGAAGGGGTATTATCAATGTTCTAAAATAAAATAAAAAGTACACATTATTTCCATGTATAGAGTCAAATGCAGGAATGCTGATTGTATGGCACTGTCATTTATAGGAAAGATTCTCCCTAGGGAACAAACAAAAAAAACACCTGTGTAAAACAGTAAAGTATGAGGGTGCCTGGGAACTCTAGGTTCCATAACAGACAAGTTTAAGACTAAATGGTGCATGTTTCACCACTTTTGAAGTAATGCGTATATAATTAGTTTATCTAGCTTAAGGATTTTGATAATTTTCTTGGCTCTTTATTCTGCCATAAATTACAGCATATATAGATAAAAGTGGGCATGGTTGTGTAAGAACCATAACAAAGCCATCCAGTTGTCCATTTCTCTTGCAATCTGTTTTGGTTTGTTTGCAACATCCTAGTGTCTCCCCAAAATTAAGGTGTAATCACAATGTGGATCCTCTCTCACACTGCACCCGGAGGAGTGCCAGTCACTCCTCACTGATGAGGCCATAAAAAAACTTGAGACATACTTACATTACTAGTGCATAAAACTTGAGCTGGTCCCAGGAGTTTTGCGGTCTCCAATAAATTGGAAGTGACTTTGGCAATTATGTCTTTCAAAGATGACAGTTTATCCTAGAATACAGAAAATGATACAATGTTACTCCTTAAAACCGATGAATATTGTGAAATTTGGTAATTTAATATTGTATAGGACAGGGCTCAAAATCTCTACTTACCACTGGTCTTTAGCAAGTGAAAGTGTAGCCATGGCTAGTATAAACTCCTGGTGAGTATGCTATGGCTTACAGTGGCAAGTAACTTTTAAGCTCTAGCTAGTAGCATAAGACTGCATTTTAACCATTGGTATAAGACCTTTAAAAATGTTTAAGTTTCTCCCAGAAGGCTTACAATACTGGCACCAAAGCAACTTTATCTTAATGTTTTGGTGTATATATCATGCTCCTGCAGTTTCACTTCTTAATCCTGTTATTTAGGAGTAAATCACTTTTGTTTTTGTAGACCTAGACACACCTTCACTGGCTGTGACTGACAGCAGCATTAAATAAAACATGGTTTCAGTTATTACTTACTTTAGTTAATTGCACTTTAATTACACACGAGGATCGTGCAGGTTCTTGGCGTAGGAGATGAGAAATTCTAAATTAAACAGACTGTGCAATAGAGGAGGTTTAAACATTAGATCACTCCTTACAGGAAATGAGTAGATCACATGCTTGGGTTGTGTGACTAAGGTTGCATTAACAAAGCTATTTAACTCCTAAATGGAAGACAATTGAGCAGGGGCATGATCTGTACACCCAAACTGCTTTATTAAGCTAACATTGTTCGGGTACGTATAGTATTCCTTTTATTGAACACCCTAGGCACTAGAACCACTACAGCCTAATGCAGTGTCTCTGGGGCAAAGAGATTATCCCCGCAGGTTCAGCAATACCTTTTTTGAGAAAGGCAAGTGTTTGCAATGCTGTCTAACACAGTCTGACAGGCACTAAAGGGACTTCCTGTTTGGGAGCCTGCAAAAGATTACAGGAACGTTGTTCAGTGTCTCTACGCTCTGCACAAAGAAGCTGAACGATCCCCATCTCTGTGAAGAGATGCAGAGTGCAGCTCAGCGATCTGACGCACAAGCACACCAACCTCACAAAGCTTCCTGACAAGTAAGCATTAGATTGGCTGATATCATCATTACTGATTATCTCTGTCAGCTGAGGCTGGGATAGAAGGGGAGTAAAAAAAATATTATATATATGTATGAATTCCTAATGCATGACTGTTCCTTTGTAATCATAAAAAGAAAATGCCTACTTTCACATTGCTGTTGGGACAATGGAAACATCTCACAATACAATACAAAACAGATTCTGTAACAGAACTTGTGTACAACTCCCAAACGCGCACAAAGCAACATGGGACAGAGAAATGGTTACCATGAGGAAGTGCTGTGATAGGCTTCTTTTAGTAAAAGCTGCAACAGTGCTTACTGGGGTGAAGAAACATAAATCTGTGTGAGAGTCCCTTTAAGTAGAATTTTACTTAGTACTATATGCTCCCGATTAATTACCCATAATTGCACTGAAACAAAAGTTAATTGCTTTCAAAGTTACCACCTTAGAATAAATTTTCTGCACTGGTTGATCTTGAAAGGAAAATATCTTTCAATGTCCTATTTGTCAAGAAGTCAATTTAACAACTTGAATTATAGCTCGCAACTAGACATCCAACCACTTTAGTTCTGTTACAGAGTGAAGTGAGATAACCGATTTCCCCTTTGACCTCCTTAATGTGAGATTTCAGCCGAAAAAATAAATATCCATTTATAACCTTAGCACAAATGTAATTAAAACTTGGTCAATTTGCTGTATTCGACTTATGTGCTATCAACGTGTTTAATCTTAACATGTATTGCCATTGAATATAGAGCTAGCCGAGTAAACAAAAACAAACAAAAAGACTATTTTGTACATCTTGGAAAAGGACAATCCCCTCCCAAAAACAAATTCACATTGATTTTGACATAATTTTTGCAAAGTTGTCATATTTAGTAGGGATCGACCGATATTGATTTTTTAGAGCAGATACCGATAATCTGTGAACTTTCAGGCCGATAATTTATCGATATTCTGTACATTTACCATTTTGAAAAAATAAACTATTTCTAGTGGTAAATGCACAAAATATACATGCCATGTGTAGTGGATGCAGTGTGTTTAGACAGGGCAGCTGTGTGCATTTGTGTAGGGAGTATATAATGAATGCAGTGTGTGCGTAAAGTGAATGCAGTGTGCGCGTAAAGTGAATGCAGTGTGTTTGTGTAGTGTGTGTATATACTAAATGCAAAGTGTGTGTGTTTGTGTAGTGTGTGTGTATGCTGAATGTAGTGTGTTTGCGTAGTATGTGTATATAATGCAGTGTGTTTGTGTAGTGTGCATAAAATAAACACTACATTTTATACACACACCACACAAACACTGCATTATATAAACACACTGCATTCACTATACAGACACTACACACACTGCATTATATACAGTGTGTTTGTGTAGTGTGTTTACATAATGCAGCGTGTGTGTTTATGTAGTGTGTGTATCGTGAATGCAGTGTGTTTATATAATGCAGTGTGTGTAGTGTTTGTGTATATAATGCACTGTGTTTGTGTAGTGTGCATTATATAAAAACACTACACAAACACTGCATTCACTATACAAACACACACTGCATTATATAAACACACTGCATTTTATACACACACTACACAAAAACCCACACTGCATTCACTATACAGACACTACACAAAAACACACACTGCATTATATAAACACACTGCATTATGTACAGTGTGTTTGTGTATATAATGCAGTGTGTGTGTGTTTCTGTAGGTATGTAATTTGGGGGAGGGGGCATTTTTTAATTTCATTTTTAAATATTTAATTATTTTTAATAATTTTTTTAGTCCCCCCTCCCTGCTTGTTACCTGGCCAGGGAGGGGGGATATGTCATTCCCTGGTGGTCCGGTGGCATGGAAAGTACAGGGGGGGCCCTGCAGCAAGTGCTTATTTACCTTCCCAGCAGCTCACTTCAGCTCCCTATGTAAATCTCGTAGCTAGCGTGCGGCATGGAGCGTTGCCATGGTAACCCGTGGCAATGCTCTGACGGCCACTGGACTCGCAAGATTTACACAGGGGAGCCGAATGGAGCTGCTGGGAAGGTAAGTAAGCGCTTGCTGGGCCCCCCAGAACCGCCGGGCTTGTAATGGGCCTGGCGGTCCTGGTATGTATTATCGGCAATATCGGTATCTATAGGCCGATACCGATATTGCCGAAAATACTGAATATCGGCCAGACCGATAATCGGTTGATCCTTAATATTTAGATACTTTTGGCTCCTCCCTTGAACCTAAACAATGACAGATTAGGCAAGGCTAATAGTTAGAATCATAAATGCATAAAGACACAACAAGACATTACTGGACCTTGTGGTGTCCAGGATTAACACAGAATACTCCAAATGTGCTATCAATAAATAAAACAGCACAAGCAAAAGTGAGGACCCCAGAGAACAGAATAGTCAAAAACAAGTCAAAGATTGGAACAAATAGCAGACAAAGTATAAACAGGATAAGGCAGGTAAGGAGTACAGAGGGGAGGATAATCAGAGCTAAATCACATCAAATCAGAATCTGAATTACACTTTCAGTGATACAAGTCACAAAGGGTGATGGGTAGAGGGAAAGGTGGCTTGTTATTACAATCCCCCAGTGTTATGGGCAATTGCAAATATTGTATTTCTCAAACTGTGTACTTTGCCTTTAAGAGATATTACAAACTGACAAGGTGTTAGAAATGGAACATATTGTTTTTTTACACATGTTTCTTTAAGCAATAACCTTTTACCTACTTTCAGTGCATAATATGTTTACGCCATTTTGTTCCAGACAAAATACAATAACACATAAACAAGCTTCAAGGGTATGCTACGACTCTTTCAATACATAATATACTGCGGTAACTCTAAATAGATAAAGATGTTCAGACTTGAGGATGCCATCTTGTCCTAAGTCAGGGAATTTTCCATGACGTGTGCACCCTTACGTTTTTATGGCCTTGTATTTTTGCCAAGTTAAGGTAGGTCCTAAAATGAATAAAGTAAAAGTGTTACTTTTTCATTTATGAATTACAGTAACCCTAAAATGAAGACACCCAAGGTATAAATATGTGTACCTTTTAAATGTTAACACAGAGGAGAGATATGGAGGCAGACGCTCCATCTTATGACAGAGAGGCTGACATGATGACATGTTCAGGAGGGTATGGTCTATTAAAATATTGCAAGCATCTAGTTTAATCTTATAAACTCTGTTATAAATTATTGTAATGGATTTTATATGTCTATATTTATATTTTAATTTAATAAAATATCTAAAAAGACAAAAAGTTATTGCTTCCAAGACAATCCTTATATTATATTGCATTCTCAATTATTTAATATTTTAAATAGAGGACCTCTTACTAACTATATAAAATTATGGCTAAGATATCTGTATGGTTAGCCCTGCTAAGTTCTATGCTTTAAGATGTTATAGTGGTAAACAAGGGAACCAGCTGTGGTTACACCAGGTGCCCAAGATAACATAGAAACAAAATGCTCTCTTTATACATAGCTTGTTGAAATGTAGAATCTTAAGATGGGCCCATGCTTAAAGCAGTCACACCAGCCTTTCTATTGCCAATATTTCCATTTGGAGCGTGAATAACTGTGTGATTTTATAAACTTGTCACTGGTGTGGGGGAAATCGCAAGAGCCATGAAACAGAAAAGATGGTCCATACTTTTTGCCTTCAAGTCTACATAATTCTTAGCCGTAACTATATTTTTCTACAATCAAGAAGAGTATGTCTATAAAAGTCTATATAAAAATATGTAATTTACACACGTTATGGTCTTCCAGTTCTCAGAAGTCAATTCCCAGTTCAAACTTTTCTTTACTTTGCCTACTCCCTATTAAACTGTGAATTGTTTAGAATTAACAGTGGATTTTAAATTATGGGTTATACCAACAGTTCCTAAACTGTGTGCCACAGCGCCCTGGCACACATTTTCGTGCCTCACTCTCCCCTGCCGGCTCTGCAGGACTGGAGATCAGAGATCTCTCTCATCGGCCTGCTAGCACTGTAATGCCTCAGGAGCTGCTAAAACTCACTCTCACCACATGGACCATCAGGGTTTAGTACTGCTCCCCCTCCCAGGTAATGGTAAGAAGGGAGAGGGGAGTGGTATATGAATAAAAAAAATTAAAAAAATTTATGAATTAACCTGCCCTCCCACCCCCACACTGCACCCATCTCACACACACACACACTGCACCCATCACCACTCACACACTACATCCTTCACAAACACAATGCAAGCCTGTACACACACACCACTGTCCTTATCCCATACTACAGACCCTATCCTAGCAGACACCAGGTAAGTTGTCCAACTGTTCTTAAAGTTTATGCCGCAGCGCTATACATATATACAACCTAGAAATTTTTTTTGACTTAGGGCGCCTTGGAAAAATATTGAAATATTAAGGGCGCCTTGAACCTAAAAAGTTTGGGAACCACTGGGTTATATACTCATTAAAATGCACAACAAATGTGGAGAATTTTTCAAATGTGACTATTTTGGTTTAAATGTGAAATTAACTTCTGATAGCTTACAGTTGATAGGGATGATCTCATTCATGATGAATCAGGGGGTATTTGAGCTTCACCATACTCCGTGGTACTTTCAGAAGCTGTTAAATCACTAGCTGCTGACCGTTCCCACTTAATATCTCCCTTTAACTTAAAAGTCCATCTTTCACTCTATCGGCGGCTCATATAAATATCAAATCTTAAATGGACCATAATATATCATGCAATACAGAAACATATAGCAAACCCCAGCCCACCTACTACAGAAAATAATATTTATGGATTATTTCCTCACAATATCAGTTTATCCATTATGTGTTCCTTTGATCAAACAAAATAATATAAGCACTTACGTTTGTAGACTCCCTTCCATTGTGCAAGCTAAGCTTCCTTCGTAACATGAAAATTTCAAACATCAACCTTTGGTGTTCTCTTTTTAAATGTAAGATAAGATCTTGAGCTTGCCTTGATTTGACCTTCTCTTCTTCCAGGGCCAAAGCAAGCCCTTTGTTGTTCTCTTGAATGCTTTTCACGGACACAGAGCTGTTGTCTGTAGTAAATGGGAATGAAAAAAAAATACATAAATAAAAATAGACTTAAAAAAAACAAAACGGATGAATCCTCTTACAAATTCAGGTGTGAAATCTCTTACTGATCTTCATGGCTTTTGCAGAATAGGCCTTGACCGTAACCACCTTTGCCAGCTTTTTCATTCTTTTCTCCTTCATACGCTCCTTTATGTCCTCCAGGCTTTCCTGAAAGGTCTTTTTCAAACACCTTACTTTGGCCATCTTTAACAGGTATATCGACTGAGTGCTGTAACAGAAAAATAGATTAGACTATTAAATACAAAACAAAAAATAGAGAATTTGCAATTTATTACAAAGAATTTACAGTAGTAAATTTGGAATAAAATATATTTAGCCAGACTGTCTTTATGGAAGAGAATTCACCCCAGAAACAATGACAGACGATTCAGCAAGTATTTAGATGTGAGATGACTACTAGGTGATGAAATCTAGTTGTTTTTGGATCAACCCAAGCATCTTGACCGCTACAGCTCACTGAGGTGGTGGTAGAGAAAGGAATGCACTGGCGTCATTCCATAATAATCTGCCAAACCATTTCAGCAAGGTTTGCCGCCTACATGGGTCCCATCAGACACCCACATTTCTTTTGGTATTCTCGAGCAGAGAAAAATAAATATCAGGCAATGATATAGGCATTCACTCATTGGCTGAGGATGTCAGTTGAATGGTATCAATGAATGAGCAGAACAAGTTCCTGTTTTGGGTCCCAGGTAAAAGTGTTAAAATAGTTTGACAGATTATGCTGGTAAGGTATCAAGGCACTCATTATTATTATTTATATAGCGACATCACATTCCGTAGCGTTGTACAATGGGTTGCACCATAACTAATGCTGCTGTATCTCTTTGGTCATCTAGCTGGTTGGGTTCCTTTAAAATCAGAATTAACCACAATTTAATTTAAGACATTATATTCCTGATCCATTCAAAACATAATAATGATGAGGGATGAGAATGAAGTTTTTAAGAGCACTGATCAAAAGATATTAACACTTCTTGCAGTGCAGAAACACATTTTAAATATACAAATATCTAATTTATTATGATACATTTGTAATAACACACAGCTGTTAACTATTAACATACCTTAAAAACAAAAAATGGCATTCAAAACTCAAAATTTGCACTCGCCCTGTGGATTTTGCTATAGAACACTCACTGAACTGAAAGCAGCAGCTTGTTCTAAATGTGGCTGCATAGTTGATAAAATATTGGTCCCCTAACTTCTTTATGATTAAAGGATCACTATGGTGTAGGGAAAACAAACTTGTTTTCCTGACACCATAGCATCCTTAGGGACCCCCCACTTCATTGGCACTGAAAGGGTTAAAGTTCAGTTACTTACTTTAATCCAGCACTGGGCTCCCTCTGCGCTGGTGACCTCTGACGTCAGCTCCCGACTGGAGCCGAATGTGCGGCGCACGCATTCAAACAGTCCATAAGAAAGCATTTCCCAATGCTTTCCTATGGACATTCTGCATGCTGGATGCAAATTTCGCATCCAGCGTCGCAGAAGCGCCTCTAGCGGCTGTCAGGAAGACAGCCACTAGAGGTTGGATTAACCCTGTAATGTAAACATAGCAGTTTCTCTGAAACGGCTTTGTTTACATCTGAAGGGTTAAAACCTGGGGGGACCTGGCACCCAGACCACTTCATTGAGCTGAAGTGGTCTGGGTGACTATAGTGTCCCTTTGACTTTTCTATTGTGTACTATGGGATTACAAATGTATCAATACACAGTCCTAGCCAAACGTTTTGCAAATATATAGCATTTTATTGTTTCTGACTTCCTTAGCTTTAGACGATATATTATGAATTCCCCAAGCATCCTGCAACAGCATACTAGGAATTGTCAGAAGTGTTAGTCATTTTGTGTCACGGAGGTGGAGTGTTTTTCTTTGCGGTCCATTCCCAGTGGTTGCATTATAAGAGAAGCTTTGCAGTGACAAGTAAAAGTACTATTTTTACATTTTAAAAAAGTAACCAAATAATATTCTGAATATGTAATATGGTAATTTTTTTCAGAACAGAAGACGCACTGGAATACAAGGCCAACCCATATATTTTAACTAGAAATTTAGGGAAGAATAACAACGCAGCCTGTTCTATAATTACAGTAAGTTTCAGCTTATGTGTAGCATTTAATGAATGCAGGGCTGGGGGTGTGAAGTGTACATAAACGCTTTCTCACAGTCCAGTCCTGTCTAGGAAATAACTGAATGCTGAGAGTGAACCAACTACAACAAAAAATGCTCTCCTATCGAAATACCAGCACATGAACAGGTATTGCTTTACTGCCCCATGTAATATATATGTATAGACAAATTATTTTTCACACCAACCCTATTAAATTACACACCAGCTGCATACAGCCAGAACACACGGCACACTGTCAGCAGAACGCACACTCGCACGCACACAGTCCGCAAACACATGGCACAAACTATGGGATAGCGAGACACTCACTGTAATTCACAAAACTGATGTTTTGCTAATAAATTGAAATGGCAAACCTGATATAAAAATAGCCATGTTGTGACTATAACATATTCCCATTACAGCTATTATTGCCTCAGTTTTCCATAAAGATTTAATTTGTGAAAATTGAGACATTAGTAAATAGCCCTGTCAATTTACCAGACTCTTAGAAAGGACCCAAATCTTTCTCATTTAAATTATTTTGTGACAGGACAAGCAGATTGTGTTGACGGACAAAAAGAAAATAATATTAAGGCTCAAACCCGCTGTGCCCTTTTGTGAGATTGTTTTCTGTTTCAAATATTTTATTAGAGTATATTACAATACATCAAAATAATACAGGAAAATACCAGACTGAAGAGAAAAAAAATAAAAAAATTAAATTATATATATATATATATATATATATATATATATATATATATATATATATAAAAAAATAAGAAATCAATGTACAGTATGCATATTTCAATTAAGATTAAATATCAAGATTAGAGATTAAGACCTGGGTCTTTCAGATTTAACCGATTATGCTACATTACAAGCCAAATCCATCTTGCTTCCAAATGCCCTATATGTTACTGTTAATACCTCTGTCATTATCCAAGCTTATTCTTAAGTAGTGATGTGCTAAACAGTTCGCGCACGGTTCGCCACGGACTCATCGAGTAAACTTTGACCCTGTACCTCACAGTCAGCAGACACATTCCAGCCAATCAGCAGCAGACCCTCCCACCTCCTGGACAGCATCCATTGTGAAGCTGTATTCTTAGTGAGCTGTCCAGGAGGTGGGAGGGTCTGCTGCTGATTGGCTGGAATGTGTCTGCTGACTGTGAGGTACAGGGTCAAAGTTTACGCAATGATGAGTCCGCGGCGAACCTTTCGGCGAACAGTTCGGGACATCACTATTCTTAAGTTATTCTCAGCCAGCCATCCTCTTCTCTTCTCTTACCCTTTCCTCTAATATAGAACCCCAGATTTTCCAGAACTTGGACAAAGAATTAGTAGCGGAATATGCCATATATTCCATTTGACATATATTATAAAGCATTTTTTATTTTTTTTTAATTCTTTATTTTTGAACGTGCATGAGATTACAATACCTCCTGCATTGCCACAACAGCAAATGCGAGGATTTGCAGTACATTCAATGATACATGTAGGTTGACATTGAGAACTGTTAGAGACAATACTTTGCATCATTTGAGAGAACAGCACGAAATTTTATATTTAAAGTATGGTGACTAGTTAAACATAACACTTGTTTGTCTGGGCAGAGAGTGTCTTAGTGACGAGTCGTGTTAGGCAAGTTAGTAAGAACGATTAAGCCTCACAACACTGGTGGAGGAAAAACATGAGTAACCAAAGTGATGTAGTGGAGTAATATAGTGGCACCTTGTTAAGTTATATATATCCCGCAGGCTAAACAGGCTAGACAGTAAAAGTCTGGAGTGACTAGTGAAGGGAAGTAGCTAAATTTGGTTATATACCTGATGATGGCAATTTAAGCAAGGTAGGAGTATATACCCCTTGCTACTGCATGGTTTTGTTTGGTTATGGTCTGAGCATTTTAGGAGTTCTGGCAGTGGGCTCCCTTTTTTTTTTTTCCGTTTTTTTCCGTTTCCCTTTCCCTTTCCTTTCGCACAATTTTAGCTTATAAACAGCATTGAGGTTGTACGTAAATTGGGCAGTGGCATGAGAAATGCACAGTGTTATACGTATAGTTATGCCAATCATCAGCCTGGCTATCCCGTTTTGTCATTAGAATATAGCGCAAAGATAAGTTTAAAGGTAAGCTCAGACAGGTTTAGTAAAATGAGAGTAGTAATCTGGCTATACATGCTGCTTGAAACAATTGAGCTTGTGTTCCTGTTACTATTTGTGGTCAGACATTGCAAGCAGTCAATATTGATATAAGATGGCTAGTCCTGTCCCACTGCCTGGCTACGGGCCAGCAGAGCCTATGAGGCATCCAAACAGGGTGGGGGCATGTAATGAGACTAGTACAATTGTACATTAATAGTTACGCAGGAGTTAACTTGAGGTAACCATGAGATATAAGGTATGAACCAGTGATCACAGGCTAAGCTAAGATGTCTGTGCAATATTCAGACGTTTTGCGTGCTAAACATAAATTATAGCATGGCTCAGTGGTGAAATTTAGGTACTCGCCGTAGAACCAAAAAAAACAAAACAATAATAACCATTGGGTGGCTAGTCGTTTCAACATATGGGTACCGCAAGCATTGTATGCGTGCTCTGAGCGTCCTTGAGAGCTTTGTAGCCGATGCCAAGAGCTTAACTGCCAGAGTCAACCAAAATGCAAGCAGCCCAGCGTTTTATGGCAACTGGTATATGATCTACGTAGTAACAAAACAAAGCAAAAAAAAAAAAAAATTTAAAATAAATAAAGTTCCGCAAAGTTCAGTAGCCATTCTTCAGATGCCTAGAGAAAGTGGGGTTTTGCTTCGGTCTTCGTCAGACCTCCCAGGAGACTTTTCCACTATTATAAAGCATTTTTAATAAGCCTTGTATTGAAGGAACTTCAATGCTCTTCCAGTTTTGGGCAATAAAATTCTTAACAGTCATAAAGAAGAAGGGTATCAATCTTTTAGTTTGCAAGGTAATTGTTATTGGTTAATTATTTAATAATGCTACCTCCAAAGAGAAGGGAACGCAGACCTGAAGATTAGATTCAATAAGATCATACACTGAACATAATTATAAGCACAACACTTGTTTTTGCCCCCATTTTTCATGAGCTGAACTCAAAGATCTAAGACTTTTTCTATATACACAAAAGGCCTATTTCTCTCAAATATTGTTCACAAATTTGTCTAAATCTGTATTAGTGAGCACTTCTCCTTTGCCGAGATAATCCATCCACCTCACAGGTGTGGCATATGATTACTGCACAGGTGTGGCTTAGGCTGGCCACAATAAGGCACTCCTGTGCAATAACCATGCTGTCTAATCAGCATCTTGATATGCCACACCTTTGAGGTGGATGGATTATCTCGGCAAAGGAGAAGTGCTCACTAACACAGATTTAGACAGATTTGTGAACAATATTTGAGAGAAATAGGCCTTTTGTGTACATAGAAAAAGGTCTTAAATTTTGAGTTTAGCTCATGAAAAATGGGGGCAAAAACAAAAGTGTTGTGTCTATAATTTTGTTTAGTGTACAATTTTTCCATACCCAAGAAATGTTTTGGCAATCCCAACAGATATGTGATAGTGAGCCAATCTTCCCACATTCTCGCCAACAACAATTAGAGACACTTGGCTACATATGCTGTAGTTGGACCGGGGTTAAGTACCATCTAGTAAACAGTTTGTATGATAGTTCTACTTGGGTTGTACATCTTGAGATTTTTGCTGTGAATCTTGACAGGGACGTCCAATCTTCCAACTCCTTTTACCATCCTGATTTAAAAGAATGTTTTCTCTGGGTATATTGAGGATATTGGGGATTGGTAACATACCGAAGGGGATTTACGCCCTTCAGACGCATTTTAAAAAATAAATTAGAAAAAAACGACACCTGATCCTCTAAATAGCAAGACGCCAGACATCGCCGAATCCGAAGATACTGGTAAAAATCCCGGTGTGGAATATTATATTGTAACTGAAGAAAATGGCAATATGGTGTCTCCTCTTAACATATGATCAATAGTTTCCACACCAAACATCACCCAGCCTGAGATATCCAAGTCAGGAATAATTATTTCAAAAGTCTAACGGAGCATATTGTGAGATTGGTTGATGATGAAGTATCTTTCTTCGTGAATTAATCCATGTTTTGAGACTATAACTAGTCCGCAGTAGTGTCGGAAATTTGGGTAGCTCGGATGTTGACCATAAGAACCAGGATACCCTTCCCCTTTTCAGATAAACATCTTCTATATCAATCCACGACACAGATTCTGGTTTTGAACAATACAACAAGGCTTGTGATATAGAGGAAGTGGTACAATAATGGATTAGATTTGGAACCCCTATACCTCCTTTTTGTCTACATCTATATAACGTAGTTAGAGTAACTCAGTTTTTTATGAGTATGTATGAATTTTATTATTTATGACTGAATATATTTTAACATAGAGGTGGGGAAGGGAAGGGGGATGGTTCTAAATAGATACAGGAACCTTAGAAGTGCCATCATTTTAAATGAGGTGTTGCGACCAAACCAGGATAGTTCAATTTTTCCTCACCTTCCCTTATCCCCTCTAACCTGCTCCCATACATGTTTTAAATTCAAATTTGTTAACAAAGCCTAGTCTGTATACAATCATATCCCCAGGTATTGAATATACGTCAACTTCCAATTTGTAATTTGAACATATGTCATTTTGAGTTGAGATAATTGTGATTCTGACATTAATATTAGAGCTTGTGATTTTTTTTTCGAGTTCACTTTATGATAGGAGACCTTGCCATTAGAAATAATTGCTTCCTTAAGATAGGGTAAACACTGAGTAGGATTAGTTAAGACTAGGAGAATGTCGTCCGCAAAAAGAACTAACTTTTGCGAAACGAGATTAGGCATTAAAATTCCATTAATAGCTATATCTGTTCTAATCCTATATGCCAAATGTTCTAAAGCCAGAATATACAACAGGGGAGACAGAGGGCACCCCATCCAGTGCCATTACTGATTGTAAATGAATATGAGACTGAACCAGAAAGAAGTACGGCTGCTGTAGGGTTAGAATATAAAGCCATAGCAGCTTTTATGAATCTATATGGCAGACCCAATTTCTCCAGTACTTGGAACAGAAAGTCCCAATGAAGATGATCGAATGCCTTCTTTGTGTCAAGTGACATAAGGCATTTGGCCCTAGCGTTCTCAGCCACCGAAATCATATTTATGATTTTACGAGTGGCATCTGAAGCTTGACGCCCCCTACAAATCCCATCTGATTTGTTTATCAAATATTGGAAGTAAAGGAAATAAACGAGTTGCCAGAATGTTAGCATAAATTTTATAGTCAAGGTTTAAAAGAGATATACGTTGTAAGTTAGAACATTGAATTGGAGGATTCCCAGATTTTAGTAGAGCTATAATATAGGCAGTCAACATTTATTTTGGCATTGTACTATTAGGCATACAAGAATTAAAAAGAGATAGAAGATGTGGCTGCATCATGTGAAAATGCTGTTTATAATAAAGAGAAGTGAATCCATTAGGCCCCGGTGACGTACACTGTGGCATTGTTTTAATTGCCTTGAAAATTTCTTCTGAATTTATCGGATCCTGTAATGCCTGGATCTGGGGTTCAGTAAGAGATTGTAACTGCATTAAGTGGAGGAATTTAGATATATCTGCTTGTGATGGCTGGTGTGTTTCGGTGCATTTGTTTAGATTGTAGAGAGAAGCATTAAAATTAAAGCAAATATTCACCATTTTTGAGAAACAAATACCCTTTGGCCCTTATCAATAATTATATATGGGATTGAGGTTGTAACCTGGATTTTCCCCAACCTGCGAGCTAACAGACGGCCTGCTTTATTTCTGCTAGAGTAAAACTGTGCTTTAAGTCGTCATGCAATATTCCGTCTTTTCAAGCTGCAAAGTATTAATATCCAAACGTATTGTTTTTAACTGAACCAGCAGTGTGTCAGAGGGAGAGGCCTTATGAGCTTTCTCAAGTTCTATAAGTTGTATTTTAAGATCTGTCATCCTTTTTGATTTCTGCTTAGCAATAAATGAAGCATGCAAGATAAATTTGCCTCGTACTACTGCCTTATGAGCTAACCACAGGCATTCGGGGATTATCCCAGGAGTGACATTTAAGGAGAAATATTTTTGTAGAGTAGAGTCAATCAGATTCTTAGTGTCTGTGCTTTGAAGAAGCCTATCGTTGATTTTCCATCTCATAATTTTTTTGGGTGTCGCTAAGGACAGCTGTAGTAAGATAGGACCATGATCTTGCAGGTTGTAGAGAAAAGAACAGTTAACAAAAAAAAAAAAAAATAGTCAATGCGGTTATATTTTTCATGGACATTAGAGTAAAACTTATATTCTCGTAAACGAGGGTCTAACAAACGCCAAGCATCCTAAAAACCATGTTCTTGCATCAGGGATCAAAGCCTCCTGCTTATTTTTTTTTTTTAGGAGTGGCCTCTTTAGCAGCGGAGGATTGGAACTCCGAGGCATCCATATTAGGGTCCATAAGTAATTTGAAATCACCACAAAGTACCACCCTGCCGGAGTGTAAAAAGTAAAAGGTAAATATACATTTAATAAAATGAGATCTTCCCTGGATATTTTACAAGATACTATGTTAAACTGACCTTGAGGGTCTTCAAAGTGGGACTTGAATCTGCAGATTTAAATGAAATACTATCGATGTTCCACATTTTTTAGAGTGGCTTAAGGAGTTAAACAAAGTAGGGTAATATTTGTTCCTGAAGTAAGGAGTCTTTCTTCGTGCAAAGTGGGTCTGTTGTATGCAAATGATAGAAGCCTTAAGTTCTTGTGCAGTTTCCCCATAGCATCCTACGTTTATGTGGAGAATTTAACCCACGTGCGTTAATGGATAATATATTTAAAGTCATTAATAGTTATAATTAACAAGGTGTAGTATAGCTTCTTTAACAATTTGATCCATCAAGATTTCCTCCTATTGACATCTAGGTTCAGAGCCTCACGCATACTATCACTTTCCATGACTGGCAAGACAATATTAAAAAAGCTTATGGCAGGCATCAACCCAATAGTATCCCTAACACTCCTCTCTAGAATTGGCTTATTTATTAGTATAAACGGAGTTTCATAAACCCAATCTGTATGTCTATTTTTTTTCCAGGAAATATAATCAACAGCATCAAAATATTAAAAAAATACTAAATCAAAATGTAAAAAAACCTGATATAGATAAAAAAAAATCATACCATGAACTATGTACAACAGTACTCTGGTAACTTCGGTGGTTATCATATTTAGCCCTTGTATTGCGGGCATTAATTCCAACAAATTGGAAACAATAGAAAAACCTTGTCTCCTAGGGGGAATTAAAAGATAAATAGAAGGAAGCAAAGAAAGAGAAAATAAAATAAAAGGATACATGCATTCCTGTTATAAAGTATTAAATCATTTCCACATCAACAAACAATGCTTAATAAATTAAGCTAATAAAAAGAAAAAGGTCAGTAGTAGGGATTGACCGATATCGATTTTTTTTAGTACCGACATCGATAATCTGTGAACTTTCAGGCCGATAGCTTGCCAATATTCTGTATATTTACCATTTTGATAAAATAAACTAATTCTAAAGGTAAATACACAAAATATACATGCCACATGTAGTGGATGCAGTGTGTTTAGACAGGGGAGCTGTGTGTGTTTGTGTATTGTGTGCAGAGGATGCAGTGTGTGCATATAATGAATGCAGAGTGTTTGTGTAGTGTATATATAGTGAATGCAGTGTGTGTGTTTGTGTAGTGTGTATAGTGAATGCAGTGTGTGTAGTGTATATATAGTGAATGCAGTGTGTGTAGTGTATATATAGTGAATGCAGTGTGTGTTTGTATAGTGTGTATATAGTGAATGCAGTGAGTTTGTATAGTGTGTGTATATAGTGAATGCAGAGTGTGTGTTTGTGTAGTGTGTATAGAGAATGTAGTGAGTGTGTAGTATATATAGTGAATGCAGAGTGTGTATATAGTGAATGCAGAGTGTGTGTTTGTGTAGTGTGTATATATAGTGAATGCAGAGTGTGTGTTTGTGTAGTGTGTATAGTGAATGCAGTGAGTATTTGTGTAGTGTGAATAGTGAATGTAGTGTGTGTGTGTGTAGTGTGTGTATAGTGATTGCGTGTGTGTGTGTATATATCATGCAGTGTGTGTGTGTGTGTATATATATATATATATATATATATATCACGCAGAGTGTGTGTGTATATATATATCACACACACTGCGTGAGATATATATATATATATAGATATATATATATATATATCTATATATATATATATCTCACGCAGAGTGTGTGTGTGTGTGTGTGTATATATATATATATATCTCACGCAGAGTGTGTGTGTATATATATATATATCTCACGCAGAGTGTGTGTGTGTGTATATATATATATATATATATATATATATATATATATATATATATATATATATCACGCAGAGTGTGTGTGTGTATATATATATATATCACGCAGAGTGTGTGTGTGTATATATATATATATATATATATATATCACGCAGAGTGTGTGTGTGTGTGTGTATATATATATATATATATATATATATATATATATATATATATATATATATATATATATATATAAAAAAATGCAGAGTGTGTGTGTTTGTGTAGAGATGTTATTTGTGTAAATTGGAGGGGGCATTTGTTTATTTTAATTATTTTTTTTAATATTTTATTTTATTTTTTAGTCCCCCCTTCCTGCTTCTTACCGGAGAGGGGGGAATATAGTATTCCCTGGTGGTCCAATCGGTCGATCCCTAGTCAGTTGTCTACCGAGCTGTACAGTAAATAATTGTATATAAATGGCTGTGCCAGAGTGCTGAATCTCAATATGAGGAAAGTGCAACCTGACATGTAACACACATATTACATTCTACAAAGTGTTAAAGGGACACTATAGTCACCCAGACCACTTCAACTCAATGAAGTGGTCTGGGTATCAGGACCCTCTAGGGTTAACCCTGCCTGATGTAAACATAGCAGTTTCTGAGAAACTGCTATGTTTACACTTGGGGTTAAGCCAGCCTTTAGTGGCCATCTTCCGGTTAGCCACTAGAGGCGCATCGGCAATGATTGAGGCATATTATGCCTCAATCACGCAGAGCGTCCATAGGAAAGCATTGAAAAATGCTTTCCTACGGACACTTTGAATGCGCAGCGGCAGTGCTGCGCGAATGCGGCGCCGTTTCTACACAAACACACACACTCTGCATGATATAATTGAATTGACAGGATTCACAGGCTACCAAAATGCCGGAAGGCCCCTCAGGATTCTTCAAGAGATGTGTTAGCAAGGATCCACTTTTCAATCATAAAATTAAAATTGTCGAGGCAGGCCTTCTAAAGGTAAAGTGTCTGACAAGTTTGCTCGTACTCAATTGTTCACTGACTTTTCATCTTCTACTGTGAGTAAGGAACCCATAACACAGACTTTGAGTACCGATAATATTGTCTACAGCTGGGGGTTTCCAGTTAGTGATCTCACACAATGATGAGACCAAGGTGATCTCATCGCTTCAAGAAAGTAAGAAATAATTTGAACTATGGAAAATTCAGCTACCTACCATATCTAAACAAATTAGAGACTATCCCCAGAGACCAAACAAAATATGCAGAGAGTGGGCATTATCCTCCACTTTGCACTCAAAATCTCCTAAGAGCTCAAATTTAACAAACTGTTCAAACATATCTGCCTAATGGAGTTATGCTTGTAAACTTTTAATCGTTTAGTGAATTTTCACTTATATTTGATTTTTTTTGGGGGGGTGGGGAGGGTTCGCAAGTTTGGTATCTGAGGCCTTTTCTGTGGCCCCTGTGATGTGGATCGTTTGTGCAAGGTTGCACTCTCTCCGGATTGGGAGAATGCACCCTGGTACAGCTCTCTATGATACTGATTACACTCAGTCAGAAGATGAAATCTTTGGTATCAACCTAATCTATTGTGCACAGTTTGGTGCCGTGGAGTATGATTTAACTCTTTGTGGAATTTTTGAAATGTATATGCTGGGTTGCACCCTAGCACAGCTACTATACAGTTAGGCATTGTTTGAGAGTGGTTGGAAGATTGCCAAAACTTTATTAGATTAAATCTACTATGCACTGTTTGGCGTTGTCGAAAATGATCTAACCTCGTGTAGAACGTAATATACGTGCTAGGATGCACCTTCTCCGTATTGGGAATCTGCATCTTGGCGCAGCTATTTATATATAATTAGGTATTGTTTAAAACTGGTTGGAAGACTATCGAACCTTTGCTATTAGCATAAATCTACTAAGCACCCTTTGACGCTGTGGAAAATGATTTAATCCTTTGTAGAAAGAAATGTTTGTGCTAGGCTGTACCTTCCCTGTATTGGGAAGCTGCACCCTGGAGCAGATATCTAAATTCAATTAGGTACTGCTTTAAAGTGCTCAGAAAATTATTTCATTTTTATTTTTGCTTAAAGGGACACTATAGTCACCAGAACAACTACAGCTTAATGTAGTTGTTCTGGTGAGTAGAATCATTTATTTGCAAGCATTTTTATGCAAACACTGCCTTTACAGAGAAAGGGCAGTGTTTACGTTGCCCCTAGAGACACCTCCAAGTGGCCACTCCTCAGATGGTCACTGGTGGTGCTTCCTGGCTCAGTGCTGCACAGCAGGCAGCACTGCCGTTCAGCGTCACCACGCTCTGCATGAGGAGGTGCTGAATGGCCAAAACAGTGTTTGGCCCGACTCCTTGCCAATTTTATCCAATCCAATGCTTGGCCAAAAATCAGCAATTCTGATGTCACCAAGGAGGCAGAGCCAGTTTTAATTCCTTTTAATGTGTGTGGGGGGTGTGTGTTCCTGACCCTATAGTGTTTCTTTAAATCTATTATGCATCATTGGCACTATGGGAAATGATTTAAAGGGACACTATAGTGTCAGGAAAACCGCTCGGTTTTCCTGACACTATAGTACCTGAGAGTGCCCCTTCAGCTACTCACCCTTTCCCCCCGCCGGGCTCACTTACCTCTCCTCCCCCGCCGATGTCAGCATCCTTGTCTGACATCACCGGCGCGGCACTGCTGCGGCGCATTCAAAGTGTCCGTAGGACATCTCAGAGGGTAATATGGAGATTTGCAAAATATGGGACTTTTCTGGCAACTAATATTTACATAAGCTGCTGTATGCTCTCATTCACACTTACCACGATCCACAGCAGACGAGAAAGGCTGTTAGATGTCGGAACAGTTCCATTTGTTTAACAACTCAAAAATGGTTTGACAAATGCAGAAAAAGAGCCTCTCCATCATAACTACCATAGTGAGCTGGGAGCCAGTCACCGCTTTCACAGCCCCCTTTGGAACAACATGCTTCATCCCCTGAGCTAAGCCCTGCATTGCCAGCCTAGCTCAGAGAACTTATAATTCACCTGTAGGAGATATCCAGCACATCGCAGTTAGGTGTCAAACTGTTCTTAACCCCTCAAGAACAGAGGCATTGTACACGTTCTGATCATAAGAAAAACTAAACAAAACCCAGAATTTGAACTAAATGGTCTGCTCAACCATAATTCAACATTTGTATATTAAGTTCACCCTCCCTTATTATATATCATTTTGTTCAGGAGATACAGGGCTTTCATTTCACATTCATATATAAAACAATTTATGAATATATATAAAAAAAAAATTAAAAAAAAAGGGTGAAAGTTAAGAAATGTTTACATTTTTAGTTCTGCATAGCATTTAAACTGTGAATGTCCTAATACGGTTTGCTTTTACTGCAATAAAATACACATATTTATTCAGCGATGTCTCACGAGTACTTCAGTACCCCCCCCTTTTTTACAGGTTTTATGGAGTTTTGTAAATTTACAGGTCAAATATAGCACGTTCCATTTTTCATATTGAAATTTTCCAAATTGGTTATGTTGCCTTTAAGACCGTATAGTAGCCCAGGAATTAAAAAATTACTCCTTTGATAGCATACCACTTACAAAACTAGACCATCCAAGGTATAACAAATTGGGTATGTGATTTTTCAGTGTGTGCAAACAGTAAAAAGTACATAACAGCTATATCAGACACGCAAGAGTTTAACCCCCCCCCCCCAGCCTGTATGAATATATATGTAATAAAATGTTTATTTATTTTTTAAAGTCAGTCAGTGACCCTGTAATCTGAGGGAATAATACTGAGACATGGTGAATAATAAGTGGTCTCTCCAGCTGTAGCAGAAACACTCTCTCTCGGATTTTGCAGCCATAAAGCTGATAAAACATGTTTTAGTTCTGGTCCAGCATCAGCAGAATATCCTAATTTCAGACAAACTTGATCCAAAACAATAAGACCCCCCTCCCCATCCCATCCCCATAGAGTGGGGCTAGCAGCATAGAGAGCTCAGTGATGGAGTCTAGCTGGGCCCCAGGTCCTGCACTCACACCCAGGGACACAAACACCCCTCTGCCTGATCTCCATCCCTGCCCTCTGGACATGCCCGCCATATTGGCTCACCTTACACAGAGTCCGGTTCAGTCCAATAAATGACAGCCCATACACTCACACAGCGCGCATCGAGCCGTTTACACTCTGCAGTTCAAACGCCTAGCGCTGTAACCTGTGATTGGGCAGGATGGTTACGTCACGTGACCTAGACTAGCCTAGCTGAGCGCACGTACCATCGAGCCGTAAGGGAAAGTCGTTTAGAGAGGGCGGAAAGATGGGTGCCGCCATCTTTGCTGAGGGCAAAAGGAGGGTCGTTGCTGACCGAAAATGCAGGAGATGAGGAAATATTTTAATCAGACATTGTATAATGAATGAAAATGTTTTTTTTTTTTCTTTCTTTTTTTCTAAAGTAGATCCGTGGCTTATATTGGAAGTGAGAGTTGCTTGTTCCCTCTCCCTAAAATCATACCTACTAACACAATACATAGGGGATGAAGCCAGGGGCGGGGAGGTTTTGACAAATTATAGGGGATTTACTAATATTTTAAAAACATTTTTTTAAATAAACTGAAATTTACCTCTTTAAGGGCCCAGGCAATTTTGAGATGTGGTGGTGTTGTGAGCAAGGCCTTTTTTTTTACACTTTTGCCATGTGATCATTCTACCACAATTTAACCCTTTTTTTTTTAATAAGTGCAACCATACATTTTATATAGCATTATTTTAAAGTAGAGTTCGGACCTTTTCTTTTACATAATATTTGTATATGCTGTCATGCCAAAAGCATGAGTTGGTGTTTGATGTGTGTTGATATATGTTAAGAGTTGTTTTTTTGTAAACCTTGGGATGACATTTATTGTGGTCTTTGATCTTGCACCAGGCCTAGACCATAAAACATCTAGATAGCCATCACCAGAGCTGGACACAAGGAATTGCATAGAGTGGGCAATAAACTGCCAGACCAACCCCCTCTGATCCTCCCAAGGTTTCTGCCCACTGAGCAACAACTAGTTTAGATATATTAAAGGACCACTATAGTGCCAGGAAAACATACTCGTTTTCCTGGCACTATAGTGCCCTATGGGTGCCCCCACCCTCAGGGACCCCCTCCCGCCCGGTTCTGGAAAGGGGAAAAGGGGTTAAACTTACATTTTTCCAGCGCTGGAAATAGAAACTGCTATGTTTATGAAAAAATGGGTTAACCCTAGAAGGACCTGGCACCCAGACCACTTCATTAAGCTGAAGTGGTCTGGGTGCCTAGAGTGGTCCTTTAATGAGGGTGTTGGACTATCCAGGGAGTTCTTCATTTCTTTCTTTGGTCAGCAACTTCTAGGTGACCTATACCATCTAAGACTCCCACAAGAATTCTATATGGGGTAAATACATGTAAGGAATTTCTTGTGTTTTCTCCTATTTTATTTTATGTACAGGTTTGCAATTTGTTATCTGTATGTCATTTATTTTTGTATTTTGTACTCAGCACTGTGAATCTTTTTTTTTTGTCAGATTAAACGTTTATTTAATCAGCTTGTGTCTCTGTTCTCTATGAGCTTCACTCTCCAGAGGAAAGCTCAGGTAAACATGTTACCAAAAAGGGTTAATTATGTGTTTGATCAGTAAAAGTAGAACTGTGATTCTATAATTCTCCTGTGTGTGGGGTAACCTAAGACGCCCTGGTTTAAAGTCTTGGTGGTGGCAGTAAAGTGTGTACTAAGGGGTTAGTGTAGAAGGGATTGCAGGGGTTAATTGAGTGCTTGCTGGGACTAGCAACAGGTAACCAGGGGTCTGGTGTCATTAACCCTGTCACTTCCACACTCTCCCCACTGTCTCGGTTGGGCCTATAGCCCACGCTCGTGACATATGCGTAACACAATATTTACTAGGAGTAAAGTGCAACTTGGTGCAACTCAAAATAGATTCACTAATTAGTTCTGATTGTTAAAATGCCCAATATGTCTAGGATTAAATTCGATTTTAGAAGTTATAAAACAAATACTGCAACATGTGAATTACATGTTTACAGCTAAACCTTCTCAAAAACTTGGCATGTTGAAATTGCAACTTATATAGTATTCACAGAATCCAAAACCACTACACAAAAGTATATATTTGTTGAAAGTATGCACCTACGTTATGTTACTAATGGAATTTTTACACCTTTCATTTAACCATTTTCTCCCAAGCCTAGGTCAAAATAATAAATTATATTAGGGTTGTTTTTTTATCCAGACATGCTTTATTTTGTATGTGTCCTACTACTTACTGCAAACACTATATTTGTACTCTGCTACTCAATTACAATGATACTCCACATATATACCTATTCCCCTAATGTTGCAGCTAATCCAACCCTTCATCCTATTAATAATACAACCCATAATCCTATCTATATTCCAATCTCTAATCCAGCCAAAATGCTATCCCTAATCCTACCCATAATCCTACTTTAGAGAGATTCCCTCTGTTTACATCAGTACTTACATCAGCAGAGGTATTTCATAGCGTTCAGGTTTCAGGCTTTGTAATATAAACACTGCCTTTTCAGAGAAAAGGCCATTAGAAGATGCTTCCTGGTCCATTATTGCACAGTATGTAGCACTGGCATTCAGGGTCTCCATGCTCTGCATGGAGGTGCTGAACGTTCCCCATAGAGATGCATTGAATCAATGCATCTCTTTGAGGAGATGATAATTGGTGCAGTTTGGCATTTTGTCACGCATGTGCAATAGCCTCCCATAGTTTTCCTATGCGAAAACATTGGATTAGAGCCAGCTGCAGCAAGACTGGCATGGTGTGGGATGAAAGGTGAGTAAATACACCTTTCCCATGCAAGGGAAGGGAGCCCCGGTCACCTACATAATTAGTTTAATACTATAATGTCAGTGTGTCACGCCCCCCGGCTCGCCGCCATATGCGTCCGTGCCCTACCAGCACAACCGCACCAACTCACTGAGCTTACCTGCTCAGCGGCGAGCCAGGAACCGCTCCTCCACGCCGCTCGGGGAAATCCAAGATGGCGCCGACCATGAGGTCGCGTCCATCCATGGCTCCACCCCCAAAATTATACAAACGTGCGTGTGACGTCACAACGTCTGATCTTGGCTTTTCCCGGTTATTCCGAATTCTGGTTCCCCTGACTTGGCTTGTTTAAACGGTATCTGAGTATTTCTGGCTTCCTTGACCTCGGCTTTCCCTTTGACCATTCTCTATCTCTAGCGTATTAGTCCAGCCATTCTAAGGTTCGGTGTGCGCTCTGTCCTTTTATTTACTTTCCTTTTTTATGTATATGTTTACATAGTTCCTGTGTGTTAGACCACACTAGCAGCCGTGACACAGTGTCAGGAATATATGGGGATCCAACACGCAGAGTGTAATAGAATAGTATTATGTTTATGTTTCGTACTTGTCATGTTCCGTTCTGTTCAGATGTCTGGCATTGGCTACTGGTATCCAGTACTCTTTTTTTCAATTTTTGCTTAGTTTTTATGGTCTATTCTATGTCTGGTTTTCTTTATGCTGGGTATTCTGGGTTCATTCCTTTATTCCGTTCCTGGAATTCCCAGTCTCCTGGATTCCTTTAAATGTTTGTTTTTTTGTTGCCACACCCGTTCCTTTGCTATTAATCCTTTTTGTTTCAGTCTGTTCCTGCAGGCAGTGGTTTTTTATTTCCTCTGCCCCTTTCTTTGCAGGTAAGTACTGTATGTGTTTTATTGTTGTTTATTTAGTCATGCATATCTAGGCAGTTAGGACCCACTGCAATTGGAGTACTTTGGCGTAGAGGTGGGCTGCATACATCTTGGCCATTTATGTATGTCTAAATCTCCAATGTTTATTACATATATAGTACTTAGTTATGTCTTCTCTTGTTTTACCTTGTATCTCTTGTCTTGAATTCCCAGTTCATGTACAGTCCTATCCTGTACTGCCCTGTCCATGTCCTGTCCATGTTTCCCTCATGTATTGTGTGCATGTTCTGGATTCTTTCTGTCCTTCTCCGGTTCTGGGTTCTTCTAGTCTTGTCTTGTTATCTTGTTTGGTGCCTATTCTAGTCTTGCATCAGGGTTCTGGTATGTGACCACACAAATGCTGGTGCTCAACACAAGGGGGTGTGTGGTTACCCTGCACCAGACCCTGATTGTCCACTTCCACGCTGAGACTCCTATTTTCAACATCAGGCACACAAGGGTCCCGGTCTTCGGACCGCCACCCGTGACAGTACTCAGCCAGACCTTATCACCCGGATAAAAGACAGGAGCAGCGAGCCTACACTTATCAGCATGTCTTCGTAATCAAGATTGGTTTTGCGAGTTAGAAGTTGTTGAGCTTGTTCCCAGGTCTTCTTTAGGTTCTCCATATGTTCGTCATCAACATTCCCGTGAAGGAAACTCTGATGGGAGAACAATAGGATGAAAACCATAATTCATGAAGAAAGGGCTATGTTGAGTGGCATCAGAAATTGTGCTGTTAAGTGCAAACTCAGCCCATGGAAGCAAGCCAACCCAATCATCTTGATGAGCGGACACAAAACATCTTAAGTATTGTTCAACTTTTTGATTAGTCCATTCTGCTGTACCGTTAGATTGTGGATGACAAGCTGAAGAGAAATTGAGTTTAATCCCCATCTGGGAACAAAAGGCCTGAATCGGGATACAAATTGAAATCCCCTGTCGGAGATTATTTCCTGGGGTATACCATGTATACAAAATACCTCTTTAGCAAAGATAGTAGCCAATTCTGGTGAAGAGGATAATATGGGCAAAGAAATAAAATGTGCCATTTTGGTAAACCTGTCTACTACAGTCAAGATTACTGTTTTCTTTTCTGATGTTGGTAAATCGACAATGAAGTCTATGCTAACCCATGGTTTGTTGGGTTTGTCAAGAGGTTGAAGCAGACCACAAGGAAGAGTATGGGAAAGTTTGGGTTTAGCACATACACAGCAGGCTAAAACATAGTCCTTAATGTCCTTTCATAAGGATGGCCCCCAAAACTCTTTAGAAATCAGATCGTAGGATTTGCATATACCAGGATGACCCGCCATCTTGCGGTCATGAAAGCAAAGGAGTATTTCCCTTTGGTGTCCAGGAGGAACATACAGTTTGCCATCAGGGATATTTCCAGGAGCTAGGATTTGTTTGGCCATGATGTCAGAAACAAGGAGAGACTGTATACTGATTCTGGTACTGGCAATGATG